TAGGAGGAGATGAAATATTTTACCATAATACTCCAACAGAACTAAATCTATATCTGTGCAACTGCTGTTACTGCTTCCTAGACTGGAATGTCCACTATCAACAGAAAACATCGTAATTTACACTTTAGAGGAAGGGGTGTCAGAAGGCCAGATGTGGATTCCAGAGGAGTTTCTCTCTGGAGGTGGACCTGTCAGACTAAAAGAGATGTAAACACATTTCAGGGATATCTAACCCTGACTTACAATCAAAAAGGCACTTAATTATCACACACGATCCACTTTAGGTGTAGGGTGTCGTTCTGATCTGTGGAGAAGTCAGTGTTCTGTTAAAGAGGATAAAACATATTGACACCTTAGAGATCCCATCTGAGAATCTGAAAAGAACCAGGCTCTCTGTGCAGGAGACTGTCGGCGCCACAGTCTCACCTCCCCTCCTGGGTCAAAAAGGTCAAAGGGAAAGAGGAGGCCTTGAAAACTCTCCTGGTGGAACAAAATCAAACTAATATGATGATTGTTGAATTAAGAGACGGATAAAGCGTCTCTTGTAGAGGAAGACGAGGACAAGGTCCTACACATACATCGAAAGGTTACTTGTTGTATAAAACATAACTATCTATTTTGCCATTTAAACAGTGTGGGTGTACATTATTGTATACCTTGCAGTACTTTTGAAGCGGTAACGCTTGCGGTTTCCATCCACCGAGACAGAAAGCATTGCTGGGGTACAGGCAGGACAGATGAATTTCTCCTCCTTGCAGGTGGAGTCAACCTCATATTGTACAGCAGCCCATTCAAAAAAGCTTTTTTGGAAGCTGTCTGATGAGATCTTCCCAGTCTATGTAAAAAAGAAAAAGCACAAAACAATTTTTAAACAAAGACCTTTCCATTTCAAAACACAAACATATAGAGAAATACTTACACGGCCAAAGCGAGCAGTCCGCTTCTCAAGCATTCTTAGATATGCCTGAAAAGACATCCCGGGTGATGCCATCTTCATGTCTTTAAATGTATAAAACAGGTCTGTCTCATAAATTGTTGCAAAATGAAGGGGGCTGGTCAGTATCCACTTTTTATCAGGTCATCAAGTCCTGCAGTCCAAGTTGCCTGGCATCCCTCGCAGGTCAGCTCAGGCATGTTGAGATCATACCGTCCTACAAGGTAATATTTACATTTACAACCAAGGTTGGAACGTTATGTAGCATGTGCCTTATACTGTATATCCAAGTGGTTCAGTAAGGCCTGCTGACTGGATGGGCACTATCATGAATAAGTCATTTGTAAATGGCATGAATAAATAAGTGACATTCCCCCCCCAAATGGTTTGCAACCATAATGAGCTCATTTTTTGAGACATTAAGTTGTTGGGAGTTGTTGAATAGAAATACATAGTTTTGTTGAAACTGGACGAAGGAAATCTTTTGCATAATTACCATTTATTGTGACCAAAGCAACAGCCTTCCCTTGGATCACCCTGAGTGCTTCTGGGGGACACCCACAGATGCTGACAGGCATCTCAATAGGCAAAAATCACACTGAAAGACATTACACATAGGTTACACTAATTCATAATTACTGACACAGACAGAAACTAGCTCAGAAAAAAGCAGTGTGTAACTTACCACAGTTTGTAAGTGCCTTTTCAACAACACAGGTGGTTGGAGGCAATGGCTGAAAGAAGCCAGCACACATGGCATCCCTGTTATGGAGGACTGAGGCCTTGCTGTGTCTGCTGATGTCACATTCAGCGCAGAGAAAGGGACGTGGAAGGCAATCTCTGCATCTAATAGCTGCGCAGTTGTTCCCACATTGGCTGCAGCCATTTGTTGCCACGCTCTCCTTGGCCAGCATGCTACTAAGAAGAGATGGTCTCTTTTCCCTCCATCTCTCAGAAAAGAGAGCATTGCGAATGCTCCAATCCAGAGAAGCCAGAGGAGCTCTTTGGTCTGCTGATGCTTCACTAAGCTCTTCATCAGAGCAGCTCAGGGAGGGTTGCAGATCTTGCAAAAGACATTCTATTGCAATTGTAAAAGAAATACATGGAGTAGTTAGAAGGGGCCCAAGGTTGTTTTTGTATCATATGCATACAACTAGCAAAAACATGGACTTCATTGTTACACAGATAAGAAGAAAATGTTGTTATATGACAGATATAACATATATAACAATGTGAATGGTGCTTGGCAATTGCATATCAACAGGGAGAAACGTTGTCATAAAGCTTGTTTTGGAGACTTTGTTTTGTTCAATAGCTCATTTTGCAGATACTAGGTACAAGACATTATACACAGAACATATCTAATGAAACACACACCAGCAGAATCTGTGTGTGAAGCAGTCTCTGGAGCAAAGGTCCCCCTCTACATGAGGGTGTGAGGTGAGACCGGTCTTACAACGGCGTTCAGCTGTAATGCAGAAAAAACATAAACAGCTCTTAGAGCAGCATATATTTGTCTAACACTTACATTTGTTTTAAAGATACCTGTATGCAATCTACATTTATATGATACAGTACAGTTTTCCTATTTCATTTTTTGGGGGGGCGTGGGTCTTCTTTTGGGAAAGAGGCTCCGAGACCACCTACATAAAAAATGTAACTCCTGTTAGCCAAATCATGCTTACAGCAAAAAGTATTTCTTTATTTTTTAAGTTGAGTTAACTAACATGCAAATCTTTAGAGTTTTTACAGGCAAATCATAAGAACATGTAAAAACTAAGCATTGTTGTTATTTACTTTGTGGTTGAATTTTTAACCAAACGTATCTTACTACCACGTGACATCCAAGTTAAAGGGTACCCGTATCCAACGTGCGCGTCGCGTCGGAGAAGATGACGTCGACACGCGACGGCAGAGAAATCAAAAATAAAAGCTGATGTTAAAGAATTTGATTAATAAAATATGCATTTATGTATATAGTAATTGAGCAACTAACTTAACTAACCTAACGTTTAACTTTCCTTTATCCTAATAACGTTTCTACAGGATGTGTATTTATGAAATAGAAACCACTAGTGTCTTTAGTATTAACGTTACTCTTGCTCCTAAAATATTCTCTTCTGGCTTTATTTTGAAAGGGCATATTTATTTTGCTAATTCAGTCCACCCGGATGTGGGTAAATGTGTTGTTGTGTTGTTGCTAACTTGACAGTGTCACGGTTATCACAACAAACTCTAATGCCAAAAATATCTTAAAATGTTGTTTTTCCACTGAAATTAAAGAAAATGCAGACAGAAATCTGACAGTCACGTGACTGCTCTGCTGGATAACACACCTTCTGTACCTGCTGGGCTTGAATAGTATTGGATCAGCCAGATGAATGGGTGATAACTGCCTCCTGCACCTACTAGTAGGTAGAGTAGGCCCCTACTGGCCCCTATCTGTGGGATGATTGTATCAGGATAACGCTTATTCAATGGTATGATAACAGTCAGATCGGCTGTTTTTCAGCTTTGATATCAATCAAAAACAAAATAAATGAATCAAATACAATCAAAACTTTATTTAGCTTTTGTTCAGTAATTTGTGCCAGTATGCAACAGTTCTTATATATACAAAGATCAGACAATAAAAAGGTTTGAATTTGGCAGCCAGACATTTAAAGAACATGAAAATGTTAATTTATAAACACAATGTTTTTCTAATGATTTAACAGTCTTAAAGGAAGGTAATGCAGTTATTAGAATGAATTAGACTGCATTAGATAATATCAATCAGTGTGGTCAAACTGGTGTGTTGTAGTAATAAGTAGTCATGTGACACATCAAAGAAAAACACTAAAAATAACCCATATTGATCAGAATCTGGAAAAAGTCAATCTAAACAATGAATATACATTTATTACATTAAATGATGTGAATCTTTCTGTAGAGAATCAAATGGTTGTTCTACTCAGTGTGATTGACAGGAGAGATGATCAGAGGGGCAGAGTTTTTACCTTTATTATTATTACAGGGACCAAAGTATGGGTAGAGTTTCTCAGTGAAGGAGCAGCCAGTAAAGGAGTAGATAAGAGCTGCAGCATCAACGTCATAAAAGGAGACCAGACCCTCCTCATAATCCACAAACACCCCCACCTTCTCAGGCTGAGACTGCAGAGAGAGACAGACTGAAGGGCCAGCAAGAGCTTTGTACTCATTTTCATTCCTCAAACATATCGTCCAGTAACCATTCTGAGGGCTCGCTGTGATTTTTCCCTTCCTGTTGATCGACTCTCTGGCCACTCCTAAATCCCAGTCAGTCTTCCCTTTAACCTGAACCTCGTAATAAAATCTTCCTGAAGAGAAACTCTGCTTTGCTAAGACACAGGAACAATAATCAAATCTCTGTGGATTGTCTGGGAGATTCTTCTTTACATCACCATGTTTAACTTGTTTCCCATCATCAGACAGGATGAGTTTGGGATGTGCTGTATCAGGATCCAGTGTCACATCCACTGCATACTGCTGGACCCTCTTCAGCTCGACCTCAAACAGCTTCTTCATCTGTTTACTGAGCGTCTCCTCCAGCTGATTCACAGCTCTCCTCAAAGTCCCCTCATATGAAGGTGGATGGACACTGACCTCTGTCCAGTCTTTGGTGGGTGGAGCAGCGTTCAGGGACAGGAAGCTTTGGAGGAGGTGGAGGTGGTCTTCAGACTGTGAGAGCTGGTCCACCTCAGAGCTTCTCTTCTTCAGCTCAGAGATTTCCTGTTCCAGCTCTTTGATGAAGTCTTCAGCCTGTTTCTCTGTCTTTCTCTGCTTCTCTTTGATCGTGTCGATGAGCTCGGCCTGGCTTCTCTCAACAGACTCCTTCAGAGCGGTGAAGACCTGAACACCATCTGCTATCTCTCTGTCTGCACCTTCCTTACTGAGCTCCACTGAGTCGTTTGATCTCCCTGAATCTTCAGTCGTCTCTTCTGGATCATCTGCTGAATTTCAGCCTCTGTCTTCCCCAGCTCGGCCTTCTTTCCTTCATATTCTTCTTTCAGAGGAACAACATCATGTGTCTTGTGGTCTAGAATAGGTGCAGAGCATGCAGACACACATCTGGTCGGTCTTACAGAACAGCTCCAGCAGTTTATCGTGCTTCGTACACATCCTGCCTTCCAGGTTCTCCACAGGGTCGATCAGCTGATGTCTTTTCAGGACTGACGTTGTCAGATGAGGCTCCAGGTGAGTCTCACAGTAGGAGACCAGACACACCAGGCAGGACTTCAGGGCCTTCAGTTTGGTTCCAGTGCAGACGTCACAGGGAACTTCTCCTGGTTTGGAAACTTGCTCTGAGCTGCTGCTGCTGGCTTTCTGTTGAGCTGACTGTCTGAACTGAGCAACCATCTCAGAGAACAAAGTGTTGATCTGCAGCTCAGGTCTTGTGTTGAAAACCTTTTTACAGTTGGGACACTGACACTGGACATTAATATTCCAGTGTTCAGTGATGCAGGTTTTACAGAAGTTGTGTCCACATGGTATGGTGACTGGATCAGTGAACACATCCAGACAGATGGAGCACAGAAACTGATCTTCAGTCAGCAGACAGCTGGCAGCAGACATATCTACACTGTGAGGATTAAAGTAAAACTGTTACCATCTAAAAGGATAATTGCAAAATTCTCGGTTTGTCATAAAAATATCAAGCTAGGTTAACTGCGATATCAGAAAGTAAAGTATTTCCTTTGTTCACACTTTTCAATGTCCATTTGAAAACACCAAATGAAAACAATGGAAAATCCTCTCTGAGTAAAGCTTAAGTTTTATATTAATGTTCTTTCTGAAACAGTAAATATGATCAGCTGTACTCACCAGTGTTTGACAGAGACTGTGCTGTGTTGTTGAGAAAGGCCTGATCAAGTCAACTTGTTCTTTGGAGAGAAACTGTGAGATTTGTCTCGACTGCAGCTTTGCCTTCACTCAGGTTATTGTTTCGTTTCATTTGAAGAAAGTGGAATTAAAACTGTTGTGATTTTCCAGTGTTGCTCCGCCTCTTTCTGCTCTACAGGTGAGGCTTTGTTGCCTTTCAGGTCTGACCGGATCAGTGACGTACTTTTGGTGTGATGGGAGAAATCAAACGTGAATTTAGTCTGGAGTAAAGCACCAAAGACTTGTCAGGGAACCTTGTGGTTACTGGAGACTTTGACTTAGTTTAATTTTTGTTTTTCTCAGATTAACGTCTATAACGTGCTCCAACAGTGAGGAACCCTCTGGTTCTTGTTAACATCATAATTTAAATCTGTAAACTCACAGTACAATTACATTTTAAACCCTAAAAACACAATCTGATCCCTCCATTACACAGCACACATTAAATACTATCACAATATAATAATATAATAATAAACTATAGGGCCCTGAGGGGAACTTCCTGTCTGAGTAGAGCTCAGGTTCTGTGTTAATGCCGGTTGTTGAAACACAGTAAATATTATCAGCTGTACTGCCTCCCAGAGACAGACAGCAGGAAGCTAGAAGCTGTATATGGGATCAAACTAGGGCCATAAAGAATTTGTACCTGTAGAAATAATTTGTGCCTGTGCAAGCATTTCTTCAACAGACACTCAAATTTCCTACCTTCCATGTGCGACATTGAAGTTACAAGACACAAAATCTTTTGGCCCTGAGTGAACAACCAATCAGCACGTAGCTTATTGACCTGTTGATATGATAACTGAGGTCAGAGGTTACTCCGATCTGCGTGGTCCAATCAGCCGCACTTCAATTTACAGCGTATTCACTTCCGGTTTTCAAAATAAAGGTAATAAGAACAGTTAAGCTATAATTCGAAGTGTTTCATGCGCCCATGATGAATAAAAAACATACATACAACATACTCAGTCAGTCACTGCAGCAACAGGAGAGCAGTGGATGGGTAATGGACAGTTTATTGTGTGTGTTCATGAAAACAGTGGAAAGGTTTTACTGGTGAAAAATATCTCCTGTTTGTATTATAGCCAGTTTGTATCACTCATTAGCTTCATCACTGACAGTTTCCTGCCATTATTTAGTCCCAGTGTAGTTTAAATGGACAGATTCTGAACTTTGTGATCATTAGTCAACATTATACTGTGTGTTTATTGCTGTTTTTTTTTTTTTTTTTATTTTGACCGACAGAGCGTTTTTTTTTTTTTTTTTTTTTTGTGTCACATTGGTTTACTTTAGCCACTGCCAGTGTCGTTAAATATAATTAAATATGAAATATGAATATGTTAAATATGAATATAATTTAAGTTTAATTAACATGGCACATCACGGACAGTAACAACACTGTTCATACATGAACAAATATTCATGGACATATTTATTAGTCTTCTTCACTCAAACACTGACTGCATATACTCCTGCTCCATTGATTCTGTACATACTGATGTTTTTACACATCCCTATGTATATTTCTTTCATTGCTTATGATATAACATTGTATATATGACTTGCATATTAAAAACTAAAGGAGATGTGGATGAGTGTGTGAAAGAAACATTCAAAATGTAATGAAAAAGGCAAACAAACTGAACTGAAATAAAACAAATGAACAAATCTTTATTTTTATTCATGCAGAGAGAGAGAGAGAGAGAGAGAGAGAGAGAGAGAGAGAGAGAGAGAGAGAACAACATTCAACATACAGGTGTCTTAAAGACACACAAACTAAAACATTAAATGGAGCCTATAAAGTTGCTGGCAGGCTCCCAGGTGTCTTCCCAAGTTTTGCCACTGAAAAAAAAGAATGAATGCAAACAAGTGTAAGATCATTGCATATACCACAATATTAGTTTATATCAATGGGGTATCATAGAACAACAAATGACTTAGGATCGGTTTTTCAGAAGCCTGCTACTAACCAGTGTGGAAGTAAGTACATATATATTTATAAAGCATACTGTAAAAAAAGCTTTAAAATCAGCTAATGTGGGTCAAAGTTCTGAGCTCTTACCACGAGGAACAAGGCAGCCAGCTCACTTTTACCTCTTCTCTTCCTGCACACACACACACACACACACACACACACACACACACACACACACACACACACAGAAACATTCCAGCAACCACTGTTAAATGAACTGCTATTTCACTCAGTCAGTTACATCTTACCTCCTTTAGTTGTTTCTTTTATTTCATTGTAGTGAAATATTTTTTGCTTCTAACATTTTCAGCAGCCTAAAATTATGCAAAAAAAAGAAAAGAAGAAAGAAGGAGAATAAATGTAGAAACAGACTTTGACATCCCCCAGGTGAATACAGAACTCACAGGGGTCAGCACAACCGAAGCAATGGCTGAGCTTCACCCTGGGTTTGAACCACCTTCTTGATCATGATATCTCACCTATTCACTGTTCTTTGATTGTTATTGTGGACCTGGTACACCTTGGTCAAGGTTCCGAGCTAGCTGAGCTGATCCTAAAAGGTGCTGTGACATTACTGCCAACCACTGATTAGTCACATGACAGTTGACGTCCTGCATAAAGCCTAGATTTTTAAAAAGCCAAACTATCATTAATAGTTAAGTTTTTTTTATTCACTCAAAAATGGCAGCCCACAACACCATGCTGTGGTCAACTGACAAAGTCCAGACTTGTCAAGAACATAGCTTCATATCCTCTGTTATGAGTAGCGTAGCTGTTTATGTGCGTAGTGTGTTGTCAGTGTGGCAGTAAATGTACAGTGTAGCTTAGAGTCTGTCAATAAAGAAAGGCTGCAGCTTCTCAAGACCAAAGTAAAGCTTGTTTCCCAACTTCATTGCTCTGACAATCACCTCTGCCTACATTGAGGGGGTCCCATCCAAAGTTCTATCTACAGTGGAAAAGGAAGTCGAGGACCCAAAAGTGAATAGAGTAGAGTTGAGCTGTACAATGCTGACGCATAGAGGAAGAGAAAGAGTGTCCATCTTGTCTCATATGTGTCCACATTAGTTTTTGTTTTATCTCATGAATAATTTATCTTCTACCTGTAGATGAGGACAAGTTAGTGAGTAATCCTTTATGTTTTTTATTGTTACTGATAATAACAGGGGTTAGGGAAAAAACTGTTCTCCGAAAAGTCTTCTGTTTGCATCGCTCTTTGCATGTGTCTGGTTCATTGTGTCTACATGCACACAAACAATATTATCATGCTGCTATCAAGGAATTGCATTGCACATTTAATTTGATGAGTAGGCTGTAGCACAAAAACAAAAAATACCTCTCTTCCTCTTTTTCTTCCCTTCACCTGTTGCACTGGTCAGGGAGATAGTAGGTGTGGGAGGGCGGGAGCACTGTGCAGACACACCTGTGACAAAGGTGGATGACTTTAGACACATTACTTAAAATATGGCAGAAGGTGATTAATGCTAACACTCACTTTCAGTCATGGTTTTTTGAGAGGGAGATGCTGAGGCGGTGCTTGGAGGCTGGACAGGGACGAGGGTTAGGGTGTAAGTCTCCTCCTCATAGTCCATTTGGGGATGAGATGAGATGGGAGAAAGGTGGAAGGGTCTGGAGGATGAGGAGGAGAAGAGGGTTGGGAGGGAGAGGAGGTAGACTGTGGAGTTGGAGATGGGCTGGGAGCTTCTGGCAATTGCATCCTTTGAGAATCTGAAATAATATAAATATAAATATTACTCACAATGACAGCATATCCCAAAGCATAAATCATAAAAACAGATGTTTGCCTTACTTTTAATAATGTACTCATATGCCCTGCTCATCTTTTCTAAAAAGGGTTTTACAGGCCCGTCCCCTCCAGGGCACATGTAGGTGATCATTTCAGCATTTACTGTGTTCACCCCCTTCTGCTTCCTCCTGATGAACAAAATTGGGTTGTAGCCCAAAGCAGCAAGCTTGCTCACCTGAAATGTACACAATAAATTACACAAAATGTTAACATGGCATTATTATTACACACTGACATGTTACAATTTTTTCACTTTATTTGAATGTTATGTGTGCACCAGTGTTTGCTAATGTCTATAATCTTTTTCAAGGGTTTCTTGAGAATTTTCTAATGAACTGTAGGTGTGTGTACATATTTCTGACAGAAAAGTGTGGACAGGGTTCTGGGATGAAGCACTTGTGCATTGAGAGAAACAAATGCTATGTTAACAGAGAGTTCACTGTCTCTGTTATTATAGTTTCTGTCTGAAATATCATAAAGCTCAGGAGACAGACATGGCCAAAACAAGTTTTCCCTCCATTTCTTTTTAGTTTAGTTCTTCGGAGATGCAAACACATGCATTGCACCCTCAGTTTAATATTTTGCACTTTCAGTTCAAATTGCATATTAATGCCAAGCATAAGGTGGTCTGGCACATGGACTGCGTGGGCGTCTTCATGCTCACCAGCAGCTCAATCAGCAAAAGAGTTGGATGAAGATTAATAAGGTCAGCGGGTGTGGTGATTAATAAATACTCTCCCAGCTTGTCACATCACTGGTCTCATAGCTCTGAAACAACTGAGCTAATCAGTTAAACATGATAGCAACAGCTCAACAAATAGAAATCTTCATCTCAGGAAATTACTGGATGGTTCAGAGAGTCACAACATGAACACACCTCCTCACCAATCTGCAGCCAATGACAAATGAAGTATGATTTTCCCATAAATAGTTAATATAATAATATATAAACTGATTGATTATAGGATTATAACAAAGACTGTTTTATTTGGAATTCTAATGTATCCCACCTCATACATGGACACATAGTTTAGTAATTAATGATATACAAATGTGTTTGCACTGCACTGGTCACAGTATTTAGCCATGATTCCTCTGAGGACTGGAGTTTGAGGGTATGGGTGTCCTTCTGACTCGTAAAGCAAACTGTTGCTGAAAATGACTGACACCCTGTTTAACTTACTGCTGTCTACAACTTTATTCGTCTGTGTTCAGCATAATCTGTTTATCTGGGACCCAACTCTGGATCATCATACACTGCTCTACTTTAATAGCTGTTGGCAGCTCGCACTGTAACTACTAGGGTACCACCACTAATTTGAGATGCACCTGAAGTCATTTGGTTCTGGAACCGGGCCTAGCTCTCTCCTCATTGGTGAAAAATGTGCTATTGATCAGAAAAAAATGCTATTTGGACCACAAGCCCATATGTCAATAATGAGCCAACTCATTTTGAATCTTTAGCTAAATTTAAGGTTAGGGGTGGCTCATATAAAGAGGCGGCATTATGTTCAACAACCTTTAATGAATACAATGGATGCACACACACAACACATCAAAGTCAATACTCACTGCCTTTTCTTTTTCTTTGAATGACTTTTTTTGCAGGAGGCAAACACAGCAGCTGGCACAGGTCTTCTGATTGGCATGATGCTTGCTCCAAAAACAAGTAAGGGGCTTCAAAAGCTATCTTGCTTTGGACCAGCATAATGTGCAACTCATGACTTTGAGAGCAAGATGATTTATTTTTTTTTTTTTTTTTCTTTTTTAAAAAATATTTTTTCTTTTTAAAAAAAAAAAACTTTTTTTTTTTATAGTTTACATTTTAGGAAAACAAAAAAGCAAATAAAAGATGGAGTTTTTTTTTTAATGGTACATTTCCTAAAAATGGAAATTGTAAATATTAAATTAACAGTATACTGATAGATTTAAAGGAGTGGGAAACACATTTATGTGATCAGATTGTAAATATGCAATTGTTAAATTGGTGAAAATTCATTTTGATCATACATGACAGTGCCCCCACTTGGTGACTATATTTATATGAATATAGTCACACAGCTGAAGTCAAGAGCTTTCTAAAACAGTTGGTCCCATGTCTGTAGCCTCTTCTGTTGCTGAATGACAAGCCTTCCAATATGCACTGAGGTCAAGGTTCAGAGGTCAATATTTCACAGCAGGAGCCACTTAAAATTATATTATTATAATTATAAATACAAATTTGAGATACTCTTATTTTATTTAAGTTTTTTCTTTACATGTTACATACATGTTTTGACTTTGGCTAGTTCATCTGATATACAGTATATCACTATGAAATGTGGTTTGCTAAATCATTCAACCTGTGTAAAGTTGGATGTTATAATATATAATTGCATTAAAACAGTTCATGTTATTGAAAACTTGATGCTGAAAATCCCATGTCACTAGTCCTTCCTCTGAATCTCTCCTCTTGCCATATACTGAATTCATGTACTCTGAAAACATGTGGGAATTGCTCAGATAAAATAAGTCTAACCTAAAACAGTAGTAACATCCAAGGACTCAATCAGAAATGTAGCTTTATTGTGCCTTTGTTTAATTAAACATTAAAGAACAATTATTAATCAAACAGTAAAGATCAACTGGAAAGAAAATCCCTGAAAAGATGCAGAACTGAACATCAATCAAAGATAAGACAGTAAAGGACAGTGGTTTGTGTTGTAAAGATGTAAGACAACATTAACCAGGAACTTCCCACAACCCAGTAGAAAAATCAAACCTTATATAAGTGATGAAACATTTCAAAACCAAATGCAGAAATAACAACAACCTAATACAAAAACTACAACTGTCATCTCCAACTTAATCCTGACAATGAGCACATACGTTAGTTACTTTTTAAAGCCACATGCTCTGTGTGACCATGTGTCGCACACGGTGCACTGTGATCATGAGCACCACATCTTCCTGTTTTACATTGCATCCGACTCTGAATCTTCACAGCTAATGTCGAACTCATCTGAACTGTCCATTGTGTCCATTATGTCATCTGCTGATGACAGCACATGCAGGTAGTGTTTTCTTGTATGCCGCTGCAGCTCTCTCATTTCCCACTGCCTTCTGAGGATGAGGCAGGTGTGACCCTTTGTTGCTTTCTCTGTGAGATGTCCTTAAGAAGGGATAAAATATGTCACTATCCAGGTAAATAACACGTCTTTCACAACTTTCGAAACATTCGAACATTCGAAATTAAAAAAATTAAGTACAAGGCCGCATTTACTTTGCATGGCGTCTTCACTCTGATGCTGAGACAACTCAGACAAGACCCTGGCATGGGCTTTGAGAGACTCCTAGTGCTGCTTCATTTCTTTCACAAGGATCTTCTTCTCCTCTTGAAGCCTTCGAACACCCATGACCCTATCGAAGACTTCTTTCTTTGTGCTGAAATCAGCAGAGCCTGTAATACATCAATATGAAAAGTTCAGACCACTGCATATAGCATGTAGCTTCAGAGATCATTTCTGTCATACATATGCACACTTGGTCAGAATGCAAATATGTCCCCTGGAACACCTAAATGTAAGAATACTAATGATGAAATGTGTATTCCCTAAAGTACTGTGCTTTAGTATAAATTTGAGGTACTGGCACTTTTCTTTTTATGCTACTTTCTTCTTCTACTGCACTACATCTCAGAGGAAAATATTTGACTTTTTACTTCACTACAATTATTGGACAACTTCAACTTTTAGTGCTTTAAGGATACTTTACTGATTATACTGAACATTTTACTTGTGATCAGAGTATTTTTACGGTGTAGTATCAGTATTTTTTACTTTGTAAATAGACTTTATGCTTTTAAGTAAAGGATATGATACTTCTTCCACCACTAAAGAATACGCACAGTACATGAAATGCATACCACTCTGTGTAATTTGCCAAGGCCAGGGATGTTCTGTGTCCAGAACGCTATCCATGCAACGAGACTGTTGTACTCTGCTACCATGGCCTTCAAAGTGGTCTTCTGTTGTCTTATTTTTCTGCGAATTCTATGTCGGCCTTTGTCTGAAAACCAAAGAAAAAAAAATAAACCCACATTATATCTTTTAAATACACTAAGTCCATGATCTTGTTTAAGTTACAGCTGTAACAACAGAATGACAATACATTTGCCAAACAGATGGATCATCATAATAGATGTACTTATAATAACTGAACGCAAATCAATTTGTTCTGGAGAAGTCCAACACATGAAACATTACTTTTTAGAACTGTATGGACATTGTAATTATGAAGTGAGTTTGGAGACATTTCAGACTGTGATCTGAAAAGGCCTTAAATGTTAACATACCGTTTTTCCGATATAGGAGTTGAGCTCTCGTGTTGATGCTGGTTGTGAAGGCCTCAATCTTCTTACACAAAGCTTGTGGTGTGCCTTGATGGTCAATTTCTCCTGACAAAATTGATTGCAGGTAGCGTCAACTTCACAAACGACACAAATGTTTCTCCATGTCAGATAATGTTTCACATTCTTACCATCTGCCCATTCTTTTACTTCTTGCACAAATTCTTCCACAGTTTGTTCACCCAGTTGATGCTGGGCTTTGAGGGTTTCCAGGTCCCCAATCGGGATATTGAGAGCTTTAGATGTCTAAAATGACAAAATTATTACCATAAGCTAAAAGTCAGTACAACATATACAGTGTACAAATGCAACTCAAATCAGGCAAATGTTGTAACTATCATGTATCACAAGCCTATGTGCACAAAACTGTATGTGTGTTTCCTTGACCTACACTGTGCCATTGCAGCAATATTGTTTCTATTTACCTTATGGTATCTCTGGGAAAGTCCAGGAGCCAGGTTTGGACATTTCTGCTGGTTCCATCTTATGGCCAGGAGTGTCAGCATGTCATTGCGTCCTGCAAGTACACAGAGATGAGTTCTGTAAAGATTCACTTGTAATAATATAAATGTCTTTTATTCTGTATACAGAGGTACAATTATACAGCACCTGCTTTTGACATATGCTTTGTGGTGACTGATATCCTGGAGAGGAAAGCATTACATTGCTCTACTTCCTCCCCTAGTGTTTTACCAGCACCTTCTTGGTTTGTGCCACTCCATTTGACCTGGAGAGAGGGACCCAAACAGAAACATCAAGGGAATTTAGTACAGCAGAGACCTCAAGCAATGCCCAACAGTCACTTTTAATTCAATTAAAACCTAATCAAAAATCAAACTGTCACCCTTCCACCAAGTTGTGTGTACATTAGTGGTAAACCTCATGAGTAATCTTGCTTACCAACAAACATACACAGACAGGTGCAAAATAATATCCTTGACAAAAGTAGATGTGTCAATTAAGGGCTGTTCACATCAACAACAATAACTATAACAATACAAATGTTAAATAATCTGTTAAGTGATAGTTAAACATTACACATTTATATGCATCATTTATAGGATTGCAAGTCATTTGATAGAATGTACTGTATTATACTAACCTCACATTTGAAGTCATGCGCTTTAGCATGTACAAACATATTAAGGGCAGCCAGCAAGACATCATGCCTGCACACTGCCAGCTCCAGTCCCTCCTCATCCACCTTACTGATTGATATTGGGAGGTCTCTCTGACAGCTGACCACTCCCCACCACAATTGCTCCTTCCAGTGACCTACATTGTAGAAAATCATAATTGACAAATAATCCCATCAACAGTCATTACAGGGAACAATTATAAATTTCTCTTAGGGGACAAGGAACAGATAAGTGTTAGCAGATTAAGAACAATTAGGTATACAGGTAGATATCACAATACATGGGAGTACTGACAGACTATGAATTATAATGTTATATTGAGATAGAAATTGAAGTCTGCTATTACATGTTTTTTTTTGCTGTGGATGTGATCCACAAATCTGGTCACATCGTCATCTTTTGCAATGAAGACACCGTCAAAGATGGCCCGGACGTGAGATCTAAAAAAACAACAAGAAATAAAAAGGCTCCAATGTTTAAAAGGATAGTTGAGTACTCTGAAGTGGGATGGTATAAGGTACTTATCCATAGTAAGTGTGTTACCTACAGTACACAGTGTTCAGACAGCCCTTTTCCTTGGCACTACATTGTCTCAACTGTAGAAATGCATATTTCTACATCTAACCCCAACTACAATCCTGGATATTGGGTTTTTTTCAGGTGGGCCTTTTATATGTGGCTAAAACACATTTTTCTGCTTCTCCACAATAGAGGCAGGGGATGGGTGGCGGTGACCATTGTCTGCTGTAGGTAACAGACTGACCATGGATAAGTACCTTATACAACCCCACTTCAGAACACCTTAACTATCTTTTTAACATGTCATACATCGAAAGGTTACTTGTTGTATAAAACATAACTATCTATTTTGCCATTTAAACAGTGTGGGTGTACATTATTGTATACCTTGCAGTACTTTTGAAGCGGTAATGCTTGCGGTTTCCATCCACTGAGACAGAAAGCATTGCTGGGGTACAGGCAGGACAGATGAATTTCTCCTCCTTGCAGGTGGAGTCAACCTCATATTGTACAGCAGCCCATTCAAAAAAGCTTTTTTGGAAGCTGTCTGATGAGATCTTCCCAGTCTATGTAAAAAAGACAAAGCACAAAACAATGTTGACATCCCGGGTGATGCCATCTTCATGTCTTCAAATGTATAAAACAGGTCTGTCTCATAAATTGTTACAAAATGAAGGGGGGCAGGTCAGTATCCACTTTTTATCAGGTCATCAAGTCCTGCAGTCCAAGTTGCCTGGCATCCCTTGCAGGTCAGCTCAGGCATGTTGAGGTCATACCGTCCTACAAGGTAATATTTACATTTACAACCAAGGTTGGAACGTTATGTAGCATGTGCCTTATACTGTATATCCAAGTGGTTCAGTAAGGCCTGCTGACTGGATGGGCACTATCATGAATAAGTCATTTGTAAATGGCATGAATAAATAAGTGACATTCCCCCCCAAAAGGATGGCAACCATAATGAGCTCATTTTTTGAGACATTAAGTTGTTGGGAGTTGTTGAATAGAAATACATAGTTTTGTTGAAACTGGACGAAGGAAATCTTTTGCATAATTACCATTTATTGTGACCAAAGCAACAGCCTTCCCTTGGATCACCCTGAGTGCTTCTGGGGGACACCCACAGATGCTGACAGGCATCTCAATAGGCAAAAATCACACTGAAAGACATTACACATAGGTTACACTAATTCATAATTACTGACACAGACAGAAACTAGCTCAGAAAAAAGCAGTGTGTAACTTACCACAGTTTGTAAGTGCCTTTTCAACAACACAGGTGGTTGGAGGCAATGGCTGAAAGAAGCCAGCACACATGGCATCCCTGTTATGGAGGACTGAGGCCTTGCTGTGTCTGCTGATGTCACATTCAGCGCAGAGAAAGGGACGTGGAAGGCAATCTCTGCATCTAATAGCTGCGCAGTTGTTCCCACATTGGCTGCAGCCATTTGTTGCCACGCTCTCCTTGGCCAGCATGCTACTAAGAAGAGATGGTCTCTTTTCCCTCCATCTCTCAGAAAAGAGAGCATTGCGAATGCTCCAATCCAGAGAAGCCAGAGGAGCTCTTTGGTCTGCTGATGCTTCACTAAGCTCTTCATCAGAGCAGCTCAGGGAGGGTTGCAGATCTTGCAAAAGACATTCTATTGCAATTGTAAAAGAAATACATGGAGTAGTTAGAAGGGGCCCAAGGTTGTTTTTGTATCATATGCATACAACTAGCAAAAACATGGACTTCATTGTTACACAGATAAGAAGAAAATGTTGTTATATGACAGATATAACATATATAACAATGAGAATGGTGCTTGGCAATTGCATATCAACAGGGAGAAACGTTGTCATAAAGCTTGTTTTGGAGACTTTGTTTTGTTCAATAGCTCATTTTGCAGATACTAGGTACAAGACATTATACACAGAACATATCTAATGAAACACACACCAGCAGAATCTGTGTGTGAAGCAGTCTCTGGAGCAAAGGTCCCCTCTACATGAGGGTGTGAGGTGAGACCGGTCTTACAACGGCGTTCAGCTGTAATGCAGAAAAAACATAAACAGCTCTTAGAGCAGCATATATTTGTCTAACACTTACATTTGTTTTAAAGATACCTGTATGCAATCTACATTTATACGATACAGTACAGTTTTCCTATTTCATTTTTTGGGTGGGGCGTGGGTCTTCTTTTGGGAAAGAGGCTCCAAGACCACCTACATAAAAAATGTAACTCCTGTTAGCCAAATCATGCTTACAGCAAAAAGTATTTCTTTATTTTTTAAGTTGAGTTAACTAACATGCAAATCTTTAGAGTTTTTACAGGCAAATCATAAGAACATGTAAAAACTAAGCATTGTTGTTATTTACTTTGTGGTTGAATTTTTAACCAAACGTATCTTACTACCACGTGACATCCAAGTTAAAGGGTACCGTATCCAACGTGCGCGTCGCGTCAGAGAAGATGACGTCGACACGCAACGGCAGAGAAATCAAAAATAAAAGCTGATGTTTAAGAATTTGATTAATAAAATATGCATTTATGTATATAGTAATTGAGCAACTAACTTAACTAACCTAACGTTTAACTTTCCTTTATCCTAATAACGTTTCTACAGGATGTGTATTTATGAAATAGAAACCACTAGTGTCTTTAGTATTAACGTTACTCTTGCTCCTAAAATATTCTCTTCTGGCTTTATTTTGAAAGGGCATATTTATTTTGCTAATTCAGTCCACCCGGATGTGGGTAAATGTGTTGTTGTGTTGTTGCTAACTTGACAGTGTCACGGTTATCACAACAAACTCTAATGCCAAAAATCTCTTAAAATGTTGTTTTTCCACTGAAATTAAAGAAAATGCAGACAGAAATCTGACAGTCACGTGACTGCTCTGCTGGATAACACACCTTCTGTACCTGCTGGGCTTGAATAGTATTGGATCAGCCAGATGAATGGGTGATAACTGCCTCCTGCACCTACTAGTAGGTAGAGTAGGCCCCTACTGGCCCCTATCTGTGGGATGATTGTATCAGGATAACGCTTATTCAATGGTATGATAACAGTCAGATCGGCTGTTTTTCAGCTTTGATATCAATCAAAAACAAAATAAATGAATCAAATACAATCAAAACTTTATTTAGCTTTTGTTCAGTAATTTGTGCCAGTATGCAACAGTTCTTATATATACAAAGATCAGACAATAAAAAGGTTTGAATTTGGCACCCAGACATTTAAAGAACATGAAAATGTTAATTTATAAACACAATGTTTTTCTAATGATTTAACAGTCTTAAAGGCAGGTAATGCAGTTATTAGAATGAATTAGACTGCATTAGATAATATCAATCAGTGTGGTCAAACTGGTGTGTTGTAGTAATAAGTAGTAATGTGACACATCAAAGAAAAAAACTAAAAATAACCCATATTGATCAGAATCTGGAAAAAGTCAATCTAAACAATGAATATACATTTATTACATTAAATGATGTGAATCTTTCTGTAGAGAATCAAATGGTTGTTCTACTCAGTGGGATTGACAGGAGAGATGATCAGAGGGGCAGAGTTTGTACCTTTATTATTATTACAGGGACTAAAGTATGGGTAGAGTTTCTCAGTGAAGGAGCAGCCAGTAAAGGAGTAGATAAGAGCTGCAGCATCAACGTCATAAAAGGAGACCAGACCCTCCTCATAATCCACAAACACCCCCACCTTCTCAGGCTGAGACTGCAGAGAGAGACGAACTGGAGGGCCAGCAAGAGCTTTGTACTCATTTTCATTCCTCAAACGTATCATCCAGTAACCATTCTGAGGTCTCAGTGTGATTTTTCCCTTCCTGTTGATCGACTCTCTGACCACTCCTAAATCCCACTTAGTCTTCCCTTTAACCTGAACCTCGTAATAAAATCTTCCTGAAGAGAAACTCTGCTTTGCTAAGACATTAATACAAGTATCAAATCTTTCTGGATTGTCTGGGAGATTCTTCTTTACATCACCATGTTTAACTTGTTTCCCATCATCAGACAGGATGAGAGCAGGGATGTGCTGTATCAGGATCCAGTGTCACATCCACTGCATACTGCTGGACCCTCTTCAGCTCAATCAGCTTCTTCATCTGTTTACTGAGCGTCTCCTCCAGCTGATTCACAGCTCTCACCACAGTCCCCTCATATGAAGGTGGACGGACACTGACCTCTGTCCAGTCTTTGGTGGGTGGAGCAGCGTTCAGGGACAGGAAGCTTTGGAGGAGGTGGAGGTGGTCTTCAGACTGTGAGAGCTGGTCCACCTCAGAGCTTCTCTTCTTCAGCTCAGAGATTTCCTGTTCCAGCTCTTTGATGAAGTCTTCAGCCTGTTTCTCTGTCTTTCTCTGCTTCTCTTTGATCGTGTTGATGAGCTCGGCCTGGCTTCTCTCAACAGACTCCTTCAGAGCGGTGAAGACCTGAACACCATCTGCTATCTCTCTGTCTGCACCTTCCTTACTGAGCTCCACTGAGTGTTTGATCTCCTGAATCTTCAGTCGTCTCTTCTGGATCATCTGCTGAATTTCAGCCTCTGTCTTCCCCAGCTCGGCCTTCTTTCCTTCATATTCTTCTTTCAGAGGAACAAAATCATGTGTCTTGTGGTCTAGAACAGTGCAGAGCATGCAGACACACATCTGGTCGGTCTTACAGAACAGCTCCAGCAGTTTATCGTGCTTCGTACACATCCTGCCTTCCAGGTTCTCCACAGGGTCGATCAGCTGATGTCTTTTTAGACCTGCCATATTCAGATGAGGCTCCAGGTGAGTCTCACAGTAGGAGACCAGACACACCAGGCAGGACTTCAGGGCCTTCAGTTTGGTTCCAGTGCAGACGTCACAGGGAACTTCTCCTGGTTTGGAAACTTGTTGCTCTGAGCTGCTGCTGCTGGCTTTCTGTTGAGCTGACTGTCTGAACTGAGCAGCCATCTCAGAGATAAAAGTATTGATCTGCAGCTCAGGTCTTGTGTTGAAAACCTTTTTACAGTTGGGACACTGACACTGGACATTAATATTCCAGTGTTCAGTGATGCAGGTTTTACAGAAGTTGTGTCCACATGGTATGGTGACTGGATCAGTGAACACATCCAGACAGATGGAGCACAGAAACTGATCTTCAGTCAGCAGACAGCTGGCAGCAGACATATCTACACTGTGAGGATGAAAAGAAAGAAAACATTTCTTTTGGTTCTTTGTTTAATAAAATCATGATAATCTATGATTAGTGAAATAAAAGGAGAGAGTCGAGGAGTATTTCTCTGCCTTTCTTTCTCTGTGGTTTTACATCATTTTTGAAGAGGACTTCTGTTTGATCCCTAACTGCTGTCAGTCACTGATATGACTGTAGCATTTGGCTATTAACTGCTTGTTGGTCATTCAAATAATATTAAAAAGAATAAATGAATGATGAATTAATCTGATGTTTTACACATTGCAGTAATAACATCCCAGTCCCTCTGGTTCTTGTTAATATCATCATTTAAATCTGTAAACTCACAGTACAATTACATTTTAAACCCTAAAAACACAATCTGATCCCTCCATTACACAGCACACATTAAATACTATCACAATATAATAATATAATAATATAATACTATAGGGCCCTGAGGGGAACTTCCTGTCTGAGTAGAGCTCAGGTTCTGTGTTAATACCGGTTGTTGAAACACAGTAAATATTATCAGCTGTACTGCCTCCCAGAGACAGACAGCAGGAAGCTAGAAGCTGTAAAACGTCAGTTTTATTCCTTTATAAGCAATAACAGAGGTTGTCAGATGATCACATACTGTACTCTGTACTTTGGATCTAAAGGACAGCTAATAGGCTAGTTATCTTTTAGCAGGACTAGTTTCTGTGGTGTGTTTTCATTGTTTGGTTGGATTTAGCTCCTTCCTTCTGTCTGTATGTGCTATAACAGACTGTAACAAGCTCTGTAGGGCAGTGGACTCACCAGAGGTTGGCAGAGATTCTGCTGTTTAGTTGAGAAAAACCTGATGGATTCAGTTGAATTTGTCTTCAGAGACAAACAGAGAGACTTGTCTCCACTGCAGCTCTGCTGTCTTCAGACAAACTTTCACTTTCATTTCCAGGAAATGTGTCACTGAAGTTAACCACACCCCTTCATTTGCATATGACCTCATCATAAAAACAGCTGGAAATCATTTGAAATAAATAAAAGTAGTCCTTATTGTAAGTCCTTCTATAAATCAAAACCTGTTTATTTCTTTATTGAACTATATTGACTCATCTTTATATTTCATTTATATATTTATATGTATAAATATGTATATAATTATTGCCATATTTATGTATTTATTTATTTAATAATGACTCAAATGGACTTTCTTTCTGGCAGTTCATTAAAAAGTCTGTAAATGTGCATATTTTGAGCAGATATCTGCAAACGAACCAACAATTTCACACAACAGTCCCAGCTCTGTCCAACGTGTCATTTTCTGTCAGAAAAGAGTCTCAAAACTGCTCGTGTCCAAAGTTCAGACAGTCAGGTCCAGTCAGTTAAAGCAGACTTCAATTACTTGAACTTTATAGTTAAAGAATAACTATAGTTCATTTCAACTTGGGTTTTATTCTAAGACCACATTATTATGGTCTTTTCTGAATGTGTGTCAGTCAGTTCAATATAAATACAGCAGTGTTATAGGTGAGGTGAGTTAAACCTCACTGAGTTCAACATTTGATTTTCCATATGAATTTATTGGAGTGTGTTAATGTAAATCTGTGTTATTGTCTTTTGTTTGATAGTTTTACTGAACGTATTGTAGCTGAGATCAAGTCCTTTCAATGCAAACGCTGCAATATGAAATATTAAACTCCTGTCTGTCGCTGTCTGATTCAGTTTTCATTGTTGGAGGATTTTACCAGGTCAGAACTGGAGACTTTAATAGTTTTACTTGGTTAACTCTTTTCTTTTTTACTAACTAACATGTGTGTTCAAACATGTGAAGATCCTGTCAGACTGGCAGAGAGTCAGAGCTGAGTGGGTCAGATATTAGTTATTGATCAGCTATATGTGTTGGAAAGGCCGGCAGTGACACCTAGTGGACTAAAATGTGAGTTGCACAGAAACAGTGTGTGCTTTCTCAGTCAGTCACTGCAGCAACAGGAGAGCAGTGGATGGGTAATGCGCTGTGATTGGTCAAAGGTCACTGGCCTTTGTGCTGAATGAATTTAGCTCAAATGGGCAGCATATGAAGGGGTCGTGTCACCTGTGAATCAAAAGTGAATAGAAGCTTATGCTACTGAGCTTGGGCAGTAAAAAAAAACCCCAACATATATCATATATCCTGGGTTGTTTCTGTCACTATTTGGTGCTGCTGCTGCTCTAGGTTCCACCAAAATTCAAAACAATATGTTCTAAGGTTTTTAATAATAATTTTTTATCTTTACTTTAAGAGATAGGGAAGGCTTAGCCCTGTTAGCCCATATTTACCAGCCGTCCCTGTATATAACTGTGTGTGTGTAGAGGAGTCATTCTCATACAGTCTCTCATTGGGATTCTAGTCAGTTAAATAACGGCGACATTAAAATACTGGAACCTCCTCGAGGAACCCCTGATCTAAACTACCTCAGAGATATTGTTGTCCACCATTGTCCTTTTGTTATCTGTAGATAAATACAGAACTGTTCTACGTCCATCATTAATGTTTGTTATAGTCCTTATAATGTAAAGGATGACAACCTGTATTGTGTTGTTGTAACTCAAATTGTTTAAACTGATTAAATTGAGTAAAACTAACTTAATTCTGTATATTAACAGGAAAACATTCTTAATAAAGCAGCTTTTGTAATTTTAAGTGACTTTGAGTCATAATAACTGATCTACAGTCTTACTTTGTGATAATAAGTAATATAATCCGTATTTACCACAGTGATAGTGCAGCAGCCAGTGTGTGTGTTTAAATCTGCATAAACTGGAAATAAAATGATCAAAACAAACCAAATTCTCTTAAAACATTTCTTTACTTTATGCACGTTTGCTGCATTTCGTCCCTCAGTTATACACAACTTAAAAGAAATCACAAAACATCGAGCACACAAACGATGAGGGTGAGAACAAAAAAAGGCCATTCGTCTTTTATACACGTCCTATACAATATGTATGAGCCCTCTTTGTATAAATTACATCCAAAAAAACCAACAAAACAACCTCTTTCCTGTCGCCAGAAGGTTGAAGACATTCAATAGTAACATATTCAACCTGTATGAGGACAAATAAACTAAAATATAAACATGTTATTATTCTAATATTGACATCACTTCCTAGTTTGACATCACTCTGTGGTAAATAGTGTAATCTCTGCTATTGACAGTAATTACAGAGCTCGTCTATAAGTCTCTTCTAGAGTTTATAAAGCCCCGTTCTGGACAACTCAGAAGCATTTAAAAATCATTCACGCTTCAGTAAACCAAGCAAACAATACCAAAACTTTCATTAGCTGACAGCCGACACAGATCTGCTGCATTTGAAATGAGAGGACAGTATTTATATTTCTCATAATAATCCCTTTAATCTCTTCCTACACCGTCCAGACTGATTATTACTATTTTTATAAAATGACATCAACTTCTACAAAAAGCTTATTGTTGACAGATTCTGGTTCCTTTCGAGGGTCTAAACTGAGGCAACAACCCTTTTTATTTATTTATTTTTAAACCAGCGTTCACATTCTCTCTTTAGTGTCCTGCAGTGAAACGTCTGCAGACATCCTGGAAATAAAACGTCTGACCGTAAACAAGAAATACGACGATAAGATTGAAATGTTAGGTTGTCTCCTACAATAATAAAATCAGCTTTTGTTGAGAACATTAAAGGGAAAGTTCGGGTATTTTGCAGTGGGGCTGTAGGAGGTAATAATTCACATCGTATGGAGGCTTTTAAAGTCAGCTGACTATATTATGTTCAATGTTTTATCCATCAGACAGTCTTTTTCTTGGCACTAAAATGAACGGCCTGTATTACTACTAAGCTGCAACATCGGTGGCTGCAAATGAAACAAACACTGAAGTAACAAAAACCTGCAGTTCCTCTAACGGCCACTAGAGGCTGGCTCCAGCAGTGAGTCGATCTCCATAAGGCCTCATAAATAAATAGCCTTTTGGTCTCTGTACAGGGGAAACTCACCCCGTTAAATTATATTAAGGCTTAACGTTATGGATAATTGACCCTTCCTAAGCCCCGCCCCTTTTTGCTCTGTGCTCCAATAACATTTGAGCAACCCTCGGTCAACTTCCTCCTTTCCTGTACTTAGATATGCTACATGCTAGGCTAATCCATGTTGAAATAAAACCACATTTTGAAGATGGTTAAAAGATAAAGTGACTATATATATATATATATATATATATATGTCACTTTATCTTTTGCCTATCTAAGCACACTAAAGGAGGAAGGTCCTAAAAGGGGCGGAGCTTAAGAAGGGTCAATTAAGGGCGTGGCTACTTTGAGTGACAGGCGGGTAATACAGACGTTCTACGGTTAGCAACCAAAAAAAGAAAAACTCTCTTCAAAACACCCGAACTCTCTCTTTAAAAACAGAATCTGGTTCCTACGATAAACAGAAGAAAACAACTAGGACGACCTCCAGCAGCGATTTTGGCTTTAAATAAAAATAATATAAAAGAAGAATAAAGTAAAACAATAAAACAGGATTAAAATAAGAACTAGTATGTCGACAGATTTTTCTTCCTTACGTCACTCCGACGGATCGGGTTGTGCAAACGTTTGAATTCACAACAGAAATAATCAAAGTTGTCGAATGAAGTTCTTCAATAAATACATTCACTGGAGACACAAACCGATTATATTCACGTGAACCGAAGAGATCGGGACTGAAAAGCAGCTTCGCTTCGAACCGTCACTGGTTACATGCGATGTTAGCATCGGTGAAACGTTGCTTAAATTCTTGTTATTTCTTTTTCTGGTTAGCAACGTCCTGAGCAGCAGCTTCTCGTCACAGTTTCACAAACATCGTACCTGCTGTCGCTAATTAACGTTAATTCTTAGTAACTTAGAAAACTCCAACTGAACTTCTTCTGTACTCGTCTAAGATCATCGGAGAGGAAGGATAAATCTATGTCTATTGTTAGCTGGCTAGTTAGCCAGCTAACACGCTAATTCACACCAACCATTAGCCACATAGTTAAATCTGTTAGCTAATGATAGCATGGCTGAAGCTAGTTAGCTAGCTAATGACTGAAGATGGTTAAAAGATAAAAGCTACGTATATAGCTACATGTTAGCAAAGTGCTAGCTAACCTACATCAATTGTTAGCTAGCTAACTAGCTTCAGCTGGCTAGCTAGTTAACATTATCAACTAGTTAACTAACCAGATAACAACTGATGTAGCTTAACTTTATATATAAGTTGCTTTAATTCTTTTAATTAAACATTTAATAATGTGGTTGTTTATTTTCAATATAAACTAGCTTAGCACATAGCATTTATTTATTTTAACTTCCTCTCTGTAGCGCTGCTGTTCAACCGACAGCGAGAACGTAGCCGATCACTGTCGTTGAAATAATACAAATAATTTAGGTTTATAGTTTTAAACCGGCTTCAGTATTAAACGCCGTTATTTCAATGTGTCAGATATTTCTATTTACTTTAATATTGATTGAATAAGTATCAGATCCGACTCTGGTAGCACAGAAAGGATTTTTAATTAACTTACAGTATTTACTAGGGCTGCATGATTAAATGAACGCGACCGTCTACGATATTGACGTTTAAGATGTGTGTTGGGCTCGTAGACAACCACAGGGTGATCCGGATCCAGACCACAGACGAGTTTTCTAAAGTTTACTTCTAACTCGAGTTCAAATTAAGTAGAATTTACTTTATTTAACAGAGAATTCCTCTTCCAGAAACTGAATAAGTCAGAAATGAAGTGTGTGCATGCAGGTATGAGCGTCTGCACTACTTCCACCGGGCTTCCCTGAGAATTACGCTACGGAAAAATTAGACTTGCTGCTTCACATCTGGTGAGACTTTATCTGAGTGAGGGGCTAAAACAAAGTTAAACATTTCCAGGACAACTTAGATTATTTTTGTCATTATAATCGATATCCAAGTGCTTCCATGACTAGAAAACTAGTCTCTAAATTTCCAGATTTTCCAGGATGCCTGGGAACAACTCCTGGATACAAAATGGTGTATTAAGTTTCTGCTAACTGAACATTTCCTTCACAGTAAAAGCATTTAAGAGGCGAAACGCAAGTTGACTTGACACTGGCTGCTATCGTTCAACTAAAATACGTTTACAAATCAACATAATGGTTATTTTTGGATGGTTTTTTGCCAGCGGATCAGTTGTAAATATGATCGATGGGACAGGAAGGAGCTGCACACCTTCAACCTCTCAGCCAGGTAACCGTAGTTACTGTCGCCGTTCAGATTCACGCAGCAAGTGTTGCCGGACTTATTTAGGTAATCGTGAAATAATCGTGCAGCCGTAGTATTTACCAGTTAAATAATACCTTTCCCTGTCTCAGTACAACCTCTACCATGTGAAAGCTTTGGCTTCTTCAGGAACATGATGAAGGGGTTTTGTTTATATTATATCGACACACATCAGCCCTGATGTGGTCTGAGCGTTCTTCAGTCAGTGCGCGTGTTCGTAACAGAAGCCAGTCGAACCCTCGGACACGTTTCTGTCCACGGTGTGAGTGCAGGGTACAAATGCAGCTTTTTTTCCATTCGAGGAGAAAACAAACGTTCTGTAACGTTCTCAGTCCCGTCGGGGCATCCGGACCTCGGTTCCAGGGGGAAAACCTACTGAGAAGAGACTCTGAGGGAGCTGAAGGTCCATGGAGGTTGATGTTAGAGTGGGGGCTGGTTGTCGTGTTTCATTCCAAGTCCTGATTCTGCAGTCCGCCCCAGCCCGGCCTCAAGTAAACTGGTACTCCTCTGAGTACTCCGTGTCCTCCGGAGCGTACTGGTTGTCTCCGGCTGCGTACTGGTTGTCTCCGGCTGCGTACTGGTTGTCTCCGGCTGCGTACTGGTCGTCCCCCTGGGCGTACTGGTCGTCCGCGGCGGTGTACTTGTTGTCGCCCACGTACGATTGTTCTGCCGATTCTTGGTTCTCTGCAGCGTTCAGGCCCGATTTCTTCACTCTAAAAAAAACCAACACATAAATCTCATATATAACCTTTAACATATTAATTAATACATCAGTAAACATTATATTCTCTATATACAGACACAGAGTCACATGGTGTCTCTCTCCCTCTGTCTGTGTTGTATCGCAGCCTCTCTGTGGTTTGTTTCCATAGCCGGTCTGCTCCGACTGAAACTGCTGTTTTTATCATCTACGTCGGTGAATTAAGGATTTATTTCCACCAAACCAGAGTTGGTGATTGTTGGAAACACTAACAGAGACCTTTTTAATCAGTTTTATTCTGTTTCTGTCCAGTTTAAAGTGCGTTTTACGACAATCTGCTAAGCAAAATTATTGGTTTTATCAACGGAGTCTGGTTTGCGGTAGCATCCATTGTTTTAGTCTGAGATGCTGGAGCTCTAGTGAGACACCCAGTGGCTGTGAAATTTAAATATATAACCTTCAAGATTATTTTGAGACATTTTTGTTTTTCTGAGGACAGTCAGTGGTGGTTTCACACCACTGACTGGTTACGTCATTACGTTGGGACGTTGCGTGTACTTACTGGTTCTTATGTTTGGCACCACTGATATGAGACTGGTACTGCTCCACAGAGTTTAGTTCAATGTTGCAGACGGTGCATGGGTAGCCCTTTAGTGTGGAAGCTGTTGACACACAGAAAAGGAGAGAATTAATGAATTATTTATCTTCCAAGGAGTTATACGTTCACTGAGTCGAGCCATTAAAGCAACATCATGCAACTATTCTACCTTAAAATAACAGATTCAGATTCTGTTCTCGCAGTATTTAACGGGGGTTGGGCCGGTACGATCTCCTGATTTTGGTGAAACTGGATCGTATTTTATGGTGAAGTAGCCACTAACTGCTGTTAACTGTATGTTTAGCCAGTTAGCTCAGTTAGCCATGCTTCGCCCAGACTGAGAGTTTGAAGCACCGGGGGAAGTGTTCAGTGTGGTGTTCACTGGTCGGAGCCGCTGAAGATCAAATTGCTCTCCAAAACAAGAAGGAAAATGCCAATTGTTACATAATATCAGCTTTAAAATGGCGGTTCTACAAACTCAACCAGATGAAGGTCTGGATTCGTGGTCCGACCTGGTGCCGTGGAGGGTCCGTACGTCTCCATCAGTTTCAGCTTGGTCATCTGTTTTCGGTGCTTCTTGCCGACGTAGTGCTGCTGGGCCATGAGCGGGTTGTTGAAGGAGGCCTGGCAGATGGAGCAGAAGCGGTCCGGGTTGTTGTTGTTGTTGTTGTTGTTGCCTGACGCCGGCACGCTGCTGGAGTCCTCTGCGGGTTTCTTCTTCGGCTGAGCTGGTGGTGGCGGCGTCTGGGAAGCTACTGATGAAGAGGAGATACAACGAATGTACACACACAGGAAATAAGATAAAAGCAATACACAGATTTAGAGCTGCAGGTTAATAATAATAAAATCATTAAACTAAAATACCTGGAGCCTGGGGGCCGACGGTTTTCAGCCTCAGGTTCTTGGCGTGAACTTTGCCCTGGTAGTGGGACTCGGCCACCACCACAGAGGAGAAGGTCATGTTGCATACGTGACACACCTTCGACCGGTCCGTGTCCCCGTTGTTGAAGTCCTGCTAACAAAAGACACACAGCGACATTAATCATTAATGGCTGCAAGAGGCATCAATTGTCCCGTAAACAGAAGACTAAACGTCTGTTCTGTGTTTCTAAAACTGGTTTTCACTGATATCTTACGTGTTTTAGGAGCATTCAGAGTTCACAGAGCTCAAACAGTCCTGGGAATCCAAACTCCAGATAATGACGGCGCTACCTGAATATCTGTTGTGTGATAAAAAAGCTTCACTAAGAGCTTCCAACTGCATCAGCTGTGAGACGCAGTGAACAGATACACCTGCTTATCTTCACAGTGAGGGATAATTCAGATAAAACTCAGCCTTGGACAGTTTTCCTGTAAATATGTGTATTATTTAATGAAGTGTGTTCACACGAGGATGCAGAAGAACACAGAGGGAAGAATACTGTCAGTTACTGTCGGTGTGCACACTGTGGCAACGTCAGCGGTTTCAGATGAGATCCGCTGTCATTGTCACTGTGAGCGAAGGCCAATGTGGTGCAAAGGAGCATCCTGGGAGATTAAACCTCTCAACATCAGAAACATTTGTGAACTGCTGGTGTTGGTGATGGAGGCTGTTTGGGTTTCACTCACACTGTCAGACGGTGACGATTTCAACTTTTTCAGCGCCGGCTCTTTCTCGTGTTGGATGGAAAGATAACGCCGCACTTTGTTGGCGTGTTTCTTGCTCTGAAAAGACAAACAAACAAACAACAAACATCAGCACCTCAAGCCTCATCCAGACTTTATTTAAAGGATAAAGGTTTATTTCTGTGATGACACAAAGAAAAGAAGAAGCTTCTGCGTTTTGATTATGGCTGCTATATAAATATAACTTATCAAATACAAAGATGTGCTGCTTTTCTATCAGTAGAAATCAAATAACTGAGTTTTCTGACTATTGTTCAGATAAAATGAATTATTTTGAGGCATCATGTTCTAACATTTTATAGACGTGACAAGATAAAATATACGAACAATGTTTAATTTTGGTATCGGCATCAAAACTCATATCAGCACTGATATACAACAATAATACCCAACTGTAGACCCATAAAAACTTTAAACATTAACATTTCTTTAAGGTTGTTATTTAGTACAAAAAGCACAGCAAACCGTACCCTCCCCCTCTAAACAAAAAACAATTAATATGATCATAATAACTCACAAAAAATAAAAAAATAAACGAGACAATGTGTGAATGCAGCAATCACAGAATTACTCTCACTTGTGAAATAAATATTATTATTGTTACTATTATATGAATCAAGTAGACAGTACTGACCACTGACCTGTATCTATCCTGTCCTATGTAACTTAGTATTATTGTAACTTAGTAACTATTGTTAACTATAGTTTCTATTGTATGAATCAAATAGAACCGACCTCCGACCTGCACCTACAGCCCTGACCTCTGCCCTGTATCTACAGCACTCTCTTTATTAACTGCCTCTGAAAGACAATTAGTGTGAGATTATTGGCCGTCATCTTCACTATATAACAACAATATCACTGTTGAATAATGCATGACACAATGACAATAATTCCTTCTAGCTAATACTCCTTCATATCACTGAGCATAGTAAAGAACAAAGTCCCCTGACAGTAAAACAGCGGCAGACTTTGGGCTCACTGACCTGATAATGAGTCAACTTCTGAGACTCAGAAATGAGGACAGCGCTGCAGACTTTACACTGGGAGTCAGAAAACAGGTCGCCGTGCTCCTTTATCATCTTATTTACTGCAGGAGGAGAGAAACAGGAGGTTTTAAAATCAGGTTACATCTTCTGGGAAAAAGTAATTATAACACAACGTGAATATATATATATATATATATATATATATATATATATATATATATATATATATATATATATTTGTTTAAGAGACGTCCTTTATTAACCGAAATCCTGTGACTTCTATTTATTATAGAGCTTTTTATGAAAACAGTTTTCTTTCTCACCGTGAGTGATTCATATGCACACGTCAGCAATACATTAAAGTCAGCTGGCAAACGCCTAGACGACAATCTGTGTGAGCACCACGCTCGCAGACACAGACACATTTTTAGGTCTAACTGAGTTTGAGTCATTGTTCTTGGCTCAGTTTAACTTCCAACAGTGTCAAGTCACAAACATGTGACAGAAATAACTGGTGATATAACCAACAGATATGATTAAACCAAGTATTAAATCAGGGGATTAAATGTGGTTGGATGGGACAATGTAGGAGCCTGACACTCTTTTACTATTTAATGTTCCCCTTTCAGACCCGTAACGTCGCTGTTTCTAGGAATGTAAAGATATATACGGCGAGGAAGTTAAATCACTATACAAATGAGATGAACCCTTCTACTTTGTTTATTTGTTGTCCTGCGTCACTCACGTCCAAGCAGCAACCTCCAAATGGAAACAAAGCCAAAGCAGAAGTAACAAAACCTGCAGTTCCTCCAACGTCCACTAGAGGCTGGCTCCAGCAGTGACTCCGTCTCCATAAAGCCTCAAACTAAAATACTTTAGAGTAGAAATAAACACATTTACAGCCTGTTCATGACGACTGCATGTTACTCACTGGTTTATATTAAATGTAAGAACATAAGTGACGAGATATGGCCAAAGATACGAGGCTTCATTTTTTATAAATAAAAAAGGTAAATATGTTTCTACCCAACCTCAGAAATAAAAAAGGATTCTTTAATTCGATAGAGAAAGAAGACCTGAGTACTCCGAGAGCTGCTTTCTTAAACAAATAACTTTTAAGAATATTTAAATTAAATATTATTAATGCAAATTCAGCCAATCCCTGTCTCACTGGAACAAGTTGCCTTCAATTTCTAATGAATTATTTCACTTTCTACGTCGCAATAACATCACAACACTCATAACAATATTCGAGGAAGAAATAAGAGAAATAATTTTAGGCTCCAACAATCCCATAAAAGTCCAGAAGGAGCTGATATTGTCAGTATTTTAGAGACCCACCTAGGATTGTACATATTGTTCATATTCAGAGGAGAATGTCTAATAACGAGGAGGATTTAAACCTTTACGGCACCAACAAATATAACACACATTATTACACACAAACACTTCTAAAACTAACTTTATCTGTTAAAGTATGGAAGCACATTTCTGCCAATGTGACAGAAAAACAAGATTGTGTCAGTCAACAATAATAATAATAATAATAATAATAATAATAATAATGACTTAATATCACAAACTCCTCCTTCTGATAAACTTTATTATTATTATCTTTAATTTCCTTCACTTTGGCAGAACTGTGCCTCCATAAACATTCAGAAGTAGTACAGTAACATGTGTCTACTAACAGACCATAATACTCTGAGCCAACTGCGACCCGCTTTATGGCCTCAAACATGATCCACGACCCCTCCGGAACCGGGTCTACAGCCGGTCCACACGCCCCGGCACCGACCCATCAGTCCGGGGCTACATCGGGCTCTCATCGACCTTGGAGCAGGAGCGGCGTCAGCTAGCCTAGCCTAGCCTAGCCTAGCCTAGCCTAGCCTAGCCTAGCAACACCGCTCCGCTCGCCCTGTAGCGCCGGCTAACGTCAGCTAGCAGGAGGCTAACGTTAGCTCGCAGGAGGCTAACGGAAACGTTTAACGCGTAACCCCCCGCCGCTGCGCCCGGGCGCTCTGGCGGGGTTGTGGGGTTTAAAGTCGGACGTTACGTCGGTAGAGAAGCGGGTCTCACCCTCCGCTGGTCCGGACGGTAGGAACGGGAAATCCTCCGTCTGCATCGCGTCGGCCATAGCTCCTGTTACTGCCCGGTGCGCATGCGCAGCCGACAGGCCGACAGGCATCAGGGTAAAAATAAAAGCGCTCTCACTCAGGTATGGAAGCCCATTAACGCCAATTATAATGAACAGCTCATAGTTGGGGTGTTTATTTTATCATAATTCAGACTTTTAATCTCATAATGACTTTTTATATCATAACTTTGATCTTTAAGCTCATAATTTTACTTTTTAACTAACTAGTTTTTTATTATTAAGGCTAAGGTTTCATCTGTTTTCACTGAACAAAGACTTTCTGATTATTTTGGTAACATTTTGTCCTCACACACTAAAAAGATTCTGATATTCTGTACATACAGTATACTGTTGCTTCAAAACTCCCAGGCAGAGCAAAATGCAAATACAAAAGGTTATTTCGAAAAAAAAAAAAAAATAAAAATAAGAAAAATGTGCCAACACAGAATAATAAACATAAAGTAAACATGGTTAAAGAGTGAAAGTGAAGTGAACAGCAAATAAACAGTATTTAAAATAGAGTTTATTGTTCAGTTGTTGTGTTGCCTACACAACCACACAAACCCCCCATTAGAAACTTTAAATATTGTATTTTTAATAAATGAACTTTTTAGTGGATAAAACTGCTAATAATCATTTATTTCCAGCCATAAATACCAGTGTACACATGTAAATCCCAGTAAAAAAGAAAAAAGTCATTATAAGTTTATTTTTATGAATTAATGGGTTTTTTATGCCAGATTTGAAAGAGTGCTGCAGTACATACTTCAAACTCCATTTTTATATTGTTATATTTTCTATATAATGTTGTTCAGGGGCGGACTGGGACAATAATTCAGGCTGGGAGTTTGATACCATCCGAGGCCACCACCAACCGATTAACACCAGAGTGAGTTAGGTTGGGCGCCTGCTGATGTAAGAGTGTAAAATAGAAAGTGTAGTAGTAGATGAAATAAAATAGGTTACACCATCATCCACCTAAACTTGAGACCAATCCTATTTTTAATGTAACAGGTACCAGACGAGTAATAAATGTGACCACTGTGTCAACCAGAGAGGTTTATTCTCTTCACAAAGTGGAACTACCCTCCTCATTAAGCCAGTGGTTCTGGACAGGTTATGGTTATGTTGACGGATTGTTTATTTCTGCATACGTTATCTGCTCCATCCTCTTAAAACTCAAATACTCATAAATAAACAGCACATTAATTATTAGAGTCCAGTCCTGGCTGATTGATTATGAGCAGCATGTGTTCAGTGTGTTTGTGTGAATGTGAGTCAGTCGGCCACTAGGTGGAGACAAACCACCTTTAATACAACAGATACAACAGAGAGCAGAAGGCAGCAGCATTACATTAATATCACTTTAACAAAGAAAACAATATTAACATTATGACATTATTTCTAACAACATAGCAAAAGTCTAAATGCAGAACTAACTGCCACATTTACATTTAATTTAATCTTTATTTACTTTATTTTGGATTTATTGGCTTTTCCCACGTTTGTAGACACTGAGGACGCATAATGTGACATTTATCCATCCTATATCTACCTATACTCTATATCTCCAGTTCAAGCCTTTATACGTATATTTTTATACGACCTGCTCCTTTAAGACATGTCATCGGTTTCCGTAGTGTAGTGGTTATCACGTTCGCCTAACACGCGAAAGGTCCCCGGTTCGAAACCGGGCGGAAACACTTCTTTTTCTTTTGTCCTCCTAAAACTGTAAGATTGAGATGTAAAAATAATGTATTGTTATTGATTATAAGTATATAGTATTGATACGTATCACAGTCGCACAAGAAAATTACCCATCTAATCCAATATACTGTAATAATAATAGTTTGACATAAAAATCTAATTAGCTGAATGTTAAACTTTCCACAGAATAATTGGTAGTATTTAGCATTTGCTTTAATTAGAAATGTGTCTCAATATCATACAATAATTTAAATATAATATAATAATAATAATAATAATAAATGGTAAAATTAAAGGTGTGTCTGACAGCAATAATACTTACTGGATACTTTATCTTAACAAACTTAACATACATTACATGTCTTATTAAATCTAATTCACTGTTACAAGAGTTTTATAGTAGGTGAGTAACTCTTCAACTATAAATATTAAAAATATAAAAATTTTTTTTTTTAAAAAAAAAAAAATAAAAAAATAAAAAAAAGAAAAAAAAAAAAAAAAAAAAAAATAGTGGTCTGTTTCTGTTTCTTTACTCTAAAGTACAAACAATCATAGTAAAAAAGTTCTTAAACAGGGTTAGGGTTAATAAAATTAATTATAATAAAATTAAAAGTAACTCCCCGTCGGGGAATCGAACCCCGGTCTTCCGCGTGACAGGCGGAGATACTGTCCACTATACTAACGAGGAAGGATGTAAAGAATCATGTGACCACTTGTGATAAAATTCATATACCAGAGCAATTGCGCAATGGAGTCGCGACAAGAAGCTACTATATATAACTATATCTACATTATATAATTATATATACTATATAACTATTATATTTAGAGTTATGGGAAGTACTCTGAAGATGTGTCTGTGGCCTACATATGTTTTTTATTCGTTACACAATCTGTGATAATAATAATGAAATGTGTGAAAATGACACTAATTCAAGTCAGCAAAGGAAAATGTGAATGAACGTGCTTTGTGTTGGTTGATAAAAAGTAGTAAGTAAGTAAAGCTTTATTTATATAGACACAGAAATCCAAAGTGCTTTACAAACAACAAATAATATAACCATACCCAATCAAACAAACATAGGGAGCATGTGAATACAAACATAAGGAAGATAAAACAAGAGGGAAGGGAACTGGGGGCTAAGGTCATGAAGCCCCTTATATGTAATCAGTAAGATCTTATAGTTAATTCTGAATGTTACCGGAAGCCAATGAAGGGATGTGAGAACAGGAGTAATGTGGGACCGACGGCTGGTTCTGGTTTAAGTTTGGCGGCTGTATTTTGTATTAACTGTAAACGATTTAACAAAGCTTGACTGAGTCACATGTAGAGGAAGTTACAGTAATCTATACGGGAGAAAATGAAGCTGTGAATTAATTGTTCAAGATCACTGGAGAACAGGAAACTTTAGATTTTTGCTATATTTCGTAGCTGTTGGCACTAATGCTGTATGTTGCTGTTAAACAGTCAAATCTCAAATTACTGAAAACAAAGTATAAAACATGATTGGAAGATGAGTTGTTTCATTCGGGAAAGGTTGCAGGGTCTTATTGCTCCTCCAGCTTTCGTAAATGTTTCCACTTAAAATTGAAAGTGCACATAAGAACAACGATTGACCGAAGAGTCATTTCTCACATGGTTTAACTTCAATCACTGTTTGATCCACTGTTTCACATATAAAGCAAGAAAAAAAAGATTTCTTCCAACACTGCAGATCAAGGTCGTAGCTTTCAGCCTAACAATGGATTAAAGTGAGCTTTTGAATTGTAAATGAGTTGATTCCGATGTTTGACTAAACAGGAAAATCTTCCGAGGGGATTTAAATACCTCACGTTCCTGTGATATAAAACATCCTGACATTGAAAAGGTTACAACAGTCGCTGTGGGTTCAGTTGTTGGAAGCATGCAGACCAAAGGTTTTTACTGTGAGTATCTCTGAATGATCTTTAAATTGTTTGGATCAGGAAGCTAATGTGAGATAAACTGACAAAAGAAAAACTGAAGGTATTAATATTTTATTAGATTGGCTTCACCAGACTGTTGCTGTTACTGTTGCTGTTACCTTTTGTGAAGAGTTTGATTCGTTTATTTTCAACACTGCCGACACAAGACTGTCAGTTTGTTTATTTATACCAGATTCCTCACTTCACAACTAAAAACTAGCAGATTTGTGTACGTCCACAGTTTGTGTACTTTAAGCAGAGAAAAACTAGAGGTGGGTAAACAGAAGAGTATTTTCATTGAACTTTCTTATAATTTTGCTAAACATTTTGTTTTATTTTATGGTTGGTTTTTCTGAGTAATTATTTGTGTTTTTCTTCTAAAAAGAAATTGAAAAAGCTTTGGTCTCATTACAAGCAAACAAATGTCCAGGAGAAGATGGGCTTCCTCCAGAATTTTACAGGGAATTTAAGGATTTACTCCTCACACTTCTCATGGATGTCATCAACTTGGCCTCTAAGACTCGAACACTCCCTGAATCATTCTCCACACCCATAATTACTGTAAAAAAAAAAATAGAGATCCATTGAAATGCTCTTCATATCGGCCAATTTCATTGTTAAATACAGATTATAAATTGATTTCTAAGGCCCTTGGCCTATGCCTGCCACAACTAATAAATCCAGAACAGTGTGGCTTTATTTCAAAGCGCTCCTCAGCTAATAACCTATGTAGGCTCTTTAATATTATTCATTTAACAAAATCTGAAACCTAACCCAGTATATCTGTGGCTTTAGACGCTGAAAAAGCCTCTGATAGGCTAGAGTGGCCATATTTATGGTGTTGGCCAAGTTTGGGTTTGGCCCATTATTTATCAGTTGGGTTCAAACTCAATACCATATACTGAAGTTGGTTCCTTTTTGCATTGTACCTGGCTGTGTATGAAAGTTAGGCCTTTTTGGCATGATATCAGCTCTATTTTAACCAGGATCACAGGAGTTGATGTTCCTGTGGACCCTGAACTTTGTTTATTGGGGAACTTTACAAGTATTCGCCGTTCTTTAAACAGTGCACAACTCAAATTCATTGAAATTGCTCTGTGTGGCTAAGAAGTGCATTGCAGTGTCATTGAAATCTGACTCCCCTCTTCTTATTGACAGGTGGTCTGTTGAGATGAATAGCTGCATTCCCCTGGGAAAAAAATCACTTATTGTCTCAGAAAACGCCTTTTTGAAAATTTGGCAGCCATAATTCAATTCAATTCAATTCAATTCAATTTTATTTGTATAGCGCCAATTCATAACAGAAGTTATCTCAGGACACTTTTCAAATAGAGCAGGTCTAGACCGAACTCTTTAACATTAATTACAGAGACCCAACAGTACCACCATGAGCAAGCACTTGGCGACAAGGGCAAGGAAAAACTGCCTGTTAAAAGGCAGAAACCTAGGACAGATCCTCCGGCTCTAGGTGGGTGGTCGTCTGTCTCGACCAGTTTGGGTGAGAGAGAGAGAGGCAGAGAGAGAGAGCGAGAGACAGACAGACAGACAGATAGACAGACAGACAGACAGACAGACAGACAGACAGACGCACAGCAACAACAGTATTGGCAATGGCAGTCAAGCAGGACCATGGCAGGAGGCTCCACCAGGATCCATGAGAACCTGCGAGACGAGAAAGCACAAGAACTCCGGGGAAGAAGTGGAGTTAGTAACATGCATTAAAGGGACATGAATGAGTGCAGAAAGAGAGAGGAAGAGAGGAGCTCAGTGCACCATGGGAAATCCCCCGATAGTCTAGGCCTATAGCAGCATAACTAAGGGATGGTTCAGGACTCACCTGATCCAGCCCTAACTATAAGCTTTATCAAAGAGGAATGTCTTAAGCCTACTCTTGAATGTGGTGAGGGTGTCTGCCTCCCGAACCACAACTGGAAGCTGGTTCCACAGGAGAGGAGCTTGGTAACTGAAGGCTCTGGCTCCTGTTCTACTTTTAGAGGCTATAGGAACCACAAGTAGCCCAGCATTCAGAGAACGTAGTGTTCTAGAGGGGGTAATAGGGTACTATGAGCTCTTTAAGATATGAAGGGGCCTGACCATGAAGAGCTTTATAGGTGAGGAGGAGGATTTTAAATTCTATTCTACATTTTATAGGGAGCCAATGCAGAGTAGCTAGTACAGGAGAGATGTGATCTCTTTTTCTAGTTCCTGTCAGTACTCGTGCTGCAGCGTTCTGAATTAATTGGAGCGTTTTAATGGACTTATTGGGGCAACCTGATAATAAAGAGTTGCAGTAATCCAGCCTTGAAGTAACAAATGCATGGATTAGTTTTTTTGCATCTGTCTGTGATAGTATGTGTCTAATTTTTCTAATATTACGTAAATGAAAGAAGGCAGTCCTAGAGGTCTGCTTTATGTGGGAGTTAAATGACAAATCCTGATCAAAGATAACTCCAAGATTCCTGACAGTGGTACTAGAGGCCAAGTTAATGCCATCTAGATAATTAGACCTTATCAGTACATCTCTTACTCCAAGTACTTAATGTAGTCGTTTGTATTGACCTTGCAATACATGGGGGAGGGGGGTTATAGGGTAAGGGGTTGTTTATCCTCCATGCTTTGCCCTTTGTTATGTCTCTATACTGTTGGTATACTGATATGTTTGTATACATTACATATATAAAACTGAAAATAAAATATTAAAAAAGTCACATATTCTGTACATACAGTATACTATTGCTTCAAAACTCCCAGGCAGAGCAAAATGCAAATACAATAAGTTATTTTGATTAAAAACTAAAATAAAAATAAGAGGAATGTGCCAAAAAAGGATACAGAAAAAAAATTACAGAATAATAAACATAAAGTAAATATGGTTAAAGAGTGAAAGTGAAGTGAACGCTGCAAATAAAGTGACAATATTACAGTATTTAAAATAGAGTTTATTGTTCAGTTGTTGTTTTGTTGCCTAATCGCAGCCACACAAACCCCCCATTTGAAAATTTAAATATTTTATTTTTAATAAATTAACTTTTGAGTGGATAAAACTGATAATAACATTTATTTAGGGTTAGGGTTAAAAACTGACAAATGGATTAAAAACAGACCAGAAGTAAAGCTGTGATTAAAGGTTAGAAACAACAATCTGAAAGAAACAATACAATCAGACAAAGGCGACAGATGTCTGTATGTTTCTGTTGTCACAGTATGAAATCTGATTGCGGCTCATAAATACTTTATTGACCAGCAGGCGGGATTATCAAGCTACTGAACTGCAGATTTAATAATTATTGTATCATCTCAACATTGTCAGACAGAACAAACACAGGTTAAGTAGGTCTATTGGCTTTAAAATACAAACTCCTGTTTGGGACCAACTTCTGAGGAAATAACAACTCTTTTTGAACCTGTTTCTTATTATAAAAATTACATTTTGAATCTAAAACATCCTCCAGATATTTAAAATTTAGCAGCAGACCGACTGGAACCAGTCTCCTTAAACAAACACATGCAGACAATTGTTTTACTCTTTATATGCAATGAGGGACAGTCAACTATTCAGGGATAATTTAACATAGCATCCAGGGATTTTCCAGCTCCTTCATGTTGCCTAGTTACAATAACACACACTTTTGCATCATCTGCATACATTTGTGTTTGAATATCCGACCAGGAGATTGCACTCACATCGAACAATAAAGGGCGGAACAATGATGTTAGATTATCTTCTAACTTTATGTGAACTTAGTGACTGAATTTACTAATTAATGATTAAGATCCACATGTATAATGTGTTTCTGGGAATGAATATGTACGAGATCCGGAGGTCAGGACCATCGACAGGATATAAGGACACACACACAGTATTTATGAGATAATAGTAGGAAGGATGGAGTGAAACAAATATCAGGATGTTTCTGATTGACTTTTGTTTTTCTTTTAAAAGGTGTTTTATTCCAGTTGTGGCTTCTCCAGAGCAGAGCAGGTAACAAAACGTTTAAATAGAGGGAATAACAACCATTTTTTAATTTGAATGAGGAACAGTCAAATATTCCAGGATAATTTAACATAGCATCCATGAATTTTCCATGTTGCCTACTTCCAGTAACATATTTGCATCATCTGCATACATTTGTATTTGAGCATCCGGCCAGGAGGTTTCACTCACATCGAACAATAAAAGGTGGAACAATGATGTTAGATTATAGTCCAACTTTATGGGAACTTGCAGTTCTTTCTGTTATGTAATGACAAAGGTTCTGAGTTCTGAAAAGTTTTAGCTAATTTATTAGCATGTTTGAGGAGAAAAACCTCTGCTGAGTATTAAATATAACCAGTATTCAAAAATGTTTATATGCATCTGTGCACATAAAGCACCAGATTCTTGATTCATGCATTAAACATTATGCATGTTTAATGTAGTTAAAATTGGATAAATGTAAAGGCAGATGGAATCTGGATGAAGACAATCAGACATTTCAAAATATGAAAAGTTGGAGATGGAAGGTTTTTGCAACTATTCATGTTTGTTTGTTTGTTTGTTTGTTTGTCGCCACCAAGTTGCCTCTTCTTTGGTAAATGTGGCCCCCAGTGGAACAGCAACCCAGTCATCCACAGCCAGTGGTGGTTATCCTTATAAGGCAATCGATGGGAATAGAGACCCGGTGTATTCCCACGGATCCTGCAGCCATACAAGCGGTGGGCTTAGCAGCTGGTGGAGTTTACTCCTGCCCGGGCTGTACAAGGTCGCACGTATTTCCATCACCAACAGATATGAAATACCTGAAAGGATCAATAACGCCAAGATCCTCATTGGGAATTCTCTAGAGAACAACGGCAACAACAACCCGAGGTAATCCTGTTTGTTTTTGTTTTGTAAACGTCCCAATTTACAGGTTTGACTTTGACCTACTGAGCTTCCATACGCAATGTGATTATTTAACACTGATAAAAAGCAGTAAGTGTAAGTGATTGATTGTCTAACTGCTCCAGTTTCTCGCCCCGTCATACTTTATGGACTTTATGCACCAGACTTGTCGTAATAAACCAGAATTATTTCTTAATGTTTGTCTCTTTCTCAGCTGCGCTGTTATTTCCTCCATTCCTGGCGGAGCTACCAGCACCTTCCAGTGTGGAGGGATGATCGGTCGGTTGGTCAACGTGTACCTCTACCACACAAACCCTGAAGTTGTACTGACACTATGTGAGCTGGAAGTGTATGGAGGTAAGTCAATCAGAACTTAAATTTGAACTCAAATGAGAAATAGCAGCTTGGCTCTTTGCTGCAGAATTTCCAAACCGGACTTTTGTTGCTCACATTTTCCAGAGCTGCTTCCTCCGGCGCCCACGTTCAGTGCAGTGGTGATGGGTAGGAACGTAGCGGTGGTGGAGAGGAGGCTGTGTTGGTCGGATGCTCTGCTGTACTGCAGAGACTTCCACTGGGACCTGCTCAGCATTCGCAGTGCAGAGGAGCAGATGGAGGTGGAAGCGGCGCTCACAACCGCCTCCTTCAACCTCACCAGACATGTTTGGTTGGGACTGCGCAGGTACTCTTAATAACAACGTCCATCTCACCAAGAGTGTCGCACTTTTACTTTTATCTTTAATAAGTTGTCTCCTTTACCAAAGTGAGTTTATGTTGAACTTACAATTAAAACCACATCAAACACAGATGTAAACTGTGTCTGGCTCTGCAGAGGCTCGTATGGAAGCCCAGTTCCACCAAGAAAAGAAAAATTAAATATATGTAGTTATAATAAAAATGAAAATTTTCACTGACTTAATATCTCATAATTTTGATTTACCATATTCTTATTTTTTTATTGTGCTTGACTTTCCTGTTTCGGTTTCCCAAAATTATGACATAATATTCATAAATATTCATAAAATTGAGAAAATATATATTTTATAGTTTGCAGTCTCCATAAACCTTTCTGTTACAGCTGCCGACATTCATTGACAAGCAGAAACTCAACTATCAGTGGATCCCTTTTAGGTATCTGATGGGGGACACGTGGTTTTGGATGTCTGGAGCTCCCATGAGCTACAACTACTTGGACAGAAAGCTCTGGCAAGAAAGCAGTCCCTGTGGCGGCATCGACACCGGCGCTCCCTTCCACTGGAGGGATATTCCATGTGGGGATCATCTTCACTTCATCTGTTTGAAAGGTGAGAGATCCAGTCCCATCTGTTTACCTACTGGGCTGAAGTTCATGCATCAAACAAAGTGTCCTGATATTGTGAGGGGACATTGTGTAATAAGGAAAACTGGAATATGAAACCACACTCATGTATCCCCGAGCTGCTAGCCTGAAGCAGATATGAGGAGCGGGTTGCAGAGCTCTGGTAATTCCTCCACAACCCCAGATATTTCCTTTCTCCCCAAAATTCAGACTTCAGCCTCTCAGACTAGCAGTTGTTTTCTGCAGCCTGTGAATCCACAAACAGCTGGCCTAAACTGATAGAGACACAATCTTTTACATCTTCTTTTTAAACTTCTGTTATTTAGAGACACAGATCTTCTGTGTGTGCATCTTGTGTGGAACAAGCATGGTTTCTTTTTCATCCAGCACATATCCAGTCACTACAGCTTGTGGTAGATACAAAGTATGATCTTGTCTCTCTGTATGGTTTTATTCAAGTCATCCATGACTGGACGCAACCGTCACACACTCTCGTATGTGGAAGTCTGAAAGAGCCGAGATTGGAAGAAGCAGTATGGTTTTCTCTCTGTTGGAGCGTCACTCTAACAGTTACACAGTAAACAGACAGATAGTGTGGGATGATGAGTCCTCGGCTGTTTACTTGGACATAGACTGTAGTTAGAAACAGGGTTAAAGGTTATATGCATATAATAGCCTCTCTTACAGTTGTGTCTGCTTTTACAATGACCATCTTCATTAGTCCTCTGCCTACTATCTACCATTAAAATGCAGTTTTCCAGCTGGAGAATGTAAGTGTTTCTATCTTCCAAGCTAGCTCGCTGCTTGCTGAATGCATGATTAAAAGTAATATTGTAACTGTAATATTATTAAGAGTAATGTGTTACTGCCAAAAATTGAATATTAATCTGCTTTACAATGAATAGTCTGTGTGTGTCCCCCCCCCCGTGTCCTTACAGATATTCAGAGTGAGACGAGAGGAGTGGAGTTTTTCAGCAGCACCAGAATGAAATCACCATGAAGAGAAACTCAGTTCACATCTTCAGAGTGTGTGTGTGTGTGTGTGTGTGTGTGTGTGTGTGTGCATCATATCACATCAGTGTACCGTGGCTTTACTGCTTTATTCTGTTTCATTGATATCTTAGTAATGTTTCTGATCCAAAGGGGGCCAAAAGGTTACAGAGGTTTTGAAACTCTTCCTGTTTCTGTCTCTTCCTCACAACTCTATTTACATATTATTATTATATTTACATGTTTCAGTGTGTCTGTGACTAAAAGATAATGTACAGTGGATTATTGTATAGGGTTACAGCAGTCAAACTCCTCACCCTCATATTAGTTCCTCTTGTAAAAGTGAAGCATATTCACAATAAAACACAATAAATCTGACCACCGGGATACTTCTCCAAGTATGTTTATTCAAAACTAAGCATAGAAATAATTCCAGCTTTATTAATGATGTTGTTAAGATGCAGTTTTAAGTACGTACGAGCTTCATCCCGAAGCCTATCGGCAACGTTTGTGAGGAAGAAGGAAAATCAAACTCATGTTGAGTTTGTACGAGATTTGGTTCTACAGTTTAATCGCGGAAGAAGAAGCGTTAAGGACACTGGGAAAATGAATGTCCTGTTCTTTTGGGAAAATCAAAGTTTTCAGGTAGTGCACGAGTAAAAGCTGCCTCTGTTTCACCAGCCCAGTTAAAGGGTCACCTGAGGCCCTGGGTCCCACTATTTGTAAGTCGACACTGTGTTGGGTTCGACACTGGCGCGAAACATACTTCTGTTTATGAGTCGATTCTTCCTTTCTCCTCAGATTCAGACACTTACAGTTTTATTGAATATCTCTGCCCTGAAATAAACAGACCTTGCTGTTCACCTGGTGAGTGCTCAGTGTTTGCTTGATACTGTATGCTAACTTATCCTTTAGCACTGTATCCTGTATGTAGGCATTGTGCATATTTACGACCCTTTCACACGAGTTTGCAACCACCTGGTGGAGTTTTAGCATTAGCCAGCTACAACGGATAAACTCTGTCAGCCATGGATGCCTCTGTTTCCACCTGTGAAAAAAAAACACAGTCTCACCTTTAGAAACTTTATCCAGAGGTAGATACAGAGGTTCTTAACGTGCAACCCTCTGACGGAGTCATTCAGGGTCTCTGTTGTTACACCTCCGTGCCTCCTTTGTGCACACACACTCACACACCTTGAAGTGATGGTTCATCAGTTCATCAGTTCATCACTTCAACAGGATCCCATCAGATACCACTGCTGCTCCACACAGGTGTTTAAAACTTATTCTGCAGAGGGACCAACCAATCCTCTAATGGCCTTTGAAGAGTTCGCGCAAACTGACTTATTCTTCGTGAACTTCAACTGATACAGAAAGAAACAGCTGACTATCAGTGACTGCGCCACAATATCATTAAAAAGGGAATATTAATACACATCACATCTACACATAAATCTCATTTATGTATGAATGTATATGTTACTTCAATTTTTGTCTTTTCAGTATGAACTTATTTTAATAAGAATGCATGTTAATGTATTAATTAAATGTCTAATAAAGAAAAATAAATAGCAGGTAAAGCAGGTCAGAGAAAAGGAAAAGTAAATCATAAAATAGAAAATAATCAGCAGATTAATCAATAAGGAAAATAATGGTTAGTTAAAGCACTACAACTACAAGAAATGTAATTAGATTTTATTAGTAATAAAAAAGAAAATTAAAGCTGCAAGCAGCGTTAGGCGGGACCTCGCACTCCACGCAACTCGGGGCGTGCTGCAGCCACGTCATGTGCCGTCGTTCCACGTGCGGACCAAAACATGAAATTTCACGTAAATAAGCTCAAAATTGCCACGCAGCGCTTACTTCCTTTTGCTGGTAGGTGGCGCTATCACTATGTCTTAATATTGTCATGTAGACAAGTTCAGGGCGGTACTGTTGTAACACACGTGAAGTTTCACTGAGATTGGACCACGTACGCTGAAGTTATGAGGACGTGTTCAGGGCGCGACTGTTACAGAATATATGAAGTTTACTGGAGATTGGACATTGCACACTGAAGTTATGAGTGCTGTTTTATGGCCAATCGGCTGAATTTGACAAGTCATCACCGGCACAGTCATTTCACGTAACTCGCTCAAAATCGGCATGCAGCGCTTACTTCCTATTGCCAGTAGGTGGCGCTATCACTATGTCTGAATATTGTCATGTAGACGTGTTCAGGGCGGGACTGTTATCAAGCATTTGAAGTGTGGAGCCGATTGGACAATGTACACTCACGTTTAGCGAATTCATGTTTTGTGGCGGTCCATCAAAATTTCCCGCCACCCCACAGACACGCCCCCTCACCACAGTCAACACATATCATCAACAATGTGTTTTGCATTTTATAAGTAAATTTCAGCTGGATCTGATCATCCTGCTAGGAGTAGAACATGAAAGTATAAAACGTGATACTTCCTGTTGCCAGTAGGTGGCGCTATTACTATGTCTGAATATTGTCATGTAGACGTGTTCAGGGTGGGACTGTTATCAAACACGTGAAGTTTCATTGAGATTGGATCATGTACAATGGAGTTATGAGGACGTGTTCAGGGTGGGACTGTACACTGAAGATATGAGTACTATCTGTTTGATGGTCAATCGGTGGAATTTGACGCGTCGTCACGGGCACACGGTTAAACGTACAGTCACAAATAGCACAACTTTTGATAACCAATGTGTGTAGATTGAAGTGATCGAATTTGAAGTCAATCTGATAAAATCTGTAGGAGGAGTTAGTTAAAACAGAAGCCCTTAAAGGCAGGAAATAGCATCACAGTTTGACATTCGATTCAACCTGGCCAACTTTGAGGGAACGCCACGGACACGCCCTTTAACGTACAGTCACAAATACCACAACTTTTAATCAGAACCATTTTTTGACAGTACTGACCAATTTTCAAGTAGATCCGATAAATTCCCTAGGAGGAGTTCATTCAAATACAACGCGAAAAGTTTGCTGAAAGTGAAAATGAAAATCAAAATGGCCGACTTCCTGTGGAGTTTCGGGTATGGGTCCAAGAGGCTTTTTTGTACGTCCCGGCATGTTACACGTGCCTACCGAGTTTCGTACATATCGGCACCACTTCTCCAATAATTCAAACTCCTTTCTACACTTTAACTTAAATGTATTAATTCAGATGAAATAATTAGATCTCGATGTCAGTGGGACTTACCTGATAAAATAAAGGTTTATATATAATCTCCTCAGTCTCCTGCTGCTGCTCCTAATACTTATTTTAGCCCACTACATCATGTGAAATATGTTGTCAGTTTGGTTTGTTTTTGGGAATGAGGAAACACCAACTTCACAGAAGTGATGATGTTTGAGGAGGCAGGATTAAAGAAATGAGTCTGTTAACTCTGAGATGAGGGAAACTCCAGGAGCCAGTTGAATAAACTTAGTTTAACTATCTTGATCTTACTGCTCTTAAATTGTCAGCTTAGACTCGTCTAATTAAAGCTATATGGTGAATCATTTGAGGCAGGAAAGTTAGTTGTATATATATTATATATATATTTATATATTTGATGTTGTTTTGCTGCTTTTATGTTTTTATGTAAAGTGTCTTTGAGTATTTAGAAAAGCGCTTATAAATATAATTTATTATTATTATTATTATTATATGTTTATTATTTTATTAATGACAAGAGCATCAGAAAAAATAATCACCTGTATATTAGATTATTTCTCTTCAGTATATTTGACTGCAGATCCAGACCAGATGAAAAATGTCTCAACATTTAAATTATTACAAATTGTTGTTGCACTGCAAAGAAAGTTCAGTATACATTACTACAGTGATTCAAGATTATCAGATTACATTTAAATCAGTTCAGTGCAAGAACTGTTCAAAAGTTTAAAGGAAAAGAGGAAGAGTTTCTGTCTTACATGGTGAAAAGCAGATGACCACTGAAGGTGGTATGGTGATTAACATTATCAAACACCTTTGTATTAACCCACAGACGCAGAAACACAACATCTCCAACCTCTAGCAGCAGTGTAACCCCATTAGCAGAAGACCCATAACCTGATGTCTGATGTTCATATGCAGTCACAATTTGTTGCAAGTTCTTGACCAACACAGCTCCTGAAGCCTGGTGACCTCCATGTGTTCCTATGTACCACTCGAAGTGGTAGGCTCCTCTCACTGGTGCAGTGAAAATACCTGTTGAACATTTGTTTTTAGTCTTTTTAAATGAAATTCAACTGTTGCAACATTAGACATCAGCATAGGTAAAAATAACAGAGTTCAGGTACCTGTGTGTGGGTTGTAGGCCTTTCCAATGTTTGTGGGGACATGTTTGAAGATCAGAGTAGTGAATGTGGGAAAGGGTCCGAAATATCCGCTGCCTGTAGCCAACAGAGAGGCTGAGAAAGCCACCTGTCCAACTGATAGAGAGAGAGCGAGAGAGCAATATATATACACCGATCAGCCCACGGACGTAATTTGGGGGGGGACACAGGGGACATGTCCCCTGCACTTTTCCAAAAACAATGTTACGCTATAGTAAACAGAGACTCGTCAAGCACTAGGACCAAGAGGAAAACGGCCGCTCAAGCTGAAGCCTGTTACCCTTAGTTTAGACCCGCCCACAAGCTCCTCGATTGGCTCTGCCGTTTCTTGTGTGATTGGCCGTCCCCGCTGTAACTCCATCTTGCTTGCACACCGGTCTGCTGGAGTTGCCCAGGTAACATCAGAGGTTTCATTTACATTAACGTTTGAATCGGTGTCCATGTGCGTATGTGCGTGCGTGTGTGTGTATGTGTGTTTGGTAATTAGGCGCAGCCAGGATGTCAAAAAAAAGAAAAGATGGACATAATAGACTTCTTTAGAAGTCAAAGTGTAAGTTACTCAAAGAAATGCGTTACACCCATCCTGCAACACCTTCACTGGCTCCCAATAAAGCAGCATATCCGCTATGTAAATGAGGTCTGTTTACCATATATTCCAAAAATAAGTGTAAAGTTGGTGGTACTGAGTTGGAGTGAAGTTGACTAACAAGGTGAAACACAGAATTGGGTGATAATGTTTTGCTACATGCTTTACAACCAGTCAAACCAAAAAAGGGAACAGTATACTTAAAAGTAGCAATAGAAAACTAGAAGAACTACTAGAAAACACAGTGAACTGAAAGAGTTAGTGTTTTATTAAATATACTTGTGTTCCCCCCACCTCTGAAATCAAAATTTCGTCCTTGGATCAGCCACATTAAGAAGAAGAAGATATACTTTATTAATCCCCAATGGACGAATTCTTTTTTCACTCTTACTTTACACACTGGCCTGAAATAAAATCATGCATATGGCGGGTTTATAGACATGCAAATGTGGAGAGATGGTGGAGTGATGGGCTGCCATGTAGGGACACTGTGAGCAGTTAGGGGTTGGGTACCTTGCTCAGGGGCACCTCAGCAGTACACTGGAGGTCTAACTGTCAGTGCTCATAATGTTATGGCTGATTGGTGTATATTACACTGTCTGTGGATACACAAATGTGATTATTGTTCTTTGTATTTGTGTACTATCCACCACTTTGGTTTTAAATCAAGAACATATTTTCAGAAGTATTCTTAAAGAAAAAATCACAAAAACATTTATCTCTAATGAAAAAAATACTTAAAAATAAAAAGTATGACTTCCGGTTAACACCTGACATGGAGTAGCCGCAGGTCCAACACGCTCCATATATGTTAATTTATTACTTTGAGTAGGACAAGACATTTTAACCTTTTGGTGGCATAACTCTGCTGCGCATATATTGCAGAGCCACTTGTGTGTGGTATGGCGAGTAAAACGCTCATGGCTAATTCTAATGCTAACGCTACCACTACCCACCACCTGGGCCTCCCATCTTCGCCAGAGCCACCCGAGGAAAACGCTCTTGTCCAGCTACTTAAAGCTGAGATGGAGTCTTCTCATCGACAACTGGCCGATATAATCAGACAACAGATGGTGACTTTTCATGCTGAAATTAAACAAGACCTCGAGGCTCTCCGACAAGACACAAAGGCTGACATCGCCTCTCTAAAATCTGAGTTCAGAGCTGAAATGGCGTCTATGCGCTCCACACAGACCGAGACGGCAACTACTGTTCGGGAGATCGAGGGCGCACTGAACCGTCATGATTCCAGCATCACCAGCATGGAGAGCGTCGATTTGGAGCTCAAACGGGAGATCGGGAAACTAAAAGACCGGAATGATGACCTAGAGAATAGAAGCCGCCGCCAGAATCTGAGGATTATCGGGATCCCTAAGAGCGCAGAAAACGGCAAACGCACTGCATTCATGGCCTCATTTTTTGCCGAGGTGTTGGGCGAGGAGATACCAAGCCCTTTGGTGCTCGACCGTGCTCACAGGACCTTGGCTGCGAAACCCAAACCTGGCGACCGCCCCAGACCCATGATTGTGCGACTACACTACTACTCGGATAAGGAAAAGATCCTGCAGTTATCCAGAAACAAGGGCGAGCTAAAATTTAGAGAGGCAAGGATACATATATTCCCGGATATGAGCGCCGAGCTTAGCCGCTGCAGAGCAGCTTTTAACTCGGTCAAGGCGAAGCTCAGACAGGCGGGCATCAAGTATGGCATGTTTCATCTAGCTGACCTACGCCTCACCTGCGACGGCATATCACACTCCTTCAAGGAACCCGCAGACGTGGAAGACTTCCTCGCCAGACGGAGTCATCCCTCACCGAAGACGTAGGAAACGGTACCGTTATCTCGTGTTACATGCGGATCTCTCCTACTAGAACTATAACCCGTAATGATGTAGCCATATCTCTGTTACCTCCAACTGAATTAAGTTTTAAGTTTTTTGTTTCCCATCCAAATACCATTATCATTATTACTATTATCCTTATTACTTATCTATTCCATGTCTTCTTGGACCTGACTTTTGATCAGTCCCTCATTTATTCTCTATAGACCTATTAATAATGAGGAAGGAAGAGAGACACTTATCTCTTATTTATTTATTTTCTAATTTTTTATTTTTTTATTTTTTCTGGTGTGGGACGTATTTGGATGAACACTTACACATAACAAGAAACGGGATGCATATATTTTCCCTGAGTCCTTTTGATCCTAGGCTTGGCTGAGGTACAGGACTGGTATGTTCATATGTTTTCATCTTGATATACAGCTCACAAGCTCATATCCTCATTTCTAGCAGACCACAACATTTTATTTGTGTGTGTGTATATTTAGTTTCCCTCATCATCACGAGAGGTTCTCCATGGTTATATCCATGTTTATATCTGGATATTGAAAGCAGAGATTAAAATTTTTCTTTAATTGTGACTACTGAAACATATAACACTAAGGAGCAGTGTGCTGTTTTTTCTTTTTTGCTGTGGTGTTTTTTTTTCTCTGCATATGGAAGCGCAATGGAAGAAGAAGAGTACCAAGTGTTTATGGGGTTTTTTATCTCTCGTTTGGGGAGAGGTAATTCTGGGAAGGGGGCTGTATGCTTAACTTATTGTTTCGCAATTATATCACTCTAATTATCAATACAAGTGTAGGGGAGCTGCAATTCTTGTTAATAGGAATACACCTTTTATTATGCAAACTGTCACTGCAGACCACCGAGGGAGATATGTTGTGGTCACAGGTACCCTGTATAATATACCTATAATTCTGGCTAATGTATATGCGCGGAACGGGAATGATACACAATTTTTGAAGACATTTTTATCCTCACTACCCAATTTAAACACACACAGGCTTATTCTAGGGGGTGACTTTAACTGTGTACTACATCCGGTGTTGGTGCAGCATCACTGCGCTCTTCACCTGAGATTCGCGGCATATTAGGGAGTGGAAAGGAACATAAGTTATCTTTATATGCTGACGATTTATTGTTATATATCACTGATCCCCAGAATACTTTACCGCATATTATGACTACATTAGATCGTTTTACCAAGCTCTCTGGGTATAAGATTAATGTCTCGAAAAGTGAACTTTTCCCTGTCAACTCTGCTTCACAATCACTCTCTTTTAGCTCTTACCCTTTCAAGGTGTCTACTGATAAATTCATGTACCTGGGCATAGTTATAGCTCGGAAAATCTCAGACCTCTTTAAACTTAATTTTACTACTCTTTTAGAGCGCACCAGGATGGCATTTGACAGATGGTCTACACTTCCTATTTCATTAGCTTGCAGAATTAACCTAATAAAAATGAACGTATTGCCCAAATTCTTATACCTATTCCAAACTATACCGATCTTTATCAACAAATCTTTCTTCTCACATCTCAATAAGATTATCTCTGACTTCATTTGGAATAAGAAACCACCTCGTATCCGTAAGGAATTTTTAGCAGAGACCCAAATCTGTGGGTGGGATGGCTTTACCCCATTTCCAACTATACTATTGGGCGAGTAACCTGAGAGCCTTGGCTTATTGGCTTCAAACCCATGCTAACAATGAAACCCCCGCCTGGGTCCAAATGGAGGCTGATGCAAGCCTCCCATTATCCCTCCCAGCCCTGTTGTATTCGGCAATGCCCATCACACCACGCCACGCATCTACTGCCCCCCTAGTCTATCAGTCACTGCGTATATGGATGGGCTCAGGTACGAAAACACTTCGGCTGGCAGGCTGGCTCGCTTTGTGCCCCGATCGTGGCAAACCATCGATTTCCCCCCTCACTTGAACATGACTCTTTCTTAGTCTGGCGCGAGAAAGGTATTATCTCATTTAAAGATCTATACATAGCAGATACTTTTGCCTCATTTGACCAGGTCAGAGCTAAATTTGATTTACCAAAATCACATTTTTAAAGATTTCTGCAGGTCCGGGATTGGATTCGTAATCAAACACGATCATACCCGGCAGCCCCTGAACAACAGCCCATGGATACTTTGATTCTAACAGCCCCATCTAACAAAGGCATAACATCCGCCATATATATGAAACTCTCATCCCTACAGTTGGCATCTCTTGATGCATTGAGAGAAGCATGGCAGGCTGATCTGAATTTACATATTACAGATACTGAATGGTCAGACATATTTTCAAGAATACACTCCTCATCAATCTGTGCCAGACATGGCCTACTTCAATTCAAAGTTGTACACAGACTGCACTTGTCTAAAGCCAGACTTGCAAAGATGTACCCAGCATTGGATAACTCATGTAACAGATGCAATTTTTCACCTGCAACGTTGGCTCATACATTCTGGTCTTGTCCGAGACTCTCAGGTTAGATATCTAAAAGACCAATGGACCCGAACCCTCTCACGGCCATATTTGGCATTCAATGTGAGGCTGATCATCTTCCTAGGGCACAATCCAATCGCATCGCTTTTGTCACCCTCTTAGCGAGAAGAATAATCTTACTTAATTGGAAGCAGGCTACCCCGCCGTCCTACAAACATTGGATTAGAGATACGGTACAACTCCTGAAGCTAGAGAAGATTAGACTGGCTTTACGACGTCTTAATGATAATTTCAGCAGGATATGGCAACCTTTCATTACATATCTGCTCGAACAAACATGAGGTTTTGTCCTATAGGTCAGCTATATATACTGTTTTTTACTATTACTGAAAGCCACATGTTTGTTATCTCACACACACGCTTTGTCTTTGTTTTTTGTTTGTTTGTCTGTTTTGCTTTTCCGTTGATTGCTCTTGTCATTGATACAAGGTCCATTATTATTTTTTATTTATTTATCTATTTTTATTTATTTTTTTATTTTTTTATTTTTCTTTGCTTGTCCCCAGGGGTGGGGGGTCGGGGTTGGAAAAAGTTTGTTCTTGTATTTCTGTATACATGCTGTCACATTTTCAACTGTGAAAACCAATAAATAAAGTGTAAAAAAAAAAAAAAAGTTAAAAGTATTTCATTGTTAAAGAATTATAAAACAGCATTGGTTCCAAACATTGAAAGCTAATTATCTCATTATCTCAGACGTTGTTCAACTGTTTTATTGAACAAGGAAAAACTGTTATCCCTAGATAACAATAACCCTAATTATCTACTGTTATTGTTGTTATGTTATTTTTTATTTTACCATAGATTAAATTATGAACATATTTTCAGATTGAAGAGCTTCAAATATTGAATTGCTAATTTTGAATCCAAAACAGTGAAAAAGCAGTTGAGTGTATACTAACAGCTAGAAAATGGTTCCAATTCTTATTCTGGCAGCATGTGTGAGAGATTATTTTAAAACTTATTGCTATATTATAGCTATCAATGAGAGTGTAAATAAATTCATCAATATCTAAAATACTACACATACAAAGGATATCATACGTATAATTCCCCAGGGAATATGTTCAACATAAAAGCACCACCAAGTTATAAAGCTCTTATTCTGTACAGTTCTCACTTGTTAAGAATTTGATGGACGTCCATCTGTAGGTGGTGCATCAGGACAAATACAACTTTAAATAGGTTAGAAATGAAAGAAGTTGGTCATCATGATTGAATTTTGTAAAATGAAATGTCCTATAAATCTCAAAGGAGCAGAAGCAGCTGGTAGAAATCATAAACACTTTCTCCAATACATGCACATACTGATTATGGCAGCAGTTATCAGTTTCAGTACTTGATATTATGGTATTTGAGAATAAATAATATTCTGGTTAATACATTTTTATACCACACAGTAGTAGTATTGGTGTTGTAAAGATACATTACATTTTTGTTATACAAATAATCAGACATGATGATTTCACACACACAGTACCTTTCAGCTGTTGCTTCAGCTTGTCAACCTCAGTCTCCTGCTTCTTTAACTCAGTCTCCTGCTTCTTCAACTCAGTCTCCTGCTTCTTCAACTCAGTCTCCTGCTTCTTCAACTCAGTCTCCTGTCGCTCCAGCTTTGCTGCATGCTCTGAAAAAGAGGAGAAATAAATTTGTGAGTGTGATTTGTTTTGAATACTTTGTTTGTAATTTCTGTACTTTTGGATATGAACTGCTATGACATTGATTCCCTTGTAAAACAACAGTAATTCCTATGGAAGGGTTCCTGATGCTATTCCTTCTCTCATTACCCGACATAATACTGTACCTTTATTCTCTGTTTGCAGCAATCTCATGTCAAACTTCTGTTGAGTCAAAGTAACAGCCATCTCTCTCAGCACAGCAAGGATGTCTTGTGGTAAAGACTGTAGGGATGTGATCTGCTGTGCAAGAATTTCTTTTTCTGCCTCCTTATTCTGATCTGTGGAGCCAGAGCAGACCAGCAGCAGCAACAGGAAAATCACAGTGATCTTCATTGTCACACTGGCAGCTTACACAGGTGAACTGTGTCCTCTGTAGACCGGTGTGAGGTTTATGTAGTACAGCAAAAAGAGGCGTGAAGGTGAGGGAGGTGGACGTCACAGACAGAATATTTCCTTATCCCCATTTCACATGATTTATTCTCAGCCATTGTCAGATTGAGGATATATATATATATATATATATATATGAGCCATTACAGAAATTAAGTGTTGTGTTGAGTGAAGAAGGAATGGGCACTGAGTTTATTTCCTCATACTACACTGTGTCAGACTGGTTCCACTTCATGAAGCATTACTCAACAGAGGTGTGTCTTTGTTTTCTAAAGTTAGACAGGTTTGGTCACCAGCCAACTTCACTGCACATCAGCCATTCAACACAAATTATGTCTCAACCTATGGATGAACCTTTGAGTCCATCAAGATCCTCTGTCCGCCCACTCTCAGTCACCTATCCCACCAGGAACAGCTGATGTCCAGCAACGGGGGACATAATTAAATCCCACCCTGATGTTGACAGGATCAATACAGTCTATCCATTCCTATCTTATCTTCCATTTTTAAAATATTTTTGTTGGTATTTAAAGTAAGGCTGGAACTTTATCGCGTTAATTACGATTAATTAATTACAGAAAAACTAACACGACAAAAAAAATAACGCATTTAATCGCAATTTATTTTTTCACTCCAAACAGCGCGGAACGTTGCTCGTTGCACGAGTTCCCGGGCAAACCCGTAATACTGATGCACAGGACACAACACGAGAAGTAGGCTGCATTTCATTAGTCGTTCAACACGCCCTCGTTAACTTGCCCTCGGGGGAATCTGCGCCGCCATCATAAGTGTCGTTCCAATTGTCTGGAAAACTGAAGTGAACTTGGTGAGATGGACCCTCGGAGGGCTGAGGGAGCGAGTGAACAACGATGGTCACTCCGAGGTGGATATCACCCACAATGCATTGCAGTTTACGTCATTGCCGCTATAACGCCGACGGCTGCCAATGAGTAGACTCCAAGGGCAAGTGCGTTTCATTTAAATCCCCCGCTCCTCCCCCGCCCACTTTCCCTCCGCGCTCCAAGTGGCCTCCATGCGACATATGCTGTTACGTCATACCAAGGGCTGAGGGTAAGTGAACGAGGGGAAGTGGAACTACTAATGAAACACAGCCATAGAAACCGATGAGAAGTCGTTGCTGGGTTCGGTGGGCGGAAATTTTAGTTTTAAAAAACTACCGGGTTGAAACCTGGATAAAAGCAAAGTTGTGTGCAAATTGTGCAAGAAAGAATTTGCCTATCACCGGAGCACTTCCAGCCTCCGCTACCACCTCAATGCCAAACATGTTGCAGCTAGCACAGACAACGCTCCTAGTTCGAGCAGGCAGTGTCGCCAATCCACACTCGACAAGATGACTAAAAATTGTCTTCTTCTTCAACTCTCTCTCAGAGCCACAATTTTTACTCCACATTCATGATTTGTACATGAAAACGTAGGAAAATATGTTGTAAACCGTTGCAGACATTTCTCATTACCCGACATAATACTATACTCTCAGCACAATATGGATGTCTTGTGGTAAAGACTGTAGGGATGTGATCTGCTGTGCAAGAATATCCTTTTTCTGCCTCCGTCTTATTCTGATCAGTGGAGCCAGAGCAGACCAGCAGCAGCAACGGGAAAATCACAGTGATCTTCATTGTCACACTGGCAGCTTACACAGGTGAACTGTGTCCTCTGTAGACCGGTGTGAGGTTTATGTAGTACAGCAAAAAGAGGCGTGAAGGTGAGGGGACGTCACAGATAGAATATTTCCTTATCCCCATTTCACATGATTTATTCTCAGCCATTGTCAGAATGAGGATATATATATATATATATATGAGCCATTACAGAAATTAAGTGTTGTGTTGAGTGAAGAAGGAATGGGCACTGAGTTTATTTCCTCATACTACACTGTGTCAGACTGGTTCCACTTCATGAAGCATTACTCAACAGAGGTGTGTCTTTGTTTTCTAAAGTTAGACAGGTTTGGTCACCAGCCAACTTCACTGCACATCAGCCATTCAACACAAATTATGTCTCAACCTATGGATGAACCTTTGAGTCCATCAAGATCCTCAGTCCGCCCACTCTCAGTCACCTATCCCACCAGGAACAGCTGAAGTCCAGCAACGGGGGACATAATTAAATCCCACCCTGATGTTGACAGGATCAATACAGTCTATCCATTCCTATCTTATCTTCCATTTTTTAAATATTTTTGTTGGTATTTAAAGTAAGGCTGGGACTTTATCGTGTTAATTACGATTAATTAATTACAGAAAAAACAACGCGACAAAAAAAATAACTCGACAAAAAAAATAACGCATTTAATCGCAATTTATTTTTTCACTCCAAACAGCGCAGAACGTTGCTCGTTGCACGAGTTCCCGGGCAAACCCGTAATACTGATGCACAGGACACAACACGAGAAACAGAAACTGATGAGAAGTCGTTGCTGGTTTCGGTCGGCGGAAATTTTAGTTTTAAAAAACTACCGCGTGGAAACCTGGATAAAAGCAAAGTTGTGTGCAAATTGTGCAAGAAAGAATTTGCCTATCACCGGAGCACTTCCAGCCTCTGCTACCACCTCAATGCCAAACATGTTGCAGCTAGCACAGACAACGCTCCTAGTTCGAGCAGGCAGTGTCGCCAATCCACACTCGACAAGATGACTAAAAATCGTCTTCTTCTTCAACTCTCTCTCAGAGCCACAATTTTTACTCCACATTCATGATTTGTACATGAAAACGTAGGAAAATGTGTTGTAAACCGTTGCAGACATTTCTCATTACCCGACATAATACTATACTCTCAGCACAATATGGATGTCTTGTGGTAAAGACTGTAGGGATGTGATCTGCTGTGCAAGAATATCCTTTTTCTGCCTCCGTCTTATTCTGATCAGTGGAGCCAGAGCAGACCAGCAGCAGCAACGGGAAAATCACAGTGATCTTCATTGTCACACTGGCAGCTTACACAGGTGAACTGTGTCCTCTGTAGACCGGTGTGAGGTTTATGTAGTACAGCAAAAAGAGGCGTGAAGGTGAGGGGACGTCACAGACAGAATATTTCCTTATCCCCATTTCACATGATTTATTCTCAGCCATTGTCAGAATGAGGATATATATATATATATATATATGAGCCATTACAGAAATTAAGTGTTGTGTTGAGTGAAGAAGGAATGGGCACTGAGTTTATTTCCTCATACTACACTGTGTCAGACTGGTTCCACTTCATGAAGCATTACTCAACAGAGGTGTGTCTTTGTTTTCAAAAGTTAGACAGGTTTGGTCACCAGCCAACTTCACTGCACATCAGCCATTCAACACAAATTATGTCTCAACCTATGGATGAACCTTTGAGTCCATCAAGATCCTCAGTCCGCCCACTCTCAGTCACCTATCCCACCAGGAACAGCTGATGTCCAGCAACGGGGGACATAATTAAATCCCACCCTGATGTTGACAGGATCAATACAGTCTATCTATTCCTATCTTATCTTCCATTTTTAAAATATTTTTGTTGGTATTTAAAGTAAGGCTGGGACTTTATCGTGTTAATTACGATTAAATAATTACAGAAAAAATAACGCGACAAAAAAAATAACTCGACAAAAAAAAATAACGCATTTAATCGCAATTTATTTTTTTCACTCCAAACAGCACAGAACGTTGCTCGTTGCACGAGTTCCCGGGCAAACCCGTAATACTGATGCACAGGACACAACACGAGAAACAGAAACTGATGAGAAGTCGTTGCTGGTTTCGGTGGGCGGAAATTTTAGTTTTAAAAAACTACCGGGTTGAAACCTGGATAAAAGCAAAGTTGTGTGCAAATTGTGCAAGAAAGAATTTGCCTATCACCGGAGCACTTCCAGCCTCCGCTACCACCTCAATGCCAAACATGTTGCAGCTAGCACAGACAACGCTCCTAGTTCGAGCAGGCAGTGTCGCCAATCCACACTCGACAAGATGACTAAAAATTGTCTTCTTCTTCAACTCTATCTCAGAGCCACAATTTTTACTCCACATTCATGATTTGTACATGAAAACGTAGGAAAATATGTTGTAAACCGTTGCAGACATTTCTCATTACCCGACATAATACTATACTCTCAGCACAATATGGATGTCTTGTGGTAAAGACTGTAGGGATGTGATCTGCTGTGCAAGAATATTCTTTTTCTGCCTCAGTCTTATTCTGATCTGTGGAGCCAGAGCAGACCAGCAGCAGGGAAAATCACAGTGATCTTCATTCTCACACTGGCAGCTTACACAGGTGAACTCTGTCCTCTGTAGACCGGTGTGAGGTTTATGTTGTACAGCAAAAAGAGGCGTGAAGGTGAGGGGACGTCAGACAGTTGTTGTTTTTTTGGCTCATCTCAAATTTTCATGTTCTTTGAATATTTCCTTATTTCCATTACACACGATGTGCCAATATCTGTAAGAGGATGTTGGAACACGACATCCTGATAATATCATATTTTTTCAACAGTGACCAGACTCCATCAGCAGTGGGTCAAGGGGCAGTGGAGATCATAAAAAGCTCAGAAATCTTTGAATGAGTCCGGGACCATGATACACACAATATTGCAATATTAAGTTCTTTATTAATATATATAAATAAATGTATCGTCATCGTATAGCCTCTTTCTAGTCTTCCAACCACTCAAAGCACTTTTACTCTACATGCCAAATTCACCTATTCACACACATTTGTATATATATATATACTTTCCTCTCACCCTCTTGGGGTGGTATCTGTGTGTCATTCTCAAGCTCGGGTCCTCTACCAGAGGCCTGGGAGTTTGAGGGTTCTGTGCAGTATCTTAGCTGTTCCTAGGACTGCGCTCTTCTGGACTGAGACTTCTGATGTTGTTCCTCGGATCTGTTGGAGCCACTCCCCCAGTTTGGGAGTCACTGCCCTGAGTGCTCCTACTACCACAGGGATCACGCTCACCTTGATCTTCCACATCTGCTCCAGCTGTTCTTTCAACCCTTGGTACTTTTCAACCTTTTCGTGTTCCTTCTTTCTGATGTTGGCGTCTGCTGGTATGGCCACATCTATCAACACCGCTTTCCTCTGCTCCTTGTCTACCACCACTATGTCCGGTTGGTTGGCCAGGATCTGTTTGTCAGTCTGGAAGCTGAAGTCCCACAGCACCTTGGCCCTGTTGTTCTCAGCCACCTTCTGTGGTGCGGCCCATTGGGATTTGGGTACTTCTATTCCATACTGGGTACAGATGTTCCTGTACACTATTCCAGCCACTTGGTTGTGTCTCTCCATGTACGCTGAACCGGCTAGCATCTTACACCTTGCTACTATGTGCTGGACTGTCTCAGGGGCATCTTTGTATAGTCTGCACCTTGGGTCAGATCTACTCTTGTAAGATCTTGGCCTCTATGGCTCTTGTACCTAGGGCCTGTTCTTGTGCTGCCATGATCAGTGCCTCTGTGCTGTCTCTGAGTCCAGCCTTTTCCAGCCATTGGTAGGTCTTCTCGATATCAGCCACTTCTTCAATTTGGCGGTGGTACATGCCATGTAGGGGCTTGTCCCTCCAGGTTGTCTGCTCCTCTTCCTCCGCACTCTTATTGGGTTTCTGTTGCCTGAGACACTCACTTAGCAGTTCATCCTTTGTGGCCATTTTTCTGATGTACTCTTGGATTTTTGATGTTTCATCCTGGATAGTGGCCTTGATGCTCACTAGTCCTCGGCCTCCCTCTTTCCGCTTAGCGTACAGTCTCAGCATGCTGGATTTGGGGTGAAACCCTCAGTGCATGGTGAGGAGCTTTCTTGTCTTGATATCTGTGGCTTCTATCTCCTCTTTTGGCCAGCTTATGATCCCAGCAGGGTATCTGATGACTGGTAGTGCGTACATGTTGATGGCTTGGATCTTGTTCCTGCCATTCAGCTGACTTTTCAGGACCTGCCTTACTCTCTGGAGGTATTTGGTTGTGGTTGACTTCCTTGCGGCTTCCTCATGGTTTCCATTAGCCTGTGGGATACCAAGGTACTTGTAGCTGTCTTGGATATCACCTATGTTGCCTCTTGCCTCTCTTTGAGACCATCCGGCCACACTTGTCCAATCCGAATGACATCCCTATGTCGTTGCTGTAGATCCTGGTGGTGTGGATCAGTGAGTCGATTTCTCGCTCATTCCTGGTGTACAGCTTGATGTCATCCATGTAGAGCAGGTGGCTAATTGTTGCTCCACTTCGGAATTGGTACCCGGTTCACGTGTGGGGCATTGAGTCGTAAGCTTTCTTGTAGTCGATCCAGGCGGTGCACAGGTTGGTCTTCCTGCTCTTACAGTCTCGGGCGACTGCTCTATCGACCAGTAGCTGGTGCTTGGCTCCTCTGGTGTTGCTACCAATTCCCTTCTGAGCCCCGCTCATGTATTGAGCTACGTGCTTACTCATCTTAGCCGCGATGATGCCTGACAGGGCCTTCCATGTTGTGGAGAGACAGGTTATTGGCCGGTAGTTGGATTGGATTGGTCCCTTCTTGGGGTCCTTCAGGATTAGGACCATCCTGCCCTGGGTTAGCCACTCTGGGTGGGACCCATCCCTTAGCAACTGGTTCATCTGTGCTGCTAGGCGTTCATGGAGTGCTGTTAGCTTCTTCAGCCAGTAGGCATGGATCATATCGGGGCCTGATGCTGTCCAGCTCTTCATCTTTGACACTCTTTCTTGGATGTCTGCCTGTTATGGTTTGAGCCCATCTTATATCCAAATTTCTAGGATTACTGTTGCTGTACTGTGTATCAGCTTGTTGGTCTCAGTGATGGTTACCGTAGGGATTGTTGTTAGTGCAGCATTCACATCCATATCCATATCTGATGCCCTAGCGCCACCTATGCCTGCCAACCTCGGGGAAATATTCTGAATAACACATTAGTGTAACACTCAGTTCACATGCTTTCCCACCACTTTGCTTTGTATCATCAAGTTATTCAGTTATTCAAGTTATTGAACATATAAATATGGCCATTAAGAAAACAATTATTTCCATTTTATGCTTCTTTGTACTTATACTGCACTGCATTTTAGATGGAAATATATTTAATATATTATTTATTTTTACTCCATTACATTTATTTCACAGCTGTAGTTACCAGTTATATTTCTGTGAATATTATATATTTAAAAACAGTTGACCCTCTATATAAAATAAAACTAGAAAATAGCTTTGTTATAAATAAGACTATACAAAACTAGAGCTCAGTTGTTAAGATTAGCTTTATGTTGACAACTTTAAAATGTATGAAAGATATAACTTTTTGCTTTTTGTATATTGAGTACTTTGCTACTCTTAAGTACATTTCCTGCCAAGACTTGTGTACTTTTACTTCAGTCAGATTTTTAATGCAGGACTTTTACTTAGAGTGTGTAGCTAATGGAGTAACAGAGTAACTTTACATGGTTGTATTGCTACTTTTACTAAAATAGTAAAATATGTCAGTACTTCTTCCACCACTAGTTACACACTACACTACACATACACTGCAGACACACATCTCCCAGTAACTTTCTAGGTAACGTTACTTCTGCTGCTGGGGACTCATCATTATGGTTACAGATTTTACTGCAATAATAATTAATATTATGAATACTATAAAAAGTCACATTTAATCTGTGGCAATATAATATAACATTACTTTGCTGAACAAGTAATCAAGCTTTCAAATTACAGTTACGGTTAGACTAACTTTATTAATGTTAATTAATTAACTATTACATTTTCCACATCATCCCCGTCCATTGAAGTTTACAAAGGAGTTATAAGAATGGTCCTCAGTAAAGGAACCATCCAGCTGGAGTGAGAAGGATAAAATCTTTCAAATCAAATTTGCATTTTGAAATAATGTTGTGATTGTCAATCATGACCTTCCCTGTGTTGTATTTAGATTGGCAGAGGGAATGGATCCAACACTATGATTGGTCAAACTTCTTCTTGCTTTTCGACTGTCAGTCTCTGCTGCCTCATGCTGTTAGATTCGAGTACTGCTCATGCACAGTTGAACTGCATAGTAGTTTAGAGGGACAATTGTACCAGCGTATTTGGATTGGTTAAAATGTATACCTACACAAAATGCATACATATACTTAACTTCTTAAGTAATCTTAAGTACTATACCACTGACATGTCCAGGTCCTGAGACGGTTAATAGGAGAGAAAAGAAGGAAAACAAAGTTGTGAGACACAAATCTGTTATCAGTTTCTTGGACTTTTTTCTAATCTTTGATTTTTGTTGTAAAGTATTAGATCATTTTCCCTCATTGGGCAATTTTTTAAGTGTATTCATCTGATAAGTCGTGAGGGAATTTTGGAAACAACTGGTTTAATCTTAAACATTGTTGTATTTTATTATTTTCTTTTGTAAACTCTTATTTTGTAAAATAACTACTAACCATATCTGTCAGATAAATAAAAGTACAATATCTGAAATGTAGTGGACTGGCAGTGAATAGTAAATAAGATCAGTGGTTCCATGTATTGTGCTACTATTTTGTAGTTTACTTTCTTGCTTTTATTTGGATTTACTTGTTTGATAGTCGTATTATCAGTTCTCACTCAACTCTACAATCTACTTTGGATTGGTTTATTGTTTTGTCACTATATTTATGCCTTTTTCTATGAACAGAGCCACCAACCAAGGACGGAAAGGTATGAAGAAGCACAGGCAGCTCCAAATAATGGGATTATACTCATGATAGTAACTGTAATCTTACCAAAATTATTTAAAAAAAGAAACTACATGATTTTAACAAGGTATTATAACACTATAATTACTGACATTCTAATTTGTAATGTAAAAATGGTGAGGCTTGTAGAGAAGGCCCTGGTGAGCTCCAGTGCTACCATGACGTTATATTTGATTTTCTGCTTTCAATATGTTCATATGTAAATTTGAAACAAATATAATGAATAAATGTCCACATATAGTATTACAATTATGTTTATTATTCAAATCAAGGGACAAGAGAATCAAAAAAATTTGTTCCAAATTAGTGAACTAAAGAAATGTGTGCGTATGATTATATTAATTATATTATCATCATTATGTGTATATGGCTTCAGACCCTGATACACAAAAAATAAAGTTTGAACATTTTATTTTGATAAATTGTTGTTGCACTGCTCTGTCATCCAGCTTTTATATGAAGGAAAATCCAAATCTCATTATAAATTACTACATTGATTCAAGATTATCAGATAAGTTTGAGATCAGTTCAGTGCAAGAATTGTTCAAGACAACAAAAACCTGCATGATTATCAGAGTTTAAAGGAAAAGAGGAAGTGTTTCTGTCTTACATGGTGAAAAGCAGATGACTACTGAAGGTGGTATGGTGATCAACATTATCAAACACCCTTGTATTAACCCACAGACGCAGAAACGCAACATCTCCAACCTCTAGGAGCAGTGTAACCCCATTAGCAGAAGACCCATAATGGGATGGCTGATATTCAGATGTGACAAAAATGTGTTGTACGGTAAGTTTTTGACCAACACAGCTGCTGCACAATGAGGACCTCCTATGTACCACTCGAAGTGGTAGGCTCCTCTCACTGGTGCAGTGAAAATACCTGTTGAACGAAAGAGGGATTTGTCATAACTTAAGTGTACATGATCCGATCGCAACGAAACTTCACATGTTTGATAAGAGTCGCCCTTAACACATCTATGTGATCTATGTGATAATGTCACTAATAGTGGGAGCACCACCTAGTGGTGAAAGGAAATGTCATTTTTATACTTTTATGTATATCTTCCAGCAGATTGACCAGATCCAGGCCCGATCCAGTCCCGTTCATCGCTGCACTTTTTAAATGTTTTTCTGCCCTTTAAGGACAGGATAGGACAAATACCAGGCTGGCTGCAGATGGTCCTCTGTGCAAATGACCAGCCAGACAAAGCTGCAGCTGTGGCTTAGAGGCAGAGCGGGTCGTCCACTAATTGGAAGGTTTTTGGTTCCAAAAAAAAAACAAACTGCGTCCTCATATGGGGACAAAGTTTTATAGCAAAAAAGGCCTAATGTCCTCATATGACCCTCAAGGACATCATTTTTTGTGAAAACTACAAATTGTTCAGAAACAATGCTTGTTTTTATGTCTATCAGGTCCTACTAATCCAAAATAGCTAGGAGAAATTGTTAATGCACCCCAAACAAAAGCTCAGGTCTCAGGAGGGTAAAAGGGCATTGAGTGGTCAGAAGACTAGAAAGGCGTTATACAAGTACAGGTCCATTTAGTTGCAGGGTCTTATTGCTCCTCCAGCTTTAATAAATGTTTTTTGTTTCCACTCAAATTGAAAATGCACATGAGAACGAGTGACTGAAGAGTCATTTCTCACATGGTTTAACTTCAATCACTGTTTGATCCACTGTTTCACTTATAAAGAAAGAAAAAAAGACGTCACTCAGTTTATGTCATAACTTTCAGCCTAACAATGGATTCAAGTGAGCTTTTGAATTGTAAATGAGTTGATTCCGATGTTTGACTAAACAGGAAAATCTTCCGAGGGGATTTAAATACCTCACGTTCCTGTGATATAAAACATCCTGACATTGAAAAGGTTACAACAGTCGCTGTGGGTTCAGTTGTTGGAAGCATGCAGACCAAAGGTTTTTACTGTGAGTATCTCTGAATGATCTTTAAATTGATTGGATCAGGAAGCTAATGTGAGATAAACTGACAAAAGAAAAACTGAAGGTATTATTATTTTATTAGATTGGCTTCACCAGACTGTTGCTGTTACTGTTGCTGTTACCTTTTGTGAAGAGTTTGATTCGTTTATTTTCAACACTGCTGACACAAGACTGTCAGTTTGTTTATTTATATGAGATACTTCACAACTAAAAACTGACAAATGGATTAAAAACAGACCAGAAAAGTAAAGCTGTGATTAAAAGTTAAAACAACAATCTGAAAGAAACAATACAATTAGACAAAGGCGACAGATGTCTGTATGTTTCTGTTGTCACAGTATGAAATCTGATTGCGGCTCGTAAATACTTTATTGACCAGCAGGCGGGATTATCAGGCTACTGAGCTGCAGATTTAATAATTATTGTATCATCTCAACATTGTCAGACAGAACAAACACAGGTTAAGTAGGTCTATTGGCTTTAAAATACAAACTCCTGTTTGGGACCAACTTCTGAGGCAATAACAACTCTTTTTGAACCTGTTTCTTATTATAAAAATTACATTTTGAATCTAAAACATCCTCCAGATATTTAAATTGTAGCAGCAGACCGACTGGAACCAGTCTCCTTAAACAAACACATGCAGACAATTGTTTTACTCTTTATATGCAATGAGGAACACTCAACTATTCAGGGATAATTTAACATAGCATCCAGGGATTTTCCAGCTCCTTCATGTTGCCTAGTTACAATAACACACACATTTGCATCATCTGCATACATTTGTGTTTGAACATCCGACCAGGAGATTGCACTCACATCGAACAATAAAGGGCGGAAAACAATGATGTTAGATTATCTTCTAACTTTATGTGAACTTAGTGACTGAATTTACTAATTAATGATTAAGATCCACATGTATAATGTGTTTCTGGGAATGAATATGTACGAGATCTGGATGTCAGGACCATCGACAGGATATAAGGACACACACACAGTATTTATGAGATAATAGTAGGAAGGATGGAGTGAAACAAATATCAGGATGTTTCTGATTGACTTTTGTTTTTCTTTTAAAAGGTGTTTTATTCCAGTTGTGGCTTCTCCAGAGCAGAGCAGGTAACAAAATGTTTAAATAGAGGGAATAACAACCATATTTAAACTTGAATGAGGAACAGTCCAATATTTAGGGATAATTTAACATAGCATCCATGAATTTTCCATGTTGCCTACTTCCAATAACACATTTGCATCATCTGCATACATTTGTATTTGAGCATCCGGCCAGGAGGTTTCACTCACATGGAACAATAAAAGGCGGAACAATGATGTTAGATTATAGTCCAATCTTATGGGAACTTGCAGTTCTTTCTGTTATGTAATGACAAAGGTTCTGAGTTCTGAAAAGTTTTAGCTAGTATATTATCATGTTTGAGGAGAAAAACCTCTGCTGAGTATTAAATATAACTAGTATTCAAAAATATTTATATGCATCTGTGCACATAAAGCACCAGATTCTTGATTCATACATTAAACATTATGCATGTTTAATGTAGTTAAAATTGGATAAATGTAAAGGCAGATGGAATCTGGATGAAGACAATCAGACATTTCAAAATATGAAAAGTTGGAGATAGAAGGTTTTTGCAACTATTCATGTTTGTTTGTTTGTTTGTTTGTTTGTCACCAACAAGTTGCCTCTTCTTTGGTAAATGTGGCCCCCAGTGGAACAGCAACCCAGTCATCCACAGCCAGTGGTGGTTATCCTGATAAGGCAATCGATGGGAATAGAGACCCGGTGTATTCCCACGGATCCTGCAGCCATACAGGCGGTGGGTTTAGCAGCTGGTGGAGTTTACTCCTGCCCGGGCTGTACAAGGTCGCACGTATTTCCATCACCAACAGATATGAAATACCTGAAAGGATCAATAACGCCAAGATCCTCATTGGGAGTTCCCTAGAGAACAACGGCAACAACAACCCGAGGTAATCCTGTTTGTTTTTGTTTTGTAAACGTCCCAATTTACAGGTTTGACTTTGACCTACTGAGCTTCCATACACAATGTGATTATTTAACACTGATAGAAAGCAGTAAGTGTAAGTGATTGATTGTCTAACTGCTCCAGTTTCTCGCCCTGTCATACTTTATGGACTTCATGCACCAGACTTGTCGTAATAAACCAGAATTATTCTTTCATGCTTGTCTCTTTCTCAGCTGCGCTGTTATTTCCTCCATTCCTGGCGGAGCTACCAGCACCTTCCAGTGTGGAGGGATGATCGGTCGGTTGGTCAACGTGTACGTCTACCGCACAAACCTCCAAGCTGTACTGACACTATGTGAGCTGGAAGTGTACGGAGGTTAGTCAATCAGAACTTAAATTTGAACTCAAATGAGAAATAAGCAGCTCGGCTCTTTGCTGCAGAATCTCCAAACTGGACTTTTGTTGCTCACATTTTCCAGAGCTGCTTCCTCCGGCGCCCACGTTCAGTGCAGTGGTGATGGGTAGGAACGTAGCGGTGGTGGAGAGGAGGCTGTGTTGGTCGGATGCTCTGCTGTACTGCAGAGACTTCCACTGGGACCTGCTCAGCATTCGCAGTGCAGAGGAGCAGATGGAGGTGGAAGCGGCGCTCACAACCGCCTCCTTCAACCTCACCAGACATGTTTGGTTGGGACTGCGCAGGTACTCTTAATAACAACGTCCATCTCACCAAGAGTGTCGCACTTTTACTTTTTAGATTTTATAAGTTGTCTCCTTTACCAAAGTGAGTTTATGTTGAACTTACAATTAAAACCACATCAAACACAGATGTAAACTGTGTCTGGCTCTGCAGAGGCTCGTATGGAAGCCCAGTTCCACCAAGAAAAGAAAAATGAAATATATGTAGTTATAATAAAAATGAAAATTTTCACTGACTTACCATATTCTTATTTTTTTATTGTGCTTGACTTTCCTGTTTCGGTTTCCCAAAATTATGACATAATATTCATAAATATTCATAAAATGTAATAAATATATATATTTTATAGTTTGCAGTCTCCATAAACCTTTCTGTTACAGCTGCCGACATTCATTGACAAGCAGAAACTCAACTATCAGTGGATCCCTTTTAGGTATCTGATGGGGGACACGTGGTTTTGGATGTCTGGAGCTCCCATGAGCTACAACTACTTGGACAGAAAGCTCTGGCAAGAAAGCAGTCCCTGTGGCGGCATCGACACCTGCGCTCCCTTCCACTGGAGGGATATTCCATGTGGGGATCATCTTCACTTCATCTGTTTGAAAGGTGAGAGATCCAGTCCCATTTGTTTACCTACTGGGCTGAAGTTCATGCATCAAACAAAGTGTCCTGATATTGTGAGGGGACATTGTGTAATAAGGAAAACTGGAATATGAAACCACACTCATGTATCCCCGAGCTGCTAGCCTGAAGCAGATATGAGGAGCGGGTTGCAGAGCTCTGGTAATTCCTCCACAACCCCAGATATTTCCTTTCTCCCTAAAATTCAGACTTCAGCCTCTCAGACTAGCAGTTTTTTTCTGCAGCCTGTGAATCCACAAACAGCTGGCCTAAACTGATAGAGACACAATCTTTTACATCTTCTTTTTAAACTTCTGTTATTTAGAGACACAGATCTTCTGTGTGTGCATCTTGTGTGTAACGAGCATGGTTTCTTTTTCATCCAGCACATATCCAGTCACTACAGCTTGTGGTAGATACAAAGTATGATCTTGTCTCTCTGTATGGTTTTATTCAAGTCATCCATGACTGGACGCAACCGTCACACACTCTCGTATGTGGAAGTCTGAAAGAGCCGAGATTGGAAGAAGCAGTATGGTTTTCTCTGTGTTGGAGCGTCACTCTAACAGTTACACAGTAAACAGACAGATAGTGTGGGATGATGAGTCCTCGGCTGTTTACTTGGACATATACTGTAGTTAGAAACAGGGTTAAAGGTTATATGCATATAATAGCCTCTCTTACAGTTGTGTCTGCTTTTACAATGACCATCTTCATTAGTCCTCTGCCTACTATCTACCATTAAAATGCAGTTTTCCAGCTGGAGAATGTAAGTGTTTCTATCTTCCAAGCTAGCTCGCTGCTTGCTGAATGCATGATTAAAAGTAATATTGTAACTGTAATATTATTAAGAGTAATGTGTTACTGCCCAAAATTGAATATTAATCGTGTCCTTACAGACATTCAGAGCGAGACGAGAGGAGTGGAGTTTTTCAGCAGCACCAGAATGAAATCACCATGAAGAGAAACTCAGTTCACATCTTCAGAGCGTGTGTGTGTGTGTGTGTGTGTGTGTGTGTGTGTGTGTGTGTGTGTGTGTGTGTGTGTGTGTGCATCATATCACACCAGTGTACCGTGGCTTTACTGCTTTATTCTGTTTTATTGATATCTTAGTGATGTTTCTGATCCAAAGGTGGCCAAAAGGTTACAGAGGTTTTGGAACTCTTCCTGTTTCTGTCTCTTCCTCACAACTCTATTTACATATTATTATTATATTTACATGTTTCAGTGTGTCTGTGACTAAAAGATAAACTGCTTTACAATAGTTTAATAATGCATATTATTTGCTATCTACATGCACATTGGATTATTTTCTAGGGTTACAGCAGTCAAACTCTTCACCCTCATATCAGCTCCTCTTGTAAAAGTGAAACATATTCACAAAAATAAACAATAAATCTGACCACGTGGTACTTCAAGATTCAATTTATTGTCCTCCAAGGGGGAAATTCATCTCCACATCACTGCACCATACAGTCAACAGAGAAACACGCCATCCACAATCAACAAATCCACAAAAAACAAACAAACAAATAGTACATGACAGGTGGACCGTACACTCAGCACCTCCAGTAATGTCCAGTTTCATTGTGGTTGCAATGCGTGAAATGGCCCTGTTGTCCAAGTATGTTTATTTAAAACTAAGCATAGAAACAATTCCAGGGCTAGTGTAGAATAAATACAGTTTTAATTGAATATCTGTAACCTGAAATACACTCAACCTCAGTGAAGAGTCACACAGAGCTAAAGCAGGGTCCAAACAGCAGACACACACACACACACACACACACACACACACACACACACACACACACACACACACACACACACAGGATTCCCGGGAGTGGCAGGGAAATACATTTACTGCCCAGCTAAAGTCCTTGCATCATACAAAGATATGATAAGGGGGGGATGGAGAGAGAGAGGGTGGACGGCAGAAAGACAATCATTCTACAGTAGCCCTAAAGGTACAGACAAGACACTGGCTCCATAGAGCCTTTCACATGTTTCTCTACCACCAGAGTTTCTGGGGAGGGGGGGGGAGAAGTGAGTGAGTTGCAGAGTCAGCTGTTATTTTCTTGTCTATATTTATTTATTTTTTCTGGATTATTGGCTTTGTGTAGAAATATAAAAGTCACTCCCCGTCGGGGAATCGAACCCCGGTCTTCCGCGTGACAGGCGGAGATACTGTCCACTATACTAACGAGGAAGGCTGTAGTGCCTCATGTGACCACTTGTCATAAAGCCATTGGCTGTACCAGAGTCATTGAGCAATAGAGTCGCGACAGGAAGCTAATATCTACACATAAATCTCATCAATGTATGAATCAATATGTTAATTCAATTTTCGTCTTTTCAGTATGAACTTATTTTAATAAGAAACATTTAAATGTATTAATTAAATGTCTAATAAAGAAAAATGAATAGCAGGTAAAGCAGGTCGGAGAAAAGGAAAATAAAGTTAATAATAATATAGAAAATAATCAGCGGATTAATCAATAAGGAAAATAATGGTTAGTTAAAGCACTACAACTATAAGAAATGTAATTAGACTTTTTTAGTAATAAAAATGAAAATAAAAGTCCCTCCACGTTGGGGAATCGAACCCAAGTCTCCCGCTCTAAACGCCCCTAAACCGTTTCCCATTCAATCTCTATGGTAGTGCTAAAACACTACGGGTGTAATGCGCACTCCGGCCACTGCCGCCTTTGGCGCTGTAACCACCTAAAACACCGTCTCGCCTCCTCGACTGTGTCAGTGAACAGAGAAGAGCAGAGAAGAAGTTAACTACTCCTGACATTGGATTTATTTACTTCAAACTAAAGTCAGTAACTTTTGTGATAAAAACGAGATAAAAGATTACTTATCTTAGGAGGGGGTGAATGATGTGTACAGTGATTTTGGTGAGACTACAGTTCATAATAGTTGAGTTATTGATTATATCTCCCAATAAAAATTCCCCAAAAATAGTGTTTTGTGTGTGTGTGTGTGTGTGTGTGTGTGTGTGTGTGTGTGTGTGTGTGTGTGTGAGAGGGAATGAGGGTGGGCAGGGATAACAAATACATGAACATAACAATGAACAGGGTTGTGCTTTTTCTATGTCAGGGCCCTCTGCTGCGTTGCATTTGCAAAATATCAAAATGGTCAAAAGTCTGTCAGTCATTTGTGCACGATGTGGGCGTAGTATGATGCCACCATGGCTGAAAACCCGCTCCACTGGAGCACTGGAGGCACTGCCAAGAATCTGATGGCCACTCGGAAGAGTGAAGGAATCCAATCCAATCCACTTTATTTATATAGCACGATTTTAACAAACACAAGGTTTCCAAAGTGCTGCACAAAAAGATTCAATGTTCAATTCACTGTTATTTCTATAGCGCCAATTCATAACAGCTTTTCAAATAGAGCAGGTCTAGACCGAACTCTTTATAACATTAATTACAGAGACCCAACAGTACCACCATGAGCAAGACCTTGGAGACAAGGGCAAGGAAACACTGCCTGTTAAAAGGCAGAAACCTAGGACAGACCCTCCGGCTCTAGGTGGGTGGTCGTCTGTCTCGACCAGTTGGGGTGAGAGAGAGAGAGAGAGAGAGAGAGAGAGAGAGAGACAGGTGCACAGTCAAGCAGGACCATGGCAGGAGGCTCCACCAGGATCGATAAGAACCTGCAAGACGAGAAAGCACAAGAACTCCGGGGAAGAAGTGAAGTTAGTAACATGCATTAATGGGACATAGGAAGAGATTAACAGAGTAAATAGATCACACAATAGAAGCACAATAGAAAGATGAAGTACACATTAGAAAAATAAAAGCAATAAAATAAATAAGGAAAATAAATAAATAAAATGCACTGCCCGCACACAATAAAATATGCTGATGAGAAGAGCTAATACTCATTTGAAAAATCCGAGGTAATCCCAGACTGATTCAACGAAACACAGGCTTCAAGAGACAGAAACAACTGAGACAGCCTAAATCAACACAAGAACTGCGAAAAGTTATCCATGACAGGCAAAACCTATCTGCCAAGTACCTTGAAAAACTGTGTGCACAATATCGCTGCAAATGTTCTTAATGTCTGTAACAGTCAGTGTGCACATATTGACAGATCAATATTTTTTCCAAGGAGAAATAATCCAAAATTCCAAATATAGCTTCTACAGAGTTCTCACTATATATTATTTTCTATTATTATTTATTATTTTATTAAATACTAAAGTTATAAGTGTTTTGGCACGGCCGGCTGAGTGGCGCTATCCATGGTACTTATTTTGTGTTTTGCATGATCGCATATATCAATATTAAATTGAGAGCGATGAAGACACCTGAAGGGAATGAAAAGCTATCAGAAAGAATAAGAAGGCTTTTTGGATTAATTGAATAGAGAAAGAGAAATATTTTGAGTATTCTTTGGAAGTTTATCTTCGATTAAAATGGCAGTTCAGAGTAAGCTAAAATAAATCACAATGAAGAAGCCGTGGCGTGTCTGCGCTCATCCAGAGCAGGACGATTCAACACCAATGGACAGCAACATTGCAGCACAGACCACATAAACACACACAAGGAGGCTTATAGTCGACATATAGCTCTCTCTCTCTCACACACACACACACACACACACACACACACACACACACACACACACACACACACACATTAGTCAAGCTGTTGTCATATTAGGCCTGATTATGTGTATTTTATGGGATATGTGCTCCTCTGCTGCCACTCTGGATGTATGAACACGTATTCAGGCAGCTTTTACAGTGCTAAACCATTATCGACCAGCACCTCCCGAATCTGTGCACACATCAAATCACACACACAGTCATTCCCACCCCCCAGAATAGATGGATTATTGAATATATAGTATAATGTGGCGGTGTCAAGCCTGTTTTCTGTATTATTATTATCTTTATTAGATTATTTCCTTAACGATCAGTTAACTGTAAACAATTAAATGATTAACAGATTGATTGAATGGTTGGCTGTTTGCTTGGCTCGCTGCCCGTTTTCCTGAGTGGCTTTTACTGTGTTTATTCTCATTAAATAAAGTATAAAGTTTGGACAACAAAATTTGTTTTAGGCAACTTTTTCTACCATTTTGGTGGTTTCCACACACAAAAAGTTATGTTATATTCCAATTAATCAGCCCCTTCTCTCATCTATCAGTAGTATGATTGACACTGAGAGGGCGCACACAATGTGACGATATGGCAGACCGGTGCGTGGCGCCTCCATGCTCAAAAACCCTGTTAGAGCCATTTTCGCGTTTCATTATGAATTATTATTGTAGGACACCACATGGATGACAGTGATTAAGACAGGTGGACAGCTGCTCATTGCAGAATGTAACAACAACAACAAAACATTTGTGGGACACAATTTAAGATGAAATTAGGTTTTACATAACAATATGATACATTTGTACCTGAATGATTCCCATGAAGCAGAACTGGATTAGACTTCTGTCCAAATATGCACCATCGAACAAGCCACGGTCCTTCAGATCATTAAACAGAGAGATGTAGAATTCCATTGATTCCCTTCTGAGGAAGCCCCACCAACTCTCTATTCGCTGATTTGCTGTGCTTGCCCCTTCAATGTAGCTGTCAATGCCGGAACCATCGTGAATGTTGCGACGGAGAAAACGCTGAAAGTCTCTGACTTAAACATTCTCTGTGCCCCGGTCGCCTCTGACAATCCTTGGACAACCACCCAATCTCTGGACTGCCTCTATGTAGTAGCCTCCGATGATTTTTGGGTCACTGCTGGTAGTAAATGCATTCATCCAGATAATTTTCCGGGAAAACCCGTCAATGCAGCTATTGATACAGATACCAAATGGCTTCAGTTTGTCATAAGAGTCAAAGTGCCAAATATAATTGGGCCCTTTTGCAAAATAGCTTCGGCGATGGAGCCGTCTCCTTGCTCTGAGTTCAACACCCCTCGGGTCAAGTTCTTTTAGAATTAAGCGTACCTCTTCTTTCTTGACGTGTTATCCATTCTCCTTGCATTTTGTGTACATCCACCTATACCCACAGAGTTGGCCAGATGTTTGTAACTGTTCATGAATGAAATTAACTACGTGATCCAAAGTGACGTATCCCTTGCGCCCGAAACAGACTACAAGACTTCAAAATTCGTTTTAAATGTCTTTCAGACACAACATGACGGTGACGACTTGCAAGTAAAGCAGCAATGTCCTTATAATGAAGTCCCAGGTTAAAATATTGTCGAACTCCTGTACTGTCATTTTCACACAGAAACACAAACCAAAATGCAGTGGATGGTCTCCCAGACATCATGAGCACACGAGAGCCGTATCTAGTGCTCACTAGATACTATCTAGTAGATAAGTTTCCTTTTTTTTTTTTTTCCATGTCCCTTTAGGGGCTCCGTATGTTTAGATGAGCCACAAGCAATAATAACACAGCTGCTGCACTTCTTTCTGACTCGTAATGCCCAAAGACAACTGGAACGCTTTAGTGGTACAAGCCAGACAATTACATCACGTTCTCGCGTCAGAGCAACTCGGCGGGGGGATTTACGAGACAAATGGATAGCACCATTAGATTAGGACATCTTGCCCCTCCACAGTCATTCAGCAGATGTGACTCTGGCTTTTCTGATTCAAACTCCCCCCTTGGTGAGAGGTTAACTCCCTCTCCCCTCACAAGATGGGACCAGTCCCCAAGTGACCCTGAGTCCCTGGGAACAAAGTCAGTTCCTCAACCTCCACAGAGAGACAGAAGGAATAGCTACCTGACTTCTCATCCCCCCCGAATCAGACATTGAAGAGATATGTACCTTATCTTCTAGCAGATATTCAGCCCCTGCTTATCAACCAAAGAGAACTGTAGCAAGTGACACACATGTCTACAGTCAAGCTAGTTTAGCCCCGCCCTCCCCAGTAACGACATCACAGTGTTCCCGCCTTGAAGAGCTTGAGCTAATAGCTAAAGATATGGAACATTTTGATTTTGATCCAGGAAGATAACACAGGTGGTTTGGGACACTGTTGTCGCTTGCAAAACAAGCAACACAACAAATGAACCGACCACCTTAAATGTTAAAGCGTCACACACACCTACTGCCCTAAAAAAATCATCCTCCCAACAGCTCGAAGAGGGGTGACAAACGGCAGTATAAGGACACTGAGCGCAACCGCCGTGTCCACCAACTGCATCCAGATAGGCATTCTCAAAGCAAAAACTGTAGAAAGCCATAGGTTCTCATGGATCCTGGTGGAGCCTCCTGCCATGGTCCTGCTTGACTGCCATTGCCAATACTGTTGTTGCTGTGCACCTGTCTGTCTGTCTGTCGCTCTCTCTCTCTCTCTCTCTCTCACCCCAACTGGTCGAGACAGACGACCACCCACCTAGAGCCGAAGGGTCTGTCCCTAGGTTTCTGCCTTTTAACAGGCAGTTTTTCCTTGCCCTTGTCTCCAAGGTCTTGCTCATGGTGGTACTGTTGGGTCTCTGTAATTAATGTTAAAGAGTTCGGTCTAGACCTGCTCTATTTGAAAAGTGTCCTGAGATAACTTCTGTTATGAATTGGCGCTATACAAATAAAATTGAATTGAATTGAATACTCATATGTGCAGCCCCAACCTTGTGACCAGACAGTTGACTTTTCAGATGATGACCGCAACATCTCTGATCACAGTTCAGAACATGGTCATATTCAGTCAGATAGTGACTCTGAATGTCTCTCTGCCTCTGGTTACCAGGAGCGTTACAGCCCTGAGCCACGAGTTAGGAAAAACTCTAGGCATAAAAACAAAAGAGCTCACTTCTCACGGTCTTGACGACACCGTCCATCCCTGTACTGACAGTAAGCTAACCTAGCGTACCTTACTTTCCTGCAGTTCTATAGGCAAATTTAGAATTGTTAGCAACCGCAATAAAGTCAGTACAGTATTTTTAAACTCAGTAATAGTCAGACAACCTACTATTAGCTGAAAAACAACCAAATTTGGATTTGAAAACATTATTTGCAAATACACCTGGATCAACTCCCTGGTAATATATTTTGATAAGGTCACTGATACAGACACTAGCTTAGGACACATTCATTATGACACACAGTCATACACATGTCCTTATCCAATACACTCCAAAAATCTTTCAGCTATGGACTATAGGCTCTTGATCCCAGGATCACACATCAGGTGCACTCCTGAGATCAAAGGGGGGATGTTGGGATCCAAGGATACCCCTAAATATGAACTTGTTCATTTGAAGTGTTTAACTGAAATACAAAGGGACATGTTGGGATTTGACCATGTGCTCAGAAACTCTTGAGGCCTGTATGTAAAAGTAAAGGCCTGATTGTAGTAGTCTTTTAGACAAAGGAAACACGCCTGCCAGATAACAGACCCCTCCGTGGGGACAGGGTGTGTCTCAAAGGCAAATAAACGGCCAAACACCGGCCCGTCATTGGTCAGAGATCTTTGGACACCAGACCTGTCATCACGGCTATTAAAGCCAGAGAGATGATCATCTCTCTCTCTCTCTTCTCATCTACCTTCACTCCTGCACCCCCCCCCGGTCTAAGTACATACACGTGGGGAGGGATTCAAATCCCCCCGCTTCTTCTATCTCTCCGTCTCTCACCAACACATGCTTCACACCCTGAAACATCTGGTCAGAGGACCTTTTATGACCCCCATAAACACACACACACACACACACACACACACACACACACACACACCTCCTTTAGTTCCTTTAAGTTAGATTGTATATTGTGTATTTTTCCTCTGTTTGCTTTTATTATATCTGGTTAATAAATGTTTGTGTTTACATATGCTGGCTTATTTAATTTCGTACAAGAGTGAGTGATACCAACCTCTTCTATGTAGAACTCCAAAGCTCCCACTCCAGCTATTATTAATGATTTTGGTTGTAATTATTAATTTAATTATTAATCTGATTTCTGAATTAATAGTTTACTGTAGTTTTTACCGATTAATCGATTACTGGTTATCTTATTTAAGGGTGGTGCCCAGAGTAACTTTAATATTAATTAAAGTCATTTTCTATTATCTTTTGATAATTCAAATTTTTGATAACCATTCATTGATTAAACTAATACAGTTAGACCACTACCACCCTACGCTGTAGAGCCCGACATGGATGTTTTTTCATGATCAACCAACAAAATAAACATATATATAATATAAAATAATTCTGTAAGTTAATTGTTAAATAATTAATTAACAAAAAGTAACCAAACTGAAACAACCACAACAAAGTTGGAAATATTAGTGAATAGTGATGTAAAGAGATAATAAGTATATTACGGGAATACAAAGCTGAAAACAACAACCTCTATAAGCAAATCAACTGTAACAAAGGAAATTAGTATTGATGGTGATCAGAACATCAGCGTGTGAAATAAAGATGGAAATAAATAAATAAAATATCATTTGAGGCAGGAAAGTGAGTTGTATATATGTTTATTATTTTATTAATGACAAGAGCATCAGAAAAAACAATCACCTGTATATTAGATTATTTCTCTTGAGTATATTTGACTGCAGATCCAGACCAGATGAAAAATGTCTCAACATTTAAATTATTACAAATTGTTGTTGCACTGCAAAGAAAGTTCAGTATACATTACTACAGTGATTCAAGATTATCAGATTACATTTAAATCAGTTCAGTGCAAGAATTGTTCAAAAGTTTAAAGGAAAAGAGGAAGAGTTTCTGTCTTACATGGTGAAAAGCAGATGACCAGTGAAGGCGGTATATTGATGACTATTATCGTACACCTTTGTATTAGCCAACAGACGCAGAAACACAACATCTCCAACCTCTAGGAGCAGTGTAACCCCCATAGAAGTAGTCCCATAACCTGATGTCTGATGTTCATATGCAGTCACAATTTGTTGTGAGTTCTTGACCAACACAGCTGCTGAAGCATGGTGACCTCCATATGTTCCTATGTACCACTCGAAGTGGTAGGCTCCTCTCACTGGTGCAGTGAAAATACCTGTTGAACATTTGTTTTTAGTTTTTTTAAATGAAAATTCAACTGTTGCAACATTAGACATCAGCATAGGTAAAAATAACAGAGTTCAGGTACCTGTGTCTGGTTTGTAGGCCTTTCCAATGTTTGTATCGACATGTTTGAAGATCAGAGTAGTTTGTTTGGGAAAGGGTCCGACATATCCGCTGCCTGTAGCCAACAGAGAGGCTGAGAAAGCCACCTGTCCAACTGATAGAGAGAGAGAGCAATATATATACACCGATCAGCCACATTAAGAAGAAGAAGATATACTTTATTAATCCCCAATGGGGAAATTCTTTTTCACTCTTACTTTACACACTGGCCTGAAATAAAATCATGCATATGGAGGGCTTATAGACATGCAAATGTGGAGAGATGGTGGAGTGATGGGCTGCCATGTAGGGACACTGTGAGCAGTTAGGGGTTGGGTGCCTTGCTCAGGGGCACATCAGCAGTACACTGGAGGTCTAACTGACACCTCTCCAGATGTTCTGACCCAGTCGTCCATCACAAGTGGTTCTTGTCAAAGTGGCTCAGATCCTCACGCTGCCCATTTTTCCTGCTTCTAACACTTCAACTCTGAGGACCAAATGTTCACTGTCTGCCTGATATGGTAAATGGACCTGTACTTGTATAGCGCCTTTCTCGTCTACCGACCACTCACAGAAACTTCATTCATACACACACACACACACCGATGCACGGCATAGGGAGCAATTTGGGGTTCAGTATCTTGCTCAAGGATACTTTGACATGTGGCACCAGGAGCCGGGGATCGGACCCACAACCTTCCGATTAAGGAACGACCCGCTCTGCCTCTGATATGAATCTCAAAGGAGCAGAAGCAGCTGGTAGAAATCATAAACACTTTCTCCAATACATGCACGTACTAATAATAGCAGCAGTTATCAGTTTCAGTACTTGATATTATGGTATTTGAGAATGAATAATATTCTGGTTTATTACATTTTATACCACACAGTAGTAGTATTGGTGTCATAAAGATACATTACATTTTTGTTATACAAATAATCCGACATGATGATTTCACACACACAGTACCTTTCAGCTGTTGCTTCAGCTTGTCAACCTCAGTCTCCTGCTTCTTACACTCAGTCTCCTGCAGTTCTTTCAGCTTTGCTGCATGCTCTGAAAAAGAGGAGAAATAAACTTGTGAGTGTGATTTGTTTTGAATACTTTGTTTGTAATATCTATACTTTTGGATATGAACTGCTATGACATTCATTCCCTTGTAAAACAACAGTGGTTCCTATGGAAGGGTTCCTGATGCTATTCCTTCTCTCATTACCCGACATAATACTGTACCTTTATTCTCTGTTTGTAGCAATCTTATGTCAAACTTCTGTTGAGTCAAAGTAACAGCCATCTCTCTCAGCACAGCAAGGATGTCTTGTGGTAAAGACTGTAGGGATGTGATCTGCTGTGCAAGAATTTCTTTTTCTGCCTCCGTCTTATTCTGATCAGTGGAGCCAGAGCAGACCAGCAGCAGCAACAGGAAAATCACAGTGATCTTCATTGTCACACTGGCAGCTTACACAGGTGAACTGTGTCCTCTGTAGACCGGTGTGAGGTTTATGTAGTACAGCAAAAAGAGGCGTGAAGGTGAGGGAGGTGGACGTCACAGACGTCTTCATGTCATGGTGATGTTATCTATAGACACGCCTCTGCTTTCACTCTTCACTAGATTCAGTTGATTACTCCATCCTAAGTCATCAGGAGGTCATCTCTAACAGTAAGATGTGACAGGCACAGAGGAAGTGGGGCTGGTATGGCTGACGTTTCCATTAATTTTGGTCTGAGACGCTGGTGCCGTGGTGCTACATCTAGTGGTCTTCCATATTATATTGGTCCCAAGTGATACCTGAAGTCAAACAACACTTGAAACATTTGGGGTGGTGAGGCCACGGAGGAAGAGTGGTTGTCTAGTAATCAGAAGGTTAATATCTTTGCAGCCACTTTTTTGCAACATTGCATTATGATTGTTTAATTATAAAAACTTGATCACATGCAGATGTAGGCAGCCTGCAGCTCCTGTAGGTTTGATAGTAAATTATATGGAAACTAATAATTGCTTTTTACTATTACAGAACAAATTCATAATTTCCTGATTGTTTCTTCTGGCACAAAGTCAACAGAGACTTGTAAAACCACAAACTGAACCTCATCATGACACTTGTCTTCCCTGTACCACAGAAAATGTCAGAGCGTCCTAGAGAAGATCAATATATGTATGGTCTACAATTAAACTTTAATTGATTGAAAATTATATCTTTAATCACATTTTATTTGATTTAAGATTACAATTATTCACAGATAAAAAGTCTGTTTCTGTTGATCTGCTGTACTTTAAAGCCTCAACCAGTTTTGCCTCTACTGTGTCCAATTATCAACTGACGAACAATCATTATGAAACAAAATCCTTTAGAACAACAGTAAGTTAGTTATTGTAGGTTGTTCTGTTGAAAGTCAACTTACTACAATTTGACTCTTAAAAATAAACATGCTGATATCATAGAAGAATACTAACAATCCAGTGATAGTTGTCTGTATATCCATATATAACAAACAGGAATAGCTAATAATAATATAATAATAATAATGCCAGTTTGACAAAATGTAAAGAAATTTCTGCTGGAAAAAAACACTGAATTTGGCTTTTACTCTTAGTGTCAGTCCTTGACTGCAAGAGAGAGCCAACATATTCTTTATAAATGCTCATGCTCAAACATACGCTGCAGTATTTTAAAAACATTTTCAGACTTTTTTGATAAGCGTATTTATTTCAAGCATCGTACAGTGTTCTACAGGACGATGAGAAAATCAACAACTACATGTTCACAGAATCTAATGCTAACTGAATATCACACAGCAACTCATGTTGGGGATCTGAATAACTCAGGTCACCACTCTGTGAATGATATCATGAGAATTATATTGCTGTTCTGCATGCTGTCAGTTTTTAACCAGTGATTAAGATAAAGCATTTCACTGAGAAGGGACATTTTGTGTATGCAGCAGAGACAAACAGGAAATAAAGTTTTGTTTTGTGTGAAAGAGAAATGGGCACTGATTGTAATCAGTTTCTGCATACTTCTTGCACAGTAGCATACTGGTTCCTGTTACAGACACATAAATAATTAAGAAACAATACAATAGTACAATTGTGAGAATACAACTGTAATTATCTCATCATCCATCCATCAATTTTCTTCCACTTATCCGGGTTCAGGTCGCGGGTTAGGGTTAAAATACTAGGTTAAAAATACTTCCAGTTACTTCCTCTGCCGTCTCTCCACAGACAGTTGGTACAATCCCTCTTTCAGGAACAGTCTTTCAGTCAGTCCACTGTTGTACTGACCGAGGTTGTGAAAACAGTCCGACACAAAGTGGTTCACACACGAAACCAAAATTTAAAAAAAAAAAAAAATACAATTATGAACCTGAAAAGGGGAATAATTTGTCTCCTTTAAGCATGTTTTTCTCTAGCCAATGTCTACAGGTCCAGGAAATGTTCAAAACAAACCTGCTGCTTAGCCAAAAAGGAGCTCTTACTGAACACCTTGACCCGTCTGTGACCTTAAAAGTGTAATCTAGTGGTTTGAAATTGAGTTGAGATTACAACATTTGAATTTCAAGATCGGAATTTGAATTTTGAGATCTGAATTTGAAAGGACATAAAAAGTTGAATTTTTAGTGAGGCTCAAATTCAGTTTCAAACTAATAAATTCAAATTCAAATTATGCTATTCAGATTCAGCTTTGCAATACAGTTATTCAAGTTTAACAATAGCAATTCAAATTCAGGTTTTTAATGCAATTATTCAAGTTGGGCAATTCAGATTCAGTTTCTACTGACACAAATATCAGCCCATAGACATCTGGTCTACCTTGCTTAGCCTGCTGCCACCGCGACCTGAACCCGGATAAGTGGAAGAAAATTGATGGATGGATGATGAGATAATTACAGTTGTATTCTCACAATTGTACTATTGTATTGTTTCTTAATTATTTATGTGTCTGTAACAGGAACCAGTATGCCACTGTGCAAGAAGTATGCAGAAACTGATTACAATCAGTGCTCATTTCTCTTTCACACAAAACAAAACTTTATTTCCTGTTTGTCTCTGCTGCATACACAAAATGTCCCTTCTCAGTGAAATGCTTTATCTTAATCACTGGTTAAAAACTGACAGCATGCAGAACAGCAATATAATTCTCATGATATCATTCACAGAGTGGTGACCTGAGTTATTCAGATCCCCAACATGAGTTGCTGTGTGATATTCAGTTAGCATTAGATTCTGTGGACACATGATTGTAATTCACAATCTTATTCAGGAATTCTCTGTTATAGACTTTAAATTATCTATTTGGATCTTGGCTCAGTAGCATTCAATGACTGTATTTACAATCAGCTACTTCAACAAATATAGTAAATTCACTGAAATGCAATTCAAACATGTTCACACTATTTGATTTTATTTAATTTATTTGGCTTCTCAAATATATACATCTATACCATGTCCAACAATGTGACTAAAACATATTCATTCAAAATGTCAAGGATAATGAAACTAAAAAGTAAAAAAAAAAAAAACTAATTCCGTTGTGGTCTTCTTTCCAGGACACTACGACGGCAAGGAAAAACTTCCTTTTAAGAGACAGAAACCTCAGTCAGACCCCGACTCTAGGTGAGAGAGAGAGAGAGAGAGAGAGAGAGAGAGAGAGAGAGAGAGAGAGAGAGGGAGAGAGAGAGAGAGACAGAGAGAGGTGCACAACAACTATACTGGTAGAAATGACTGATAATGATGAATACGATAATGATGATGAAGATGAAGAAGATGATGATGACTACAACGATAGCCATAACAATGGGGGATGAATAATAATAAGTAATAAAAATAATTGTACAGAAAAGAATAAACGGTTTTGGTGGCCATGCTTGCTCTTGAACACAGACAGTGGTCTGTGGGATACTGCTGGTTGAGGCAGTCTGAAAGAGCTCTGACTGACATCCAGAGATGATCACAAATTAATCAAAAGTATCTTATTACAAATTACAAATACTCACTCATCAAATGCAAAGTAAATATGTATTTGATTAAAATTCAAGTCATTTGTAATTTGAAAAATGCATTTTATATACACGGATAATATTACCGATGTATTAAGAGTAATAAATAAAAGTGCAGTGGACTTAGTGAATTTGAACCCTAATCCATTATTATTGTATATATTTTGTATTTTATTATATTTTGTATTTTATTATATTTTTATTCTCTTTCTTTACTCATTGCACTACATTCCCTTGTGCTGCTCTGCCAGATATAAATTTCTCCTACAGGGGACCAATAAAGGAACATCTCATCTTATCGATTGCAAAAGACACAGAACATGTTTGGTTAAGCAGTTATATACACTACACACACACACACACACACACACACACACACACACACACACACACACACACACACACACACACACACACACACTACTTTGACAGTACAAATGTAAGACGTAGTTTAACCAAATTTAGAGAAAATCAGGTGAATCTTAAGGGTGGGTTTATTGAGATGAACAGTAGCCGAAACCAATTCTGCAGTTGCCATTGCAGAAGAAGAAGTGACTTTAAAAAAAGAAGAAAAAGCTCCAGTCGAAGCTCAAACGATGGAAAACATGATGGAAAAATGACATTTCTGTTCATTTACTGCTCCACAGTTTTATATTTGTATTTTTGGCATTTTGTTTCTGACCTCTGCATCACTACTAAGGATTTTTTTTTCTGTCATTCATTTTCACCTAACAGCAGTAAACACCACCATCTACTGGCTGACATTGGGTATTAATATAGGGAACTCATTATTAATAAATTCACTGGAATAACTACCAAAAAGATAATGACACAATAAAATAGTTTACACCTTCATACAGCTTGTCCCACATACAAAACTGGCCTTTCATGCTACAGTGAGGGTGGGATTGGTGTGGGGTTTAGGGTGTCTGTGGGTGGAGGTTGAGCATTTATTTGAATTCCCTATGACTGAAACAGTATCACAATAGTAATACAAAATAAAATAATTCTAATAATAATAATAATGATAATAACAATAATATCATTAATATTAGCAGTGGGAGTCAAGCAGGAGGCTCCACCAGGATCCATGAGAACCCGAACCACAACTGGAAGCTGGTTCCACAGGAGAGGAGCTTGGTAACTGAAGGCTCTGGCTCCTGTTCTACTTTTAGAGACTATAGGAACCACAAGTAGCCCAGCATTCAGAGAACGTAGTGTTCTAGAGGGGTAATAGGGTACTATGAGCTCTTTAAGATATGAAGGGGCCTGACCATGAAGAGCTTTATAGGTGAGGGAGCCAGTGCAGAGAAGCTAGTAGGGGAGGGCGGGGTAAGATGAGCCATTTTTCATATTTAGGATCACTACATCAAGGCAATCATAGTTTTGTCGCTAACTAATATATCTGCATATATATCTGCATATATTTCAGGATGTTGTGCATCCCTTCAAACAAACAGAATGAGTGTAAACAAAACTGCTTCGATAATATAGCATGTTCAATTTACCCCGTGTATGGGGTAAATTGAGCTGTATGCTGGATCTGATTAATCTGCAAGGAGTACGTGAAAGTATTAAACACGACATTTCCTCTTGCCAATAGAGGGCGCTATGGGTATGACTGAATATTTGCATGTAGATGTGTTCAGGGTGGGACTCCTATCAGACGTGCATTTTGGTTAAGATTGGAGAACAACGCTCAAGTTGTAAGAACTACCTGTTTCCTGTAAAAAAAAAAATGAAATCACACTACACACTACTTTGATTACTTGAAAACTTTAATTAAAGATGCTGACATAAAAAAAATGCCCTGATACACTTTGCGAAACATCACAAAAGAATATTTGAATTCTTCAGATTTTAAATGAAATCAGCATAGGTAAAAATAACAGAGTTCAGGTACCTGTGTGTGGGTTGTAGGCCTTTCCAATGTTTGTAGGGTAAGGTGATCAGATATCTGAAATGAAAATCGGGGACATTTTCAATGCGGCGGTGAAAAATCATTAAATATTATCATTATGAACTAAAAAACGGGGAGTAGTACTTTTTCATGTATTTTAACCAGCTTTTATTACACAAGAGATAGAGACAGATAGAGGTAGAGGTGTGGTTACAGAAACTGCACATGGTTGGCGTTGCCTGTGTGTGATGGTGGGACACAGTGGGATATCTTTTCATGGGGTCCAAAATCCCTGGTGGCGCCCCTGCAAAGGGTTAATAAATCAGTCTCTTTTCTCTTCTCCTTTAATGCTTTTCTTTTCTTCACCCTTCTTTTTTCTCTCCTTAGCTTCACTCTGTTGTTTACTTCCTTATTTCTGCCTTTTCACACTATTCTCCCGCTCTTTTCCTCTTCTCTCCTTCACTCTTTACTATCAGTATATACTATACTTGTCTTCTCCCTAATCTACAACAGAGCAACATAGAGATAATATTGTCATCTCATGGTAATCTAATATAACAAGTTATACCTTTACTAACAACAGTGACATACAAAACAGTGACGGAGGGCATCAGCTAATCAGATGGTCTGCATTTATAACTACTACAGTCATTGGTTACCCACACAGCACTGTCTGGTGCCAGCCCGACACAAAATACAGCAGTTAGCCTAACACACACACACACACACACACACACACACACACACACACACACACACAACTATCAACCATTGACTTATTATTCATTAATTTATTATTTTAACAGAGTCTCAGGTCCCTATGCCTACAGGAAAATCATATGCTACCAAAGCAGTCCTCTACCTCCCCCTCTTCCAAAACAGAGCCACATACAATGTCATCACCTGGTAATCTCATGCTAACGTTAATGTTACAGCTTCACTAATGACAGATATGAAAACAGTGTCATAATGTTAACGTTCACTGACTTTTATAACGTTACGTTAGGTCTTCAGTTCAGATAAACAATCATACTTTAACGTTACATCACTTCACACACACACACACACACACACACACACACACACACACACACACACACACACTCACTCACAGCCAAGTCTACTGCCAGTTCACACAAAATAAATAAGTTCATACACAACATAACATTTATCGCGGCCGCTGCTCTCCTTTTCTTTCCTTTTTGCCGCCTCTAGATTGTTGTTGACGCTGCTGCGTCTGTACGTCATACGATGTCTTCTCTGGCGATGCGTTAAATGGCTATCATAATAACTGGTGTTTGAGTCTGCGCGCATTTTTCCCCCATTCAGTGTCAAAATCGGGGACATTTTCGGGGACAGCTTTGACCGGGGACAGGTCACCCAAAACGGGGACTGTTTCCCGGAAATCGGGGACGTCTGGTCATCTAATTGTAGGGACATGTTTGAAGATCAGAGTAGTGAGTCTGGGAAAAGGTCCTGCCTGTCTGTATATTCACCAATTTATTAGGGCCCGAGCACTGACCTGTTGTAATTGGAAGGATTCTTATTATTTTAGTAACAAATGAATTGCATATATGGAGGCTTTACCGTGCTCGAAAACTCATGAAACGTGGCGCACGTGTCCGTCGTGGCGGAAAATTTCGTATTTTCTAGGGTTCCCCTATAAGCATGGCAAAATGGCCCCTCAGGGGCCCATAAACTGTACCACCCGGGGCCCCTTTCACCGCTATGCACAAAAATCGGCACACGCGTAGATCTTATCCAGACGTACAAAAAAATCCAGTGGCGGCCATATCCCAAACCCAATAGGAAGTTGCCCATTTTGGATTAAGCAGCCATTTTTGACGATTTGCACACATTGCATTTGAACGAACTCCTCCTAGGGAATTGATCAGATTGACTTCAGATTTGGACACAGCCATTCACGATTAAAAGTTGTGCTATTTACGACACTCCGTCGAGCCCGTGGCGTGCAATTTCAACAACTCGCCATGAAAGAGGGATTTGTCATAACTTAAGTGTACATGATCCGATCACAACGAAACTTCAAATGTTTGATAAGAGTCCCGCCCTTAACACATCTATGTGATAATGTCACTAATAGTGAGAGCGCCACCTGGTGGTGAAAGGAAATGTCATTTTTATACTTTTATGTATATCTTCCAGCAGATTGACCAGATCCAGGCCCGATCCAGTCCCGTTCATCGCTGCACTTTTTAAATGTCTTTTTGCCCTTTTTGTCATAAGGACAGGATAGGACAAATACCAGGCTGGCTGCAGATGGTCCTCTGTGCAAATGACCAGCCAGACAAAGCTGCAGCTGTGGCTTAGAGGCAGAGCGGAGCGGGTCGTCCACTAATTGGAAGGTTTTTGGTTCCAAAAAACAAACAAACTGCGTCCTCATATGGGGACAAAGTTTTATAGCAAAAAAGGCCTAATGTCCTCATATGACCCTCAAGGACATAATTTTTTGTGAAAACTACAAATTATTCAGAAACAATGCTTGTTTTTATGTCTATCAGGTCCTACTAATCCAAAATAGCTAGGAGAAATTGTTAATGCACCCCAAACAAAGGTCAGGTCTCAGGAGGGTAAAAGCGCATTGACTGGTCGGAAGACTAGAAAGGCGTTATACAAGTACAGGTCCATTTAGTTGCAGGGTCTTATTGCTCCTCCAGCTTTAATAAATGTTTTTTGTTTCCACTCAAATTGAAAATGCACATGAGAACGAGTGACTGAAGAGTCATTTCTCACATGGTTTAACTTCAATCACTGTTTGATCCACTGTTTCACTTATAAAGAAAGAAAAAAAGCCGTCACTCAGTTTATGTCATAACTTTCAGCCTAACAATGGATTCAAGTGAGCTTTTGAATTGTAAATGAGTTGATTCCGATGTTTGACTAAACAGGAAAATCTTCCGAGGGGATTTAAATACCTCACGTTCCTGTGATATAAAACATCCTGACATTGAAAAGGTTACAACAGTCGCTGTGGGTTCAGTTGTTGGAAGCATGCAGACCAAAGGTTTTTACTGTGAGTATCTTTGAATGATCTTTGAATTGTTTGTCAGTTTATCTCACATTAGTTTCCAGATCCAAAAGAAAAACTGAAGGTATTAATATTTTATTAGATTGGCTTCACCAGACTGTTGCTGTTACTGTTGCTGTTACCTTTTGTGAAGAGTTTGATTCGTTTATTTTCAACACTGCTGACACAAGACTGTCAGTTTGTTTATTTATATGAGATACTTCACAACTAAAAACTGACAAATGGATTAAAAACAGACCAGAAAAGTAAAGCTGTGATTAAAAGTTAAAACAACAATCTGAAAGAAACAATACAATTAGACAAAGGCGACAGATGTCTGTATGTTTCTGTTGTCACAGTATGAAATCTGATTGCGGCTCGTAAATACTTTATTGACCAGCAGGCGGGATTATCAAGCTACTGAGCTGCAGATTTAATAATTATTGTATCATCTCAACATTGTCAGACAGAAGAAACACAGGTTAAGTAGGTCTATTGGCTTTAAAATACAAACTCCTGTTTGGGACCAACTTCTGAGGAAATAACAACTCTTTTTGAACCTGTTTCTTATTATAAAAATTACATTTTGAATCTAAAACATCCTCCAGATATTTAAAATGTAGCAGCAGACCGACTGGAACCAGTCTCCTTAAACAAACACATGCAGACAATTGTTTTACTCTTTATATGCAATGAGGAACACTCAACTATTCAGGGATAATTTAACATAGCATCCAGGGATTTTCCAGCTCTATCATGTTGCCTAGTTACTATAACACACACATTTGCATCATCTGCATACATTTGTGTTTGAACATCCGACCAGGAGATTGTGATCACATCGAACAATAAAGGGCGGAACAATGATGTTAGATTATCTTCTAACTTTGTGAACTTAGTGACTGAATTGACTAATTAATGATTAAGATCCCCATGTATAATGTGTTTCTGGGAATGAATATGTACGAGATCCGGAGGTCAGGACCATCGTCAGGATATAAGGACACACACACAGTATTTATGAGATAATAGTAGGAAGGATGGAGTGAAACAAATATCAGGATGTTTCTGATTGACTTTTGTTTTTCTTTTAAAAGGTATTTTGTTCCAGTTGTGGCTTCTCCAGAGCAGAGCAGGTAACAAAACGTTTAAATAGAGGGAATAACAACCATATTTTAACTTGAATGAGGAACAGTCAAATATTCCAGGATAATTTAACATAGCATCCATGAATTTTCCATGTTGCCTACTTCCAATAACACATTTGCATCATCTGCATACATTTGTATTTGAGCATCCGGCCAGGAGGTTTCACTCACATCGAACAATAAAAGGTGGAACAATGATGTTAGATTATAGTCCAATCTTATGGGAACTTGCAGTTCTTTCTGTTATGTAATGACAAAGGTTCTGAGTTCTGAAAAGTTTTAGCTAGTATATTACCATGTTTGAGGAGAAAAACCTCTGCTGAGTATTAAATATAACTAGTATTTAAAAATGTTTATATGCATCTGTGCACATAAAGCACCAGATTCTTGATTCATACATTAAACATTATGCATGTTTAATGTAGTTAAAATTGGATAAATGCAAAGGCAGATGGAATCTGGATGAAGACAATCAGACATTTCAAAATATGAAAAGTTGGAGATGGAAGGTTTTTGCAACTATTCATGTTTGTTTGTTTATTTGCTTGTTTGTTTGTTTGTTTGTTTGTTTGTCGCCACCAAGTTGCCTCTTCTTTGGTAAATGTGGCCCCAAGTGGAACAGCAACTCAGTCATCCACAGCCAGTGGTGGTTATCCTTATAAGGCAATCGATGGGAATAGAGACCCGGTGTATTCCCACGGATCCTGCAGCCATACAGGCGGTGGGTTTAGCAACTGGTGGAGTTTACTCCTGCCCGGGCTGTACAAGGTTGCACGTATTTCCATCACCAACAGATATGAAATACCTGAAAGGATCAATAACGCCAAGATCCTCATTGGGAATTCTCTAGAGAACAACGGCAACAACAACCCGAGGTAATCCTGTTTGTTTTTGTTTTGTAAACGTCCCAATTTACAGGTTTGACTTTGACCTACTGAGCTTCCATACACAATGTGATTATTTAACACTGATAGAAAGCAGTAAGTGTAAGTGATTGATTGTCTAACTGCTCCAGTTTCTCGCCCCGTCATACTTTATGGACTTCATGCACCAGACTTGTCGTAATAAACCAGAATTATTCTTTCATGTTTGTCTCTTTCTCAGCTGCGCTGTTATTTCCTCCATTCCTGGCGGAGCTACCAGCACCTTCCAGTGTGGAGGGATGATCGGTCGGTTGGTCAACGTGTACGTCTACCGCACAAACCCTGAAGCTTACCTGACACTATGTGAGCTGGAAGTGTACGGAGGTTAGTCAATCAGAACTTAAATTTGAACTCAAATGAGAAATAAGCAGCTCGGCTCTTTGCTGCAGAATCTCCAAACCGGACTTTTGTTGCTCACATTTTCCAGAGCTGCTTCCTCCGGCGCCCACGTTCAGTGCAGTGGTGATGGGTAGGAACGTAGCGGTGGTGGAGAGGAGGCTGTGTTGGTCGGATGCTCTGCTGTACTGCAGAGACTTCCACTGGGACCTGCTCAGCATTCGCAGTGCAGAGGAGCAGATGGAGGTGGAAGCGGCGCTCACAACCGCCTCCTTCAACCTCACCAGACATGTTTGGTTGGGACTGCGCAGGTACTCTTAATAACAACGTCCATCTCACCAAGAGTGTTGCACTTTTACTTTTTAGATTTTATAAGTTGTCTCCTTTACCAAAGTGAGTTTATGTTGAACGTTGAATTAAAACCACATCAAATACAGATGTAAACTGTGTCTGGCTCTGCAGAGGCTCGTATAGAAGCCCAGTTCCACCAAGAAAAGAAAAATTAAATATATGTAGTTATAATAAAAATGAAAATATTCACTGACTTAATATCTCATAATTTTGATTTACCATATTTTTATTTTTTTATTGTGCTTGACTTTCCTGTTTCGGTTTCCCAAAATTATGACATAATATTCATAAAATGTAGTAAATATATATATTTTATAGTTTGCAGTCTCCATAAACCTTTCTGTTACAGCTGCCGACATTCATTGACAAGCAGAAACTCAACTATCAGTGGATCCCTTTTAGGTATCTGATGGGGGACACGTGGTTTTGGATGTCTGGAGCTCCCATGAGCTACAACCTCTTGGACAGAAAGCTCTGGCAAGAAAGCAGTCCCTGTGGCGGCATCGACACCGGCGCTCCCTTCCACTGGAGGGATATTCCATGTGGGGATCATCTTCACTTCATCTGTTTGAAAGGTGAGAGATCCAGTCCCATTTGTTTACCTACTGGGCTGAAGTTCATGCATCAAACAAAGTGTCCTGATATTGTGAGGGGACATTGTGTAATAAGGAAAACTGGAATATGAAACCACACTCATGTATCCCCGAGCTGCTAGCCTGAAGCAGATATGAGGAGCGGGTTGCAGAGCTCTGGTAATTCCTCCACAACCCCAGATATTTCCTTTCTGCCCAAAATTCAGACTTCAGCCTCTCAGACTAGCAGTTTTTTTCTGCAGCCTGTGAATCCACAAACAGCTGGCCTAAACTGATAGAGACACAATCTTTTACATCTTCTTTTTAAACTTCTGTTATTTAGAGACACAGATCTTCTGTGTGTGCATCTTGTGTGGAACGAGCATGGTTTCTTTTTCATCCAGCACATATCCAGTCACTACAGCTTGTGGTAGATACAAAGTATGATCTTGTCTCTCTGTATGGTTTTATTCAAGTCATCCATGACTGGACGCAACCGTCACACACTCTCGTATGTGGAAGTCTGAAAGAGCCGAGATTGGAAGAAGCAGTATGGTTTTCTCTGTGTTGGAGCGTCACTCTAACAGTTACACAGTAAACAGACAGATAGTGTGGGATGATGAGTCCTCGGCTGTTTACTTGGACATAGACTGTAGTTAGAAACAGGGTTAAAGGTTATATGCATATAATAGCCTCTCTTACAGTTGTGTCTGCTTTTACAATGACCATCTTCATTAGTCCTCTGCCTACTATCTACCATTAAAATGCAGTTTTCCAGCTGGAGAATGTAAGTGTTTCTATCTTCCAAGCTAGCTCGCTGCTTGCTGAATGCATGATTAAAAGTAATATTGTAACTGTAATATTATTAAGAGTAATGTGTTACTGCCCAAAATTGAATATTAATCTGCTTTACAATGAATAGTCTGTGTCCCCCCCCCGTGTCCTTACAGATATTCAGAGCGAGACGAGAGGAGTGGAGTTTTTCAGCAGCACCAGAATGAAATCACCATGAAGAGAAACTCAGTTCACATCTTCAGAGTGTGTGTGTGTGTGTGTGTGTGTGTGTGTGTGTGTGCATCATATCACATCAGTGTACCGTGGCTTTACTGCTTTATTCTGTTTTATTGATATCTTAGTGATGTTTCTGATCCAAAGGGGGCCAAAAGGTTACAGAGGTTTTGAAACTCTTCCTGTTTCTGTCTCTTCCTCACAACTCTATTTACATATTATTATTATATTTACATGTTTCAGTGTGTCTGTGACTAAAAGATAAACTGCTTTACAATAGTTTAATAATGCATATTATTTGCTATCTACATGCACATTGGATTATTTTCTAGGGTTACAGCAGTCAAACTCTTCACCCTCATATCAGCTCCTCTTGTAAAAGTGAAACATATTCACAATAATAAACAATAAATCTGACCACGTGGTACTTCAAGATTCAATTTATTGTCCTCCAAGGGGGAAATTCATCTCCACATCACTGCACCATACAGTCAACAGAGAAACACGCCATCCACAATCAACAAATCCACAAAAAACAAACAAACAAATAGTACATGACAGGTGGACCGTACACTCAGCACCTCCAGTAATGTCCAGTTTCATTGTGGTTGCAATGCGTGAAATGGCCCTGTTGTCCAAGTATGTTTATTTAAAACTAAGCATAGAAACAATTCCAGGGCTAGTGTAGAATAAATACAGTTTTAATTGAATATCTGTAACCTGAAATACATTCAACCTCAGTGAAGAGTCACACAGAGCTAAAGCAGGGTCCAAACAGCAGACACACACACACACACGCACACACACGCACACACACACACACACACACACACACACACACACACACACACACACACACACAGGATTCCCGGGAGTGGCAGGGAAATACATTTACTGCCCAGCTAAGGTCCTTGCATCATACATAGATATGACAAAAGGGGGATGGAGAGAGAGAGGGTGGACGGCAGAAAGACAATCATTCTACAGTAGCCCTAAAGGTACAGACAGGACACTGGCTCCATAGAGCCTTTCACATGTTTCTCTGCCACCAGAGTTTCTGGGGAGGGGGGGGGAGAAGTGAGTGAGTTGCAGAGTCAGCTGTTATTTTCTTGTATATATTTATTTATTTTTTCTGGATTATTGGCTTTGTGTAGAAATATAAAAGTTACTCCCCGTCGGGGAATCGAACCCCGGTCTTCCGCGTGACAGGCGGAGATACTGTCCACTATACTAACGAGGAAGGCTGTAATGCCTCATGTGACCACCTGTCATAAACCCATTGGCTGTACCAGAGCCATTGAGCAATAGAGTCGCGACAGGAAGCTAATATCTACTATATATAACTATATCTACATTATATAAGGATATATACTATATAATTACTATATTAAGGAAGGAATATTATTTCCAACCTCAGATAATGACTAATATAATCTTTATGACTTTCAGATACAGAAAGAGACAGCTGACTATCAGTGACTGCGCCACAATATCATTAAAAAGGGAATATTAATACACATCACATCTACACATAAATCTCATCAATGTATGAATCTATATGTTAATTCAATTTTCGTCTCTTCAATATGAACTTATTTTAATAAGAATACATGTTAATGTATTAATTAAATGTCTCTCACCCAGCTTGCCCTCCACATACGATGGCAAAGTGAAGCTGTCTGCCTAGAGCTATGGTACTGAGAAGCCCATTTAGATTTTGTGTATTCCAAGACTTGTTGAGTGGTTAATCGTAAAAAAGAAAACAAATTGGGTGTATTACATAAGGCACCGTCATCATAATACACAGTATAAAAAAGTGGCAATGAAAAATCCCGGGGTAGAGGGGCCCACGCCGATACTCTTTCAGGGGGCCCAGAATTCCTAGCAACTGCCCTGATCACATCTACACATAAAACTCATCTATGTATGTATGTATAGGTTAATTCAAATATAAACACTTTTGTCTTTTCAGTATGAACTTATTCTAATAAGAATACATTTAAATGTATTAATTAAATGTCTAATAAAGAAAAATGAACAGCAGGTCAAGCAGGTCAGAGAAAGGAGTGTCTTTGGGGTTTTGGAGTAACAACACAAGATATTTAAAGACATCAGAAAATAAAGTTAATAATAAAATAGAAAATAATCTGCAGATTAATCAATAAGGAAAATAATGGTTAGTTAAAGCACTACAACAGTGTTCATTGTTCAAACGCTAACCCTCCGGGACTAGAAAACCTAACCTCAACCATCATAACTATTGTGTATATACACATCTAACTTAACCACACTACAACCATATAAACCATATACAACAGCATTAAAACTCTTTTGAATCCACAGGCGCAGCTCGGGACGCCGGCTTCCCCTCGCTCTATCCTCTGTAACTTTTAATAACTATATCTATGTGCAGTTGCAGGACCAGCCTAACATTACATTAACGCTGCTCCTCTGGGGGAATCACATTAACTCCCTGTCTCTATTGTAAATCCAGGCTGTGACTCCGCCCCTATTCTGTTCCCCCTCACACCCCCTCCTCACATAGGCCCATTCAAATTATAGGTGGGTCCTCAGCTGTGGGCCAATCAGGAGAGAGGTGGGGCCCAGATTGGAGGGAAATATAGGGCCCTCCTTCACTCCGGAGCCTGTTTCCCCACAGGATCCCTCTGAGGAAGCAGCAGCTGGTGAGAAACGTTAGGAAACGTCTGTTTTTTAACCTTTAATAAAGTCTGTTTTAAATTTCTCTCAGACCCACTGATAAGTTTATTAAAAGTTAAGTTTTAACGCCCGAGGAGCACCACCTAGTACACCAGAGACCCCAGGAATTACAACACTAGACGCTATGGAGGGGGACGGAGGAGGACGGAGGAGGATGGAGGGGGATGGAGGCTGCAGCAGATGGAATCAGGTGGGTGACTACCTCATCTCCAGGAAGCCTGCTCCACCAGTGGCGTCAGAGGGTGACAATATTGTCGGCTTTGATCGCAGGGCCAAAACCACCTGGAGTCAGATCTGGGAGAGCAGGGCTGCCTACATTTTAGGACATAAGTGCATCAAAAACAGCACGATGTACAACCTGCAGCAGTTCATCCTCAAGCAGGAAAGGGCTGAGTCCTGTCCACCACCTGCAGAAGGCTCCACCACATCTACTGCCTCCTTCAACATCAGGCACTCTAGGTCAGTTCACAACAATATTCAAACACTGATTTCATGATTATTGAATGTACCTAACACACAATGGATGTTTTGTTTAATCTCCTAGTGATGGAGGAGGACAAGGAGAGAGACAGATGTTGAACCTGTCTCCATCTAAATTTGACACTGTACTAAGTAGGTGGATCTAGTTTCATAAAGCGTGAAACATAAAAATACTTACTCTTACTGTACGTGATAAAATGTGACCTGTGCTTTCAGGTCCGCCAGCAGCAGTCCAGAGAAGAGCAGCTGTGTCTCCACCAACAGGTTTTTCTTCATTAGTGCGGACGGAGGATTCTGTTTACACCAGAATCCACCTGCCGTTACTATCTTCTGTCAACTAGTTTGTTATTTTGGCCGTGTTCTGGTCTGTCCTGATGTTTGTGTTCTCTTGCTCTCCCACTAACCAAAGGAATTAACATGTCAACGATGATGGTAAGTGTTTTGTGTTATATGCATGCTTTATATAAGCTGTCATTCAAGGATTTAGCATGTAAAATACCACAGAGGCTTGGATACAGGTTCACATGCCACATCTTTGATTGACCAGTGATATTCTTACTATATACTGATATTGTTTCTGTGTTTTACCTGTTTTCAAATGCTTAAAAGATTTGTGTTTTTACATTTCAAATAAATAGCAATTCACAATTTAATGAAAATGTTTAGTCTGTACTACCAGTTAGCTGCAAAGACAACAGGGTAAAGTCAGATTGCGAAGCATAACAAACTTGAGTGTGTGAGGAAAATGACAGATTGTTTTTACAGCTCACAGGACGAAGCCACCGGCTACTGTTTCTAGACCTGCAGAGCCGGATGACCCCACTGTGACTGCTGCGTCTATGAAAGGTTATTATATTTGTTTCCTTCCCATGTCATTCAGATTGCATGACATTTATGTGTTTTCCTTTTAATCCCATAGCCACAGCGAAGGCCCTGTTGCCGGTCCCTCCCCAGCTGCTCGCCATTGCCCCAGAGCTCGGGATAAAAGAGCAGGAGCCCCATGTGTTGAAACAAAGTATGACAGTAGTGCTCTTATACCTCCAGTGAATCTCACATAAATATCAGTTTCTTTCTGATTAATCACATTTTCATTATGTTATATATATATAGTGCTCATGTGTTACTGTAAGAAATGTAATAATGATCTGTTGTAATGATATATTAAGCACATGTTGCCAACACTTTCCTGTTTGTATCTCACCATCCTAGATACATCATCCCCACAGAGTATTGCCCCTGTGGAAGCACAGGGAGACACTGTCCATGATGAAGGTAAGAATTTGTGACACTGGTTTAACCATGTCATTGATATAGAGCTCGATTTTATTTCCTTGTACTCTGAATATACTGTAGTTTTTGATGTGTTTGTGTTTTACAGCTCCACCATGTCCAGCGCCTCCTGTCAGGCAGCCAGCAGCCCCAGTCCCAGGCCACGATCAGGATGTTGCACAGTGGAACTGCTCCCATCAGCAGAAGATATGGATGAAGACTGAGCTCGAGACATTGGGTCTGTGGCCAGAGTCACGTCCAGTAAGTCACCCAATGAACATGATTTCCCTGTGGCGCTGTCCACCTCAGCCTGAGCTCATAGACTCAATTACTGAGCTGCCTTCGCCCAAATATTTTCAGCTCCACCCATTCTTCATCTGGAAGCATTCAATCATGGAAAGGGTGAGGAATAATTCTGTCCTGCCCTGTCTTCATGGTTGTCCAAACCCTCAGGTAGCTTCTTCTGGTGTTGGAAGGCCCAGAGTAATCATTGGCACCAGTGGTCAGTACTATCTTTTGGCTTCACGGCTCACCTGTAAAGCCTGTAAGAGGTACTGGCATGCTGACAAACCCCAATGGCTGGAGATGTTGCCAAAGCGCTTTAACAACATTGTGCCAGCCTTCCTGACGCACAAAAAAGCCATCTGCAAATCTGTGATGGATGAGCTGAGACGCAGTGGCAGATCTCCAGAGGACATGTCCAAGCAGCTGACAGAGGCAGTCCATCTTAAATATGAGAGAGCTCATCTGGCCTACCTGCTGAGTGTGCAGAACATCAGGGATGCTGAGGAAGGAGTCTACGGCCAGAGAACCACCACTGGGCACCTCAGAGAAGCAGACACTCCAGTTTCATTCGGTGGGTATTCAGATGCTGATGGCTGGCGGGGAGTGTCTCTTTCTTCACACTACCTGGTCAACTGCCTGGTCCAGGAGTATCAGAGGCAGGAGCAGCTCCTCACACTACTGCTGCAGGGGACCTTTGGACAGGCACTGAGGTCGGATCACACTCGGAAAGTGGCAAGGAAGGTCGTGCTGTCGTCTGGCACCATGTCTTCCTACGCCATCATGAACGAGAACTGGATGATCCTGAGCTGGGTGATGCTGCAGTCAGAGAGTGATCGGTCCCTTTATCCGGTGTATGAGAACTAAGACTAACATACATTTGTCTTATTTCATCCGTTTATTCTATTTTGCACAGTTTATTGTGTCATCTGACTAATCTGAGATACAAATATAAAGAAATAGAATAGAAAGATATCGTTTTTAAAATATTGTAAATAGATTAACAGTCTTATAGTGTATCATCAAGTCTCAAGTATTTTTCAACTGTAATGAAATGTTAGGGACTGCTGTGCTGCCTTCAAGGTCCCGGACCCCAGAGCTCAGGAACACCTGTCATGGGACTGCTGGAAGACCACAGAGGTTATTATCACAGAGGCCACCTCTGGAAACCGAAAGACATTTGCATAAAGTTAGACTCGTTTCATTGTATGCGCTGGTTTACCAGAGAGTGTGTGTCAGAGCATCATCCTCTGTACAACTCTTTCTGCCAGCTCCTCTCTGCAGCCTTTCTCGTTGTGGACCAGGGGGATCTCGAGAGGCTGAAGGACGCTTACATCTTCTGTGGAAGACTTCCTGCTAATCCAACCAAGCAGCACACGAGAGATCACTGCAGGACAAAGGTGCCACAGCCCAGAGAACTGCTGCAGAGAGTGGAAGACGTCCTCCATCACTTCCACCAGGCAAAGGATGTGAATGGTGTGCTCCTGTTTAAGGCCTGGCCCGGGGTGGGGGAGGGGATCCTCTACAGGTAAGGTGGCACCTTACAGCTTAACTACACCAAGGGCGAAGGAGCGGCTGTACCTGTTTGGATCCCTGTTAGAGGCACATCTAAGCAGGAGGGCTTCCACTGTCACCAGGCCCAGTGGGTGACAGGCAACCGGGTGTCCACTGAGCTCTTCCAGGCCCAGGCCATGACTGGAATTGTGCGCTGGAACTTTCCACTGAAGCAGCCTGATGTGGAGCTGCCAGCTGTGTTTGACCCTGCGCTCATTTGGGATCTGAACGCAGCCTGTAAAGGGTGACAGGGGTGCCAACATACCCAACCCTGCACATATCGAACAGGGACACAAGGGAGAGATTCGATTTGCAGTATGTGGAGCCAGGCTGTCGTCCTGTTGTGTTAAACTGGGACAAACACAAGACACAGCACAACCTCTCTGCTGCTGTAGCCGTGGAGACACAGCTGCACTCCTCTGCCCAGGATGGAGTGCATAACATTTCTGCTGCTGTCGCGGGCACAGACTCTCAGGTAATCCAGATGAATCACACACTGTCAATTTCCAACCCACTGACAGACTGACTGACTCAATCATTATATTTGATGCTGTATTTCAGGAGACCAGTGATGGCGCTGCCCAGGACGACCCAGTGGGAGCAGTGCCGATCCTCTGTTTCCAGCCACTGATACCAGCATCTGCCACAGCCAAAGAGGAGACTCACTCTTTGATGGATACAGGTTACCCACCTACCATTCCTCCTGCACAACAGTTAACTGTTCATTTCATATTTAAAACAGCTTCACACATGGCTACTATATACAATTAGCTTGTAATAATAATAAAAACAATATAATAAACATGTGCTTTTTCCTATTCCTTAGACTTGCCAGGGGTAGCACCACTTCCCATATCCTCCTCTCCTCGAGCTGCCCGCACTGGACCCATAAAGACGCGAGGCCTGGTTCAAGTCCTGGACCACGGCCGGTGGACGACCCCCATGAGAGCAGCCATTGATGGGCTTCTGGCTAAACACCATGGAGCCAAAGATATCCTGAAGAGGGTGGATGCAGAATATGCTGCCATGGTGCAGAGAGCATGCACTGACCCCAACAGCCTCCTTCATCCTACCACAGGCCAACCTATCTCCAGATATGTAAAGCATCTGGCCAAGCTCAAGAACACCAGCTCCTCTCTCAACACCAGCCCAGAGAAGGTTTTGGAGACTCAGCAGCTGTGGCAGAGTTTGACCACAGGCAGCCAAACAGTCAGTTTACCAGTCACAACCCTGCCTCCTGCGACCATCAACCCTCCAGCTGTGGCTCCCCCCGGAGGAGTCACTGAGCCGGGCCACAGTGGAGAAGATCGTGACAGAGATCCTGGAAAAACAACAGCAACAACAACAGCAGAAGAAAAAGGTGACCAGAAATTGTTTATCCTGTGGTCAGCCAAAGTCCAGGTACCTTGGCGATGGATCCTCTGTTCACTTTTTTTCCCAGTCCACTGAGGTAAAGTATTTTTACTGCTCCACACGGGTCTTTAAAATGTATGGAGATAAAGGCCTCAAAGACCACAGGATGTCTTTTGAGGACTTTGCTGCCTCCCCATTTTCTGACCGGGAGCTTGAGGCTGCAAAACAGAGGAGTGCAGCGTGGAAGAAGGTGGCAGAGGAGAGGACAAAGAGGAAGTCTGCAGTGCAGCTTCCAACAGGTCGCCTGTGCAGATTCTGTCACCAGCCACTGAAGCAGGGTCCTGGCAGCCCTCATGTCCATGCCTGTTTCCCTGACATCCCAGGGAAATACATATACTGTCCCTCCAGAGTGTTGTCCCTTTACAAGGACAGGCGCATGGCAAAGGAGATGACCTGGATGGAGTTCCAGAAGTCTGACTTTTTTGAGGCAGAAAGGGACCGATGGGTTTCAGAAAAAAGGAGTTGAGGAGAGACTAATGGAGACTAATAGTTTCATAATATTGTATATATGTTTACACTTTTTACTAAATATATTCTGTACATTTTTATTGTTCCTTTGTTTACATGTTTACATATTATTTATCTTCAATGTCAGCTTTGATTTTGTGTGTTTAATTATTCAGCTCGTGTGTATGTACAATAAAATATCATGAAAACATGACTGACTTTCTTTACTTGACAGGGTTAGAAATAGTGATGGAAAATTAAATAATAATAACAAACATTTATATTCATATGCTGTATGCTTCCCTAATAAAGGTCCATCATGCATACAATAGTTGCATCATATTTGGAGATTAGTACCTTATTTGCACAATTATTATAATTATTATTATAAAATTGTCTTATCTATATTTTTCTATACTTAACTTTATTCACCAATTTACCTGAGCAGATTCCTTTCATTAAAGGGCAGCAACTTGTTTCTGGATTATTTGCTTTGTGAAGCCCATTGTGGTGTGTTTCATGCATAATTTATATAATATATATATTGTTTGTGATTATTTTTCTCTTTTATTATTATTAAGTTCAATTCAAACTTTTCAAGAAACAGTAAGTAAAAGTAGAATTATTATCTATCCTTTAATAACAAGGTCTTATTATCATATTATCCTCAAAGATGAATTATTTCCACATTTGTCCAAAAAGTGATTAAAGTCAGATTATAGTTGACATCTACACATGCTGCAGAAAAATATTCTAAATCAAATTAAGGGTTTGGTTTGTTTGGGTAACGTGGGATTCGAACCGCGTCCTCTGGGAGACGCTCCTGCTCGACAAAGAAATCCTCTACACCTATCCGCGGCTGGCCCCAGCATGGAAAAAGCATTTAGTTTCTTTCCTGTGAGGATGGAAGTTGTTTTCCGTAAAGGAACGTCGAGGTTCTCTGTGTCAGGATCCAACTGAAGCAGCTTCTGAAGGACAGCCCTTCTCTGCAGGACGAGTCTGCAGCTCTAAAGGAGGACACAGTTAATCTAAATGTCCTGACTGTGGTCCGTCAGAGAGGAGGGGGTGCCACAGACAACACAGGGGTGCTGCGGGGGGATTACATCTTGCAGTTTGGCAAATACAAGGGGAAAACCTTCAGGTGGCTGTTGGAAAATGATGAAGGCTATACAAGCCACCTCATCAAGCACACCCAGAGGGAGGAGGCTGCCGGAGTGCACACGACCGAGGGCACAGCGGGGCCAGCATGGCATCTTTTGTGGGTTATGCCCGGAGCTTTGGTGAAATCCAGTCTCTCTTGTCTTACGAACTGGGAAAACCCAAAGCTCGAGCAGCCTCAGAGGACGACCAGCTGGTTGGTTTGGCTGTCGACCCAAGGGCACCTGGAGGGAGGTGTGGGACAGGAGGGCTGGCGGCTACGCAGCCTTCATCATTAGAACAAAGTGTTTTCCAGGGACTCAGATGTACAGACTGCGGCGGTACCTGATGGGGAGACAGTCTGCATCGGTCTCCTCTCCATCAGTTCTTTCCTGATGAAGCCATCTTTATACCTATATTCGTTTATATCAAAATACAACTCATGTAACATGTGCTTTTTACCATATACGGATATTGCATACTATGACTGGGGTGTTCCTCCATAGACTTAACTGTAATGCACCAATTCACCAGGCAGATTCCTTGTATGTGAAACCAACTTGGCATTAAACCTGATTCTGATTCTGACACTTTCATTATCAGACTGCCATTTGGTTCTGGATTATTGGCTTTGTGTAGAAATATAAAAGTTACTCCCCGTCGGGGAATCGAACCCCGGTCTTCCGCGTGACAGGCGGAGATACTGTCCACTATACTAACGAGGAAGGCTGTAGGATGTCATGTGACCACTTCCGCTAAAAAACATGTAGAGCCATTGCGCAATACCGTTATGACAGGAAGCTAATTCTCTCTCTCTCTCTCTCTCTACATTATATAAGTGCTATATTTAGGAAGGAATCTAAACATCAACATCTTCTATGTAAGTTATGTCTCTATATGTTAATTCAAATATAAACATTTTTGTCTTTTCAGTATGAACTTATTTTAATAAGAATACATTCAAATGTATTAATTAAATGTCTAAAAATGCAGAGCAGGTCAAGCAGGTCGGAGAAAGGAGTGTCTGTGTGGTTTTGGAGTAACATAAGAAAATAAAGTAAATCATAAAATAGAAAATAATCAGCAGATAAATCAACAAGGAAAATAATGGTTAATTAAATCACTACAACAGTGTTCACTGTCACAGCCAAGAAATGTAATTAGACTTTAGTTATTATAATTATTAAATAGAAAAAGTTACTCCCCGTCGGGGAATCGAACCCCGGTCTTCCGCGTGACAGGCGGAGATACTGTCCACTATACTAACGAGGAAGGCTGTAGAAAATCATGTGACCACTTCTACTAAATCATGGACAACATACATAAATTCAAAAATAAAAAGATTAAATTCTTAAATTTCCTTACATCGGTCTTCAGTTGCTTGTACTCAGACACATTTTCGGCTTTTATAAACTTAAAAGTAAAACAGAAAATAAAATAAAGGTACATTTACTGCTATAGATTAAACCAGAGGTCAGCTGACTGAGACACTGGGTGGCGTTATCGACCTCTGCCTGAGCTCATGCACCAACACAGCTGATAGCAATCAGCAGAGGTCTGAACTAATTAGTGGAAACAGCTGTAGCTTATTTCTTATGGCCTTCAATAGTTTTTTCCTTTGTCATTTTAATTTATTGCATATTGCTTTTTTTATGGGTTGGAATTTAAGTTGAAAGTTATGTTACATTTTACATTTTAAAATTATAAACCACTGTGTTTCTTACTGTACACAAACCTCTTGAACTGAATCTTGAATATAACAATTTCTTTATCTGTGTAGTTGAAGCCGGAGCACACGATCACGGAGGCTGAGGATATGTCTCAGACCTGACCTCCGACCGGGCACCTGGGGTGCGGGCATCAAGACAAAGGACGCCAACAGACTGAACAAACTCATTAAGAAGGCTGAGTCTGTTGTTGGCTCCAAGCTTGTCACCCTGGAGGAGGTGGTGGAGGAGAGGATGCTGGCAAAACTGCTGGCAATCATGGACAATCCCTCCCACCCCCTCCACACAACACTGGACAAGCTAAAGACTCATTCAACCACGCTGCTCTAAAGCAACGATACAGGAGATCGTTCCTCCCCACTGTAATAAGACTTTTTAAAAATACCTGACTTTTAACTCAGCTGCTATGACGTTATAATTTCCCTTCGGGGATAAATGAAGTATTTTCTATTCTATTGGTTAATCCTGAGCTTGAGGCTGCAAAACAAAGGGCTGCAACGTGGAAGAAGGTTTTGATATAAAAATACAAAGAAATTGCCAGCTGTGTTCGACTGTGCTCATTTGTGAACTCAACGCAGGCTGTCAAAGGGTGACAGACCCAACGTTTCCGTCCCAGACCTTCAGCAGGCAAACAGTTTGTGAGAGTGAGCATCTTAAATAGGGAGTGGCTACAGGTGTGCAAGCAATCACTCATTAAGGACAGCAACGTGACTCCTGAACACCCAGGTGAAGCTGGAAGAGTCGACCATAGTACCATAAATACGTAATACAACTAAATATCAATCAACAAACAATATAAAAGAGATAAATATGAACATAAACATTAGATAAATGAAGATAATAACATAAGTTGTTTCGAATAAAGTGAATTATCTGTGTAAAATCATACAGGCTGATTAGTACTTTGTTCTTTTTATTAAACATGTTAAATATCTAAAAATGATTTCCGGAGACTTTTTATTGTCAGTTCTTTATTGACCGATGGCCTAAAGTTTTAAATACATGTATTTTTTCTTCTTCGTCGTCACTCGATTGTCACAACCTCCTGCTCAACACAGACAAAATGGCTGACGTGACACCTGAAACATAAAGTCGAACATCATGTAAACAGTTCACTGACAGCGTCTGTAACACAATGAGGAATCTTCAAAATACAACATTAATAATAATAACAATAACAATAATAGTAATTAATCCGACAGACTTTAACATTTACAGCACTGGTTTTAGGAACTGAATCGATGCATGCAGAGTTTAAAACATATTAAAGTTATGAAATCGGGGTCATAACTTAGAGCTGTGTGTTTTATAGACTGTGTAAATGTTTAATTATATTCAGGCAGTTAAATCAGAGGTTTGGCTGGTGATCCCTTCTTTCACTTGGGAACAAACAAACTGTATATTTGGCATTTACACTTTAGCTCTTGATTATTTCGTGAAAGTTAATTGAAGGAAAACTGATGCTAATGGAAAAAACAACGAAAGGAAAATAAGAATTCTCCATTAATATTAAATGCTCAGTTGTATGTTTTTAGACAGTTTTTTTTTTTTTTTTTTACAAGATACCACGAAGGAGAAAATAAAAAATAAATACAACAACATTAAGTCAACAGCGTAACAAGCGACCCTCTCAGAGGAAAAAGTGCATCAGTACGCTAAAATAAAAATATGTAAAACGCTTCAAACAAACGTTCACTGAGGGCTGAAATTAAAGGAGCAGGAGTCGGGACGAGAGAGCGACTGCATAGCGAGGAAACGTTCTCCGAGTTCTCCTGTGAAATGTAATGACATCAATTATTCAAGTGTTTGCCTCCTGAATAAAGAATAAAGTTCTGATGAAAACATGGAACTGAAATAATTAGAAAAACAAAAGCAGAGCTGTGTTTTTTTCTCCGAGGCCTCGAGCTCAGATTCGAGTTTTTAAAAAATAAAATAAAAGGCATAGCAGGATTAACTGTTTAATGGCGGCTCCGTTGACTCCTCGCCACCGACCGTCCTCCGTCGCCTCTCAAGGTAAAATCACAGCAATTACAGACGGCAGCTTCTCCTTCGTACTGACTCTAAATATTCGCCCCTTTCTAGCCTCAGATATGCTGGCCTAGCACGTAGCATATCAGAGTACAGTAAAGGAGGAAGTAGACTTTGGTCTATCACGTTTTAGACAAACGTAATCTCCACCGTCACACGGGCTAATCCAGGCTCGTTGTCTTTGTCTGCATGCAAATGACCGGGCTCACATGTGACGCTGACAATGCTTTTTACATCAATGGTCACGTTTAGTGTAGAAAAATTAAGGGATTAAAAGCAGAATTCGTGCCATGCGGATAATGTCTCTGTTAATCAGAGATGGAGGGTGTGCTTGCTTTCTCCTGTTGCTACACTACTTACAGATGGTACAACATGCGTCAGTAACAATAGAATAAAAGTCGTAATACCCTCGAGGCCGTACTTCACTGTGATAGCACTGAAACTATAATGCCGATGTGCTAGTTCCTCAGATTTACTGTGATTCATTCTCACGTTCATTCAGGACTTTGTGGTATTCGAAGGTCAACAGTGTTTATAGGACTTGTTCAAACTGTTTGATCCATAAAATCTTAGAAAACTGTGGAAAATGCAAAGATATGCAGTTTACTGTCAGAGGACTAAAGAAAAAAGTTTACATTTGAGAATCTAAAATCAGAGAATTTGATTTTTTGGGGGGGAAATTATTAAAATCATTTTATAGTCGACAGTCAATTTAGTTGCTTAATCGATTGATTATTAAAGATGATCAGTTTACCGTCGGAGAACTAAAGAAAGCAGACAAATAAAAAATCACCTTTTAGCAGCTTAAATCAGAGAAATTAATTTATTTTAATCATTTAAATTATAGTTGACAATCGACTATTACATGAATTGCTATTGCTGATCGTTAACTACCGGTATTCTTGTTGCAGCTCAAGTACCTTTGATATCTTAAGTGCATTTTCTTTCTTAATGAACTTAAAAAATATATGCTGAAATTATTTAATTTCTTTATTGTGCCTCCAATAATAGGTTATATAAATGTTTGGGTTATTAACAAATATGTTTTATTTAAAGAAAAGTGCACAAAAAGATTTCCCAATTTAGTTCGTCCCACCGGACACAAATTCCTTCAGGCTATCTACGTTAGCTAGAAGCTACATGTGCCGATGTACATAGGTTATATGAGTCTATGTATGTATTGGTGTGTCAGCAGTTACGTGTGAATTATCTATGAATTATTGTATGTTTAAATATTTGTAATTTTTTTTAAAAAGCACAGAAAAAGAGACACGTTTCCCGATTTCGTTACGTCCCACCGGACACGAATTCCTCTGGAAGCACGTCTACGTTAGCTAGAAGCTGTGTGTGTTGAATTGTTGTTTAAATGTGGCCAAAGAAGCTAAAAGAAATCAGAATAAATCAAATTGCAGCCAAAAGGGTGTTTCAGTTAACTGTTGCTGAACTACAAAAGAATCGGATGTTCGTACGAATATTTGTAGAAATAAAACTGTCTGAGAATCACAGTGGACACGGACCTCCGGGGTATTACTGCTGTAATATATATATACACTATATAAGATATAAAAAGGTTATTGGGAATAGGTTGTTACAGGGTTGACAACGTGGGTACAAAATGTTTGTTAGTCTGTTAAACTCTAAGGTTTTTTACTGGCTCACTGTTCAGAGGAGAGGTTAGGATAATCCGCAGGAAGTTTTTCCTTCAATAAATATCTCCAGTGAGGTGTGAGCGTCTTTACTCGCTCCAACGGGTTTCCTAAAGGCGCCGTCCGACATTTAAAGATCTCCGTTTGTCCGGTACAGAGTGTGCGTCCTAGCTTAGCATAAAGATTAGCAGCGGGGGGGGTACACCTTCAAACAAAGCTGTCTTATTTACACGTTATCTATCTAAGCTAACTCTGAGCTCATCACCGATCTGAGTGCCGTGCTGTCGGAGTTACAACCGCCGTATTTTCACTGTATTCTCTCGTAACTTGCAATAGTCCTAAAATTTAAATTTGTTTACTTCCTGTTTTGATCTCAGACTACGTCCACATTAACTCATATAATGTTTAAAGTCCACAAGAGCTGTTTGCTTCCTCATATTTACGTGTTTCCTGTAAAGACAGGCAGTTAGGGAGGGACCAGTACCGCCGTGTGGTACGTCCCCGATAGTGAACAGCACAGCCCGACAGGGACCGAATGCAGCATCCGATGCAGACAGAGGACAGTTTGACAACAGGGAATAAAGTACTGAATAAAGCTTTGATTGTCTGCACAAACCCGATTGGACCAGAAACTTCCCGCCAGGTTCCAAAGCTGCTTCCATGTTTCGGGGTTTTCTGATTGAAGTTCTAGTAATGAGGTGTTAGCTGCACAAGCTAACGCCATCTGACATTACTGTTGGGTGACAGTTGGCTTCTTTTAGCAACGAGTCCATCTGGAACCTCCATAAATCCACTCGGTACCGCTGTCGTCAAACTGTCCTCTGTCTGTCTCTGAGGTTCACTGGAGGCTGCTGAGCCCCGTTCAGTTGCGGAGGAGGACGTCAGAGGGAAAACCAGACACAATAATCTCTCCATAAAATTTGATCCAGTTTCACCCAAATCTCTGATAAAGTTGTGTTTGTACAGTAATCAGTGAGCTCCACTAGCTAACTAATGAATGATTGATTGACGGGTTCATAAGTTCATGCTTATCTAAGCACGCGTCACATTTAGTTTCACAGGAAGACACAATGATTGGATTTAAATATAAAAATATAAAGAAATTTAGTTTTTGTGATGTTTTTTAGCATAATTGGTTAAATAGGGGAACAATATAACCGAGGATGTGACCTTAAAGAGTTAAAAAAGCATTTTTCATTTCACCTCGACTTAGATTCACGTGAACATGATATTTCCATAAATATCTGTCCACATTGAAACACCTCAACAGAAGGACTTTTTGTTCCCATTTACACATCTGTTTTTGTTGAGAAGAAAGAAGAAAGATGCTTTTTTAAATGAGCTTATCGTGGGCGTAGTCTCGCTGTGGCTCCTTCACTTAAAGCCGCCAATCCCAGTAAGTAAACTTCCTCTCCCGCAGTCTGAGAACAAATACAATCACATTGGGACGAGACTTCAGGACATCCTGCTGCTTGAAGGAGTGCTTTTCAAAGCCCTGAAAATAGGGCAGTAAAAAATTCAAAAACCTAAAATCCAAACCACAGGAAACAAAAAAACCAAAGCAAAGCAGCTGTATTTTCTGTCTTCTTCATACACGCAGACAGTCTTTATGAGCTGGACCTCGGTGTGATCGGGACGGTTTGAGGAGCGGTACCGGCAGTGAAGAACTGATCCAGGATCTGATCCAGTCGACTCTACCGTCAAACAAAGAGAAAATAAAATTCACAGCTCTCTTCAGGAGAAATGGAGCTCAGAGTGAAACAGCTGCCGTCTAAACAGTCGAAAGGAAAGTAGCTTTGTGATTTGGTTTTCAAAGTAAAAGTCAAAGATGGAGGAGCGAGCACGGCGCCCCCCCGGTGGAATGACAAACATGTTGCAGTATGTACATTTCCAAAGTAAAGGCCTTTTCTGTACAGGTCTGTGCGGTGGTGGAGACTGTTTTCATTAATGAGGATTCTCACGTCTTCAGTGGGTCAGTTTAAGACTTTGGTTTGGTTACAGATTAAAGTTAAAGGACCATACCGTTGATTTTAGTTTAAGTCCAATAAATTATCTCCACTTCATATTACGGATGTTTCCAAAGCATTTTTTAAGACTTGAAACCTGTTTAAAATGCACCAGTGAATTTTTAAAGGTAAGGTTTCAAGTCTCTGAATGCTGATTTTCAATTAATTCCACACACATTTTTCACGTCATTATTTTATATGAAATGCCGGACGAAGTGTGTGCAGGAGCTGATTTATTTTGTCTGGAAGACACTTAAATATCATGTTACGTGTACATAATAACCATAAACTGTGGTATGATCCTTTAAAGGTTGATACTGGGGTTAGTTCAGTGTGTGTGTGGACAGCAGGCACGTCTATCAGTGTGTGTTTACAGCCTATAGTAACAACATGGACTATTTATAGTGAGCGTTCCTTTTGGTTCGGCAGTACGAAGCGTTCATGCGTCTGTCCTCTCCGTTCCGTGTCTTCATGCTTCGCGTTGTGTGTGTTTGTGTGTTTCAGTCAGTGTGTGGGTGCACCGCCGGCGGCCTGGGTGCAGTTCAGCTTGCTGAACCCGGGCAGCCTGACGCGTCCATGGGTGTAGATGTCGCGGTCGGAGCCCTGGTTCATCCGCTTGACGAGGTTCTTCTCGTACAGCAGAGGGTGGTAGGCGCCGAGTGTGCAGGCGGCGTCAAAGAAACGCTGGTAGTAATGGCAGAGCTCCGTCTTCCTGCGGGACGGCAGGAACTCGTAGACGTGCACCACCTCGCACAGTGACATCATCAGGACGGTGCCTGGACAGGAAACAAAGAGAGGACGCTTTAAAACGTGACAATATCTGAACTGTTTATTTACTGAACTCTACTGCGTTTATTTACTGAACTCTACTGCGTTTATTTACTGAACTTTACTGCGTTTATTTACTGTAATCTACTACGTTTATTTACTGTAATCTACTGCGTTTATTTACTGAACTCTACTGCGTTTATTTACTGTAATCTACTGCGTTTATTTACTGAACTTTACTGCGTTTATTTACTGTAATCTACTGCGTTTATTTACTGTAATCTACTGCGTTTATTTACTGAACTTTACTGCGTTTATTTACTGAACTCTACTGCGTTTATTTACTGTAATCTACTGCGTTTATTTACTGAACTCTACTGCGTTTATTTACTGAACTGTACTGCGTTTATTTACTGAACTCTACTGCGTTTATTTACTGAACTCTACTGCGTTTATTTACTGTAATCTACTGCGTTTATTTACTGAACTCTACTGCGTTTATTTACTGAACTTTACTGCGTTTATTTACTGAATTTTACTGCGTTTATTTACTGAACTCTACTGCGTTTATTTACTGAATTTTACTATGTTTATTTTTGTTATTATAAACAGGAAGTGATGACAGAGTTGACGTCTCACGCACCGAGCAGGCCGGAGGAGGGCGGGTTCTTCTGGATGGGCTCAGCCATGTTGTCTTGTATTCGTTGCCAGACCTGCCACTCGAAGCGAGGATGCAGGATGTAGAAGGGCTGCATAGGATGGAGCCTCCTGTATCTCTGGTACTGGGTGAAGATGGGGTAGTCGGTCCTGTTGTACCACTGTGGGGGGGGGCACATATTAGTGTTAATGCATTACTGTAGGTTTTAATTCGGGTGTCAGTACAAGTTTTAAAACTCCTCCACAAGAGGGCGTGAGAGAGTTGAAGGTGAGCATAAAATTTAAAAAAAAAAAAAAAAAAAAAATTTTTTTTTTTTTTTTTTCAAAAAAAAATTTTTAAAAAAACTAATAAATAAAGAAAATCCTTTTTTATTTTTTTTTTTTTTTTTTTTTTTTTTTTTTAAAATAATTATTTTTTTGTTTTTTTTTTTTTGTTGTTTTTTCTCCAAAAAGGAACCACTATTTTTTTTTTTGGCTAACTTTTTATGTGGAAATTTCCAAAAATGTAGACAATGGATGGACTTTCTGCTGTGATGACGGCTTTTGTCCAAACAAACAGAACAGGGTTTTTTTTTAGCACCATTCAATAATAGATGTTGTTTTCTGTGAGAGCTGTATGATCTGTGGGGTCTTAAAAAAGTCCAATAATCTGTATTTTAGGCCTTAAAATATATGTAATAATAATGAAGTAAACGTGTTTTTGGAAGAATTATGTATTGATCGCTTTGTAACAACTACAAAAAGAAACCAACGTGGAACCAATACTGATTTTCCTTCATGTCCTTTTGGCCAATATGGACGTAAGATAGGTCTTAAATTTGGTTTTAAAAAGGTCTTAAATTGAACCTGCAGAAACCCTGATGATGTAAACGTCACCTGAGTGAGGTCAGCAGAGAAGGGGGCGGGGTCCCAGGCCACCAGAGCACCTGAGCTGTACAGAGAACTGGACAGGAAACGGTGGTCATCAGACGCCATCACCTGTGAGACAGGTAAATATTCTATTATATACCCAAATGTATGACACAGTGCCACTGACTCATATCTCATTACATAAATTAATCTTTAATAAACCCAGAAAAAATACTTTAACAAGTTTCTAAAGCACAAACTCAAGTAATTATTCTTCTAATTATTTTTGTTTTTAAATGTAGCATAAAGGGAACTATATTTAAATTCCATTCTACAACCTTGTGTTGTAAATAATACTATAACAATATAACCTTGAATCTATTTTGTACCATGTTAACATATGTTGAACTTTAAGGGGAAACCTTAAAAACAAGAACACATAAATTAAGAACTCTAATATCATCATTTATAAAAAATCCTTAAAGATTTGAGATGTTTTGTTGATATTTCGTCTTCATGTGAATGTTTTTCTTTTTTAAATCTTACATAAGGATAAAAATAGTTGAAAGCAGCATCTTCACCAGTTGGTTACTATAGCAACTACCAGCATGCGTTCAGACGTGTTGATGAAGAATAAAATGTAAAAGCCTTTGTACCAGAATAACTCAACATATGTGGCTTAAATTCATCCAGAATGTGGTTCGTCCTGTTTCTTATTAATTATATTATCAATAAATCAATTCACACTTTTCTTTACAAACCTTCAGCTCCTCATAGTCCAGTTCAAAAGAGAAAGACTTGTAGAAGATTTTACAATTAGTTGAATATTTATTATGTAAATAATCAGTTTTATAATCCAACTGTTGATGTGTATGCAACGTTATATTCACACATATTGTCAGAAGATTGTAGTTCGATAGTTTCCATTTGGAGTCTGTAATCTTTAAAAGTAGTAAACTCAACTGCTGCTATCAAGACTCGTATTATTTTCCCTTCACATATTGAATAAATAACATTATATTATTGTTTCCGCCATATTTTTAAGTCTCTTTTATAAATAAGAACCGAAAATGAGTTGAAAAATATCAAATCATTAATTTTTACAGCGTCTTTGCCGCCTTGTTTATTCACTGTACAAAACCCGTCTTCCTGTCTGTGTCCGTCAGGAGGTGTGTTTACCTGTGAGTTGATGAGGCGGATTGTGGTTTTAGATCCGACATCCTTCTCGTACCCGGTGGTGGGCGCGGCATTGAAACGCAGCACGGCGTCGTGAGAGTCTGCGATTCAACGAAAGAAATCAGTTTTAGAAGAAGTGAAACTGTCGGAGTGACTGACGCAACACATTCACCTAACGGCCACTGGTGTCACTGTTAACAACAGTTTTCTGAAACATAAAGAACCTTTAAGTTGTGGTCAAAGAGACAAAATAGACTCCCACATAAAGACAACCTCGTCCATATGTGAACATCCATGTAAAAAAAATATCTCACCGATCTCTTTCCCCAGTCCGGAGTATCGGAGCGACCCAGCGGACGACACCACGGCGCAGCTCTTGTACGGCCCGAGCTCAGAGGTTAGCTGCAAGGACGGCAGCTGGGCGGCCCAGGGCAGCGAGGAGAAGGGCTTGAGGTCAGGGGTCAGAGTCGTGACCTCCACCTTGTCCTTAAGTTGGCAGAGAAGCTTTGGGCCGCTCAGCTTGGGCCTGCTGGACACGCCGCCAGGGCCCGAGAACTCAACCCCGTACTTATTCATCGCCTGAATCATCGAGATACAAAAGATGTTTAAGGACACAAAATAAAACAACCTGTTCTGAAACTGAACTTTCAGATAAAATGTCAGAATTGTGACAATATATTTAGTTTTTCCTCACCTGATAATTCTGCACCACCTTCCTCAGTCTGCTTCCCAGCATGTTACTGGACATCTCGTCATCCCAGACTTCTCCCAGGAGCCCGTGAGGCCCGAAGAACTCGGCGTCCCCGCCTCGCCCGCTCAGGTCCCCCCTCCGCCGGCCTCCAAACAGGGTCTCCAACGCGCGAGTGAAGGGGCGCGGCAGCAGCCGAGAGAAAAACCCAGAGGTGTCCCGCTCTCTCGGCCTCCGCTTCGGCGTCGTGTCCGCGGCGGCTTCATGGGTGTGGTTTGGAGAGGAGAGGACCGGGATTGGGCGGTGAGGGTCCCCTGGGACGACCCCCGGGAGCTTCTGGGGGTCGATGTTGATCGGCTTGGCTCCGCCGCGCAGCACCTGTGGGGGTCAGAGGGACGTAGATCGAACCAACCTCAGAGGAGGAAATCACTCAATAACCGGACAAACTTTCCCTCTGATTTTAAAGATTTATGTTTAAGAGACAAAACTGTTGTACTATATTTAATCTACTCTTACATGTCTGTATCAAAGGTTCAGTCTGCAGTAACTACAAAATCCAATCAAAGACCAAACTGCAGTCTTCAGTGTCAGGACAATGTTGGAATCAAAACAAAGGGAATCTTTATGTTCTCCTCTGGGAACTCTGACTGACTTCATCTGTGTGTTATTAGCTGAGCACATTGGAGCAGATAGTTCAGATATTACTGCGCTAACTAGCTATGTATTAATTAGAATAAATGTTTCATAGGTTCACAAAATAATACTTAAATTCTTAATAACTAATCTATTTCAGCTTTTTACACATGAAACAAAAAGAAATACAGATTTAATGTAATAAATGTAATTTTGTCAGGAAGAAGACAGACAGCAGTTACAGCTCTACCTAACGTACCGGAACCCTAACCCGAACGATTTTCATGCCAATATTCGATATGAATTCCCTTTAACTACTAAGTTAAATGATCATGTAATGGTTTCGGTTGATTTTAAGGTGCTAAAGTAAAGACGAACTTCTTACCTTTCTAACCGTGTATCGTTTTAAACATTTACTTTTGCTCGGTCTTTACTAGAGTCTGTAAAAGGATGCTAACACCGGTGATTTAGCCGTGAGCTGCCGGTGTCCCGAGTCGAACGGCAGCGTCCGCCCGCTGTAAACATTGAACACTGCTGGTGTTGTGGGGGTATTAAGTTGTTCCTGAGACTGACAAACTAACATCAACTCATCTGGGATCGTACTTTCCCCCTTCAAAATAAGATACAATGCTTTAACAAGTAACAACTCTAATTTATGCAGTTATACCACTATACCGCCACCTACTGGATATTTTGTTAAACACTTCTCATTTAAAATACAAGCTGATGCATTTAATTTAGCAATTACAGACACATATGCTGTATGCTCATATAACAATTACCTGTAATAGACTCAGTGCAGAGTTAGTATGTAGCATAATATAACAAATAAATGTTCATGCATACAATTGTATTATTTAATCAAAAGACAAATGATATGACATGAAAAATATTTTACTAAATTGAAAAACAGCAATATTTACAATATATACAATATATACAATATTTAAAATATATACAAACAAATAGATAACAGATAATCAAATTAAAAACAAATTAAATAACAAACTTATCGAACAAATTAAGGCACCAAAAACACCAAAATTCATCTTTGTCCAGCTCCTCCCAGCCGAGACAAATGCTTGAGAACGAGGCCACTGGCCACACAGCCCATATTGTGTGACCTACTCATGAAAAATTTATTTAAGAACATGTTTTGAATATCATGGGATGGCCCAAAGACTGTTAATGTTAAATACAATACCAGTGGTGCCGTGGGTCCTGCAGACGGCTGGGAGGAGCTGAAAGGACAATGGCTGAAAGGCCCTGGAGGCCGAGGCGCCCGGGGGTGCGTTCTGCGGCTGGGACGGGAGCCACCAGGCAGGGTAGAGGAAGTTCCTGTCGGCACTTGGCCACACAGATCTTCCATATTGGATGGATCAGACATCTCCTGAGCCATATCCTGCCTTGGTGGTATTCCTCCTACCTTGGTTAGTATAACGCACCTCGGAGGAGGTCCACTGAGATCTATTTACCAGGGATGGGGAGTAGGGATTGGGACAAGGGACAGGGGGTGAACTAGGGACAGGGGGTGAACTATCAGGGATGGGAGGGGGGGGGGGGTCTTTGGTGTGGGGGGTCCCAGGAAGATGCTGATGGGGTTGGCGGAGGTGGCGAGGAGGTCCCACACCGCGGTCCGGATGGCATGACCCGTGACCAATCAATGGCTTCCGGGTCCAGAGGGTAGAGGCCACACTTCCTGAACCCAGCCACCACCACTCCCCGATCCTTCACCCTCTGATATGAGTCCCTAAGGACCCTTGAAAACTCCTTCTTGGAAACCAAGAAGGAGTGGGTCATTACCGACAGATCTCCTGTAATTCCAGAGAAATCTGCCTTCAAGGGTCCAAAGAAACTCATATCCAGAGGCTGCAGGATGTGAGATGTGTGTGGTGGAAGGCACAGGAGAATGACCTCCTCCCTCTGTGCCACCCGGACCAGCTCTGGATCCAGGTGGGATTTGTGCCCATCAAAAACAAGCAGCAGCGGGCGCTCCTGCGCAGCGAACTTCAGGAAATGCCCGACAAACCACTTCCTGAACAGCTCACTGTCCATGTACCCTGCCGGTGACTTCCCGTAGAGGGCGTCGGGGACCCCCTCCTTGTTATAGGGCCCCCCGGGATATCCCCCCTTGTAAATTATGAAAGGGGGGATATCCTCCCCAGCCGCGTTGAGGCAGGCCAGGACGGTGACGTGGTCCCTGGTCCCCTGGGCCTGCCTGTAAGCATGTTTTGTCCCCCGGGGCACGAGGACCTTTCGTCTCGACGAGTCCAGCTGAAACCCCGTCTCATCGCAGTTATAGACTTGACAGGGTTTCTCCCTCAACCCGTGCTCCTCCATGGTGGTAGTGAGGAGCCAGAAGTAATCTTCAATCGCCCCCCTCTTGGCACATGATGCCCTCCCACAGTCAATATTGTCTGGGGTCCGAGAAGTGAAGCGCTGGCCTTGCCTCCTGCGGAAGTTGAGCCACCACGTCTGGCCCAACTTCCCCCTTCTCTCTTCTGGACAGCACTGATTATAAATTGCTGTCGCAAAAGACTGAACCTGAGGCTTTGTCAGTGGAAACCCATGACTGGCAGAGTAAAGGCAGTACTCCACCAGGGAATCTTCATCTGCAGGGGTGAGAAGTGGCCTCTGACCGTGCACACAGTCAGAGGCCACCCTTCCACTGACTCGGTCACTCAGGCTCGTTTTTGGGACCCCAAACTGTTTGGCTGCCTGCCCCAGACTCAGCCTGCCTGCTTTCACCTCCTGGATGGCCTCTCCCATGGCCTCCGGGGTCCACTTCCTCGTCTTCCTCTCCCTCTGGGGCAGCTGTCTGATGTTAGACATCTAAAAGAGGCAAATTATTTCAGAAATTACAGTAACATTTTTATAGGTATTTCATTTCATGTTGCATCAACAAGCACAAATGTATTTATCACATGCTTACTCACAAATATACTTACCTTAAACCAAAGCATTGTTTTTAACCATCTTGATGCACCTGTAAAGGAATAAAAGCAAATCTCTCTCTCACACACCCACACCCCTTGCCTACCTTATGTCTCTCTCTCTCGTATTCTCTCTCTCTTGTCTTCTCTCTCTTTCTCTCACTTCCCCTCTCTCTCTCACTTCTTCTCTCTCTTTCTCTCTCTCGTCTTCTCTTTCTCTCTCGTCTTCTCTCTCTTTCTCTCACTCGTCTTCTCTTTCTCTCTTGTCTCTTCTCTCTTTCTCTCACTCGTCTTCTCTTTCTCTCGTCTCTTCTCTCTCTCTCACTTCTTCCCTCTCTTTCTCTCTCTCTTGTCTTCTCTCTCTCTTCTTCTCTCTCTTTCTCTCTCTCTGTTGTCTCTGTTCTCAGACAGAAACACAAGAGCAAAATTGAGTTTCAACAATACTGTTTTTATACATAAGGAGGTGTATCTATATAACCAATATTTTCTATCATAAAAGCCTCTACTGGCTTTCAACACATCTCTCACACCCCTCCCTCTCTCTCTCTTACTCACACGCACACACCCATCATATATCAATTATTACATGATGACATCATGATAAAAAATATACTTTATTTATTTTAGCTTATAAACAAGAAAATACATCTGAATAGCTAATTTGAACCTTATTTTTGCATTAAATCTTCATGTGTACTGTGATACTTCACAGCTTAAAAAAACAATGCTGCGCTTGCTCTGTTCCTTTGTTCTCCTTTCCCGCGTCTGTAACTTTTTCAATTTCAATAAAAAAATTTGGCCTCCGCCCACCTCGACCACAAACTGTATAAACACAATATCCGACATTTTCATTAGCTAGACTAATCAGTGTAAACCTAGCTACGATATGTACCCATATGAGAGCTTATTTAAGCTGTAAAGTGAAAATAGAAACGGACTTTTAAAGTTAACTGGATCGTCGCCCAAGCGCAATCTAAGCGTTCCCGCGGCTTCCCCTCATTAAAGTAACTTTCATATAATAATTATACATGTAAATGTTGATGTATATTTATGAAAAACCACATATAGACTCTGTAAAATGTAGAAATTCCTTGGACTTACGTTAGATGGCGATCGTGTGCCGGGAAGTACCGCGAAAAGACCGGAAACTGCATCAAGCTGGAAGTCGTTCGGGTCACGACGCCGGCAAAATCAGCGTTCGGGTTAGGGTTCCGGTACGTTATATATCAGTTTATGCTAATACAAACACAGAGTGCAGTATCTGCAGTTTGGGGTCAGAGGTCAAATAATAGGTCGTGTATTTTAGGCGACGCCATAAAACACATTTGGATCGACAGTCATAAAACATTGTTAGCGTAGTTACTGAGGTTCGCCTGTAGAGGGCAGTGGTGTCTAATCGTCTAACAGAGTGAGTGGCTCTACATGCTGTCGCTGCCTCTCTGATGCCCCCGACCTTCCTCGCTTCTCCAACCCAACTCTCCTCTCCTCTCCCGGGTCTTCCTCGCAGTCAGAGTCCTGGTTGGAGCCGCTGTGAACCACCTTGTTACTGCATATGATCTCTAGAAAAGTGTGATTTGTGACGAATACATCGTAATATCACGCAGCTGTAACTTGTAGATGTTGTTTGAAGAGTAGGGAGGATTCCAGCTGACCAAGATTTTCTCAGACATTTTACCCTGAAAACTCTTTGTTCTTTCCCAGATTTACTCCCAACATCTCCAGTTGATTCCAGTCTGAATACAAAGGGCATCGTCTCTTCTCTCTACAAATGCCAGACCACCCGGGGAAACATGTGGGCTGGACCTGGACGTGCAATTCTCAGAGGTCTAATTGGATGAAATACCTCCTCTGCTTCTGCTCGACGGGTCCAGTTTACGGTTACATCAGGATCCGCCCAGTTCTACAAACATATTAGGAACGTTTTTTTAACCCCTTTAATGAAATTTACTGCTCTGAGTATCAACCCGCATCCACTCACGGTCCGTGTCTGACGTGGCATCGGATAACAGTGTTATTGCATTTACAGCCCTGCTGGCAAAAACTGCTAATTCTCTTCAAATGGAAACATGCATCCCCTCCCACACAGAGCAGATGGGTGAAAGCTTCACATCAAACTGGAAAAGATAGAATACGCTTTAAGAGCCTCTGTGAGGAAGGTTCATAAAGAATGGCCTCCATTTTTAGCTTAGTATCGTAATAAGACGTCAGTTTGGGAGGAGGCACACGGACCCCCCACAATAGATGCACATTAGACATATTTAACCCCCAATTTGAGAGGATTTTGTCTTAAGGAGTCTGAATATTTGTTTTATTCCAATCATTAAACTGAGATCAATATCAAATACAAGTCACGGCTGCATATGCTAACTGTTCTAGCTGCTATTAGATAGTTAGCGGTCCTATTAGCTGCCTGGAGCTGGAAGGACAGGAGGAGTCAGCGGCTCCGACCAGGACTCTGACTCTGACTCTGGGGATGAAGACTCGGCGGGTTCAGGCAGCAACACGAGAGGAATGAAACGGAGGAAGAGGAGCCAGTTTGTAGCCAGTTAATTAGTAACTGTTAACGTTATCCATCATCCATCGTATCGATCAGTCTGATCAGTTTCAGTTATTTATTCTGTGTGCTGAACAACCAGACTGTGTGATGTTACACTGTGTTGGAATAAAGGAACTAAAGGTTCAGTCTCCTTGCTGCTTGTTGTGATTCACAATCATTACAGCTGTTTAACAGGCTGCTGTTCACATATACACATTATAATCAATACATTAAAATCATCAACGTGTGACGACTAGTTGACTATTGGCTTTAACGAACGACTACTAGTTAGTAATCTAAAGTTAAATCTACCAACTCGACGACATTATCCGACTGTATTAGCAGTGGTAGTCTGGATGGAGTCGGAGCTCATTAACACCTGAAACCAGCTGTGGAAATATCAGTGTTTTGTATTTTGTCAGTGAAACACAGCGACGGACCTTGATGACAGAGTGGGTACGAGGCTGAGCCCGGGTTCTCGCCCGGACCCCGAAGATGGCGTCTGTGACGGGCACGCTGTTCTCGGCGCAGAGGGCGTAGAGCAGGGCCATGGAGATGCAGAAGAAGGCCATGCAGAGCACTCCGCGGCGAGCCCGACGCCTCAGACGCCACAGCAGGCTGACTCTGTCCATCGCTGCGCCGGGGATCTGCAGAGGACACATTCACAGACACACTGTCCACAAGAGTTCATCCAAAACAACAAATAAAATCAGAGTGGAAGCGAATTAAGGCTCAAACCCTGCAGGCACTGACTCCCCCCGGTCCTCCAGCGCCCTGCAGTGACTCTGTGCTCAATCACTGACTTTAAAGGTGCTGAAATGTCTGAATTTTTGCCCCCAACTGCGAGTTTAAATATGCATTATTTGTACTTTCAGCTGCTGTGAGAGGGAATGAAATCTGGACTGATGCAGTGTTTGCTGGCAGCGCTCGTCTGTACTGAGAGCTGGGGTTTTTTTCCCTGAGCAAGTGGGTCAGCAGGATCTCCTTTCCTCCCATAAAAGACAGACAGCAGAGGAAGCACTGAAGCTCTACTCAGAAACAAGCTCTTATCATGGCTGACATTCACACTTATAACAGGAACGAGAGCTGCAAACGATAAGAAATGGACGCCTGATAATCTGGGAATATAAAGTGGTAAAAATATGAAACTTTATTTGTGTTTTTCTGATTTCACAGAAGCTTTTCTAAAAAATTATAATAAAATAAATGAACATTTGTCTTTCCAGGACATTTTCCAGGAGTTTTCTTGACGATACAGGACAGCACTTTCTCACAAGTGGTCATAAAATTTAGCGTTAGGCTTCGTATTAACACATCTTTAAAGACACAGAGTTCATTACGAAGTGTCTCAGGTTCGTTACAGGTAGGAGGTCAGTATTTATACGAGAAGTCGACGTTAGCCCGATTTTTCTGCAGAATCTCCGGTGATTTGACCAGTTTACTACAGTTTACTACAGATTACTACAGTTTTCCTCTAACCGAAGTTTACGTAGGGGATGAGTGAGGGGGTAAAATACAATTTACATTTTCCAGGACAGCATAGATTATTTTCCAGGATATTTGATCATTAGTCTCTGAATTTCCAGGTTTTCCAGGATGCGTGGAATTCCAGCCTCTCAGCTTTTTGTACCCTTGGTTGTGCATAAACTCTGAATTTCAACAATAACTATCGACTGAAAAAATACCTGTATTTATTGATGGTTAACAGAAACTGTGTGTGTATAAATGGGGATAAATAATGTATATAAATAATGTATATAATGTACGTTTATGTTCCTGTAATGTGTAAATGAGATTGTCACCTTGGTTGGTCACTTTGCTTTAAACACTTGAGTCCTGCAGTGTGCGAGTTGTTTATTTATTTGTGTATTTGTTTTCTCTGGCTCAGCACTTGCCCTCGTTTGGCTCAGAAACTGTTTGCTTTGTCCTCTTGTATTCTTACGGAGGCCCACGACTGTCAAGGAAATAATTAAAATCTATAAACAAATAAACGTATTTTATTAACTGACATTAAAATTGGCATTACATTTGTAAGTATAAATAAAAAACACATAAACAGTCAATAAATACATAGATTAATTAATACCTAAATAAATAATGCAATAATGGTAATAATAATAAAAACAAAACCATCTGCAATAATGAAATGAAATATTTAATTTGTAATTTGACTCTTTAATGACTGATAATTTAGACAAATAAAAACAGGTTTTCTGTCTGAATCCTTCCTCTGACGCTGTGAGCGAGTGAGTGAAACAGCGAAGAAGAATAAGGACGCAGGAGTGTGCCGTCATTGCCCCGGGTGAAATCAGGGAGAAAGAGAAGAGGAGGAGTTGGAGGAGGAGGAGGATGGCTGGATTCATCAGTCAGAAAAAGAGGAGGGAAGGCTGAATGAGAGAGGTCTAAACATAGTGAGAGAAAGAGAGACGGAGAGAACGAGGAGAAAAGAGAGAGGGAAATGTTGGAAGTCCATTATAGGAGTCCGTTTTTTTTCCCACAATGCATTTCCAGCTACACTCGACCTCAGTCACATTCAATGGAAGTAAATGAGGACATCAGAAGAGTCTGGGGGGATATTAATAATGAGAAAGAGGACCTCTGTGGTTTGAGTTACAGGTTCCTGCCTGCAGTTGGCCACCAGGGGGCGATAGAGAGGTTCTGGCTTCACTATTGGAGATCTTTAACGTCCATCTGACTCATATAATCTATGTGTTGATTGATATTATTATTGATTGAACAATCCCTGAGGAAAACCTGCTATGTTCTCGTTCTATTCGAGAACCAATGTTTTAGTTCTGGCGGAGACACTCCAGATGGTTTTAAACAAGGTGCCTGAACCGGTTCCCTGGTGGCGGCTCGCCCCGATAGACTGACTGCAGTCATTGCAGAATGGCTGGAAGGATGAAGGCTCGTACTGACACTTACTGTTTACTCATCGTGTGTGAAATCAGCCACCACTAGAGGGAGCAGCTATTATTAATGATCTATTATTAATGTTTTAAGATGGCTGTTAATACAGGTAATATTGTTTAACCTTATCAAATGAATTGAGCGTCACAATCTGTTTAATCTAAACCTAAAGATCGTCGCCACTTTATCACTGTATCACGTTAAACATGGCGTCAGAATTACCGTATCGATGCTTGGCTTACGAACCAAAAAGTCAAGGTCATTGAGTCCGAGCTGTTCTGCCACATTTGAAGAAATGAAACTCACATGAATGAGTTTTACATTAGAAATGCACATTATGGGTCCCCAGCGTTTAGAAACTGCCAGATGCTAATTTGCATATGTTTGTATAAGTAGCTGAATCAATTTCTGTCATTTTTAAAGATCAAAATGGTCGTTTAAACCGGTAGAGGTCATATTTTAACTCCCGGTGGGCTGATTCTGATAAAGTTTGAGGTTATTTATATGCTTAATATTTGTGGGCTACATTTTGGACTCAAGAAAGCTCAATGTCACTGCTGTGAATGCTCAGATGTTAGATTTTCTGCACCACTGACCTCTGTCTTGTATGTATTTAGCATGTAAATAACTCTCTCTATCTAAATCAGCTCATCAGGAGTTGAAATATGACCCTTACTGGCTTAAAAGGCCGTTTTGATCTTTAAATATGTCAGAAACCTCCTGTATGCCCATATCGGTGATTTTGCCTATTAATGCTAATTATACAAACATATGCAAATTAGCATTAGTTTCTAAATGCCAACTTGAGCCTGTGTTTATTCTCAGGCAACTTCTGCATTATAAAGATTTGATAAATAGAAGATTAATGGACATCTATTCTCAATGGACACAGTAATGACCCTGTACGTGTATTACATTTGACTGACTCATTTGTTTAATACGCCGCGCTGTTCACATCGATGTTTTATGGAAATTGCGACAATCTTTTTTCTGCATGAATAGGCAGTCGAATCTGCAGCCGCATTATTACTGAGGATAATGAATCAGTTTTTACTGATATGGGGTCATATTTCAACTCCTGATCAGCTGATTTTGATAAAGTTTGAGTCGATTTTGAGGTTATTTACATGCTAAAGACATACGAGACAGAGAGACAGAGAGACAGAGGTCAGTGCTGCAGCAAATATAACATCTGAGCATTCACACCAGTGACATTGAGCTTTCTTGAGTCTGAAATGCAGCTCCAATATATAAAGCAGATAAATAACCTCAAAATCAACTCAAACTTTATCAGAATCAGCCCACAGAGTTACCATGTCTCTCCCTCAAAGAGCCTGGTGGGTGGCGTCGGGTAATCAGCCAGATTGAGTTCACTTGGCCTGGTGGACTATATAGACTGGAGGCAATCAGCTGGTCTCTCTCTCTCTCTCTACCTTGGCTTTCACTGTGTTCGGTTTGGTTGAATTTGTTTGTCTTTAGCTTTATTTCTTTTTTAGTTTTGTTAAATAAACATATCTTCAGTTACAACTCATGTGCGTTCTCTCCTTCTTTGTCCAGCCTTGAGCCGGGTTGTGTACCAGTTTAAACGGCCATTTTTTATTAGGAAAAATGTCAGAAATTGATTCGTTGTCCTAAATCAACCCCCAAAACCTCTCCTATAGTGTCCAAATCAGCCAAACAGTTGCTGAAATATTGTCCATATACGTGATATTTAATGCTGTCTTAGCATCAATTTCTAAATGCTGGGACCCTTAATGTACATTTCTAACATAAACTACAACATGTCCAGGTTCACGTTGCTATAAAAACAGGATTGAAGAATAATACTGATGTTTACCAGCAGTGGAGCTGAACATGTAAAGGTCACAGGGTCATTACGATCAGGGAGACGTGAGGTGAATTTACTGTGGAGGTGAAAGGGACGGGTGTGTGCATGTGTTCATCAATTAGAAGTTTGTTCTAAGTGCGGCTGCAGATTCGACTGCTTATCCACACACAAACAGACGGCCGCAGTTTGCATAAAAGATTGAGGTGAACAATGTGACGTTTAAACAAATGAGTCAGTCAAATGTAGACACACAAAGAGAGAGGTGTTTTAGATTTCGACTCACTCTCCGATGATGTCATTACTGTGAGAATAAATGTCCATTAATCAACTCAGAAGTTTCCTGAGAATTACGTTTTTATGTTTTCTTCAGTGTTGAACTGATCCACTGATATTCTGTCTGTACATCGAACTGCAAACAGGAGCTGCTGATGATCATTCGGCTGCTTTTAATGTTGCAAATCAGGCAAAATGCAAAACAAACACGGGCTCAAGTTGCAGCCCACAGTGGACCACGCCAACTCTGTCATGTTATACTTTCTGTTTACATCCCAGTCTTTTGAAGTCTTACAGTAACGTACACAGGGATTATCCCACCAGTGAAAGTAAGAACAAACACAGGAGTCTGCGATCTGACCCCCATCCTCCGCAGTCCACAGAGTGATTTAACCCTGTGGCTGAGCTAGTGAGGCTCAGACTCACACCAACAGTATGGACACAGTGAAATATAAACACTGAGCCAAAATAAATCCCTCGGGGGGGGTGGTCTAACGTGACTCAGCGTTTCCTGCACCAGGTAGAAGAATGCAGTTTTTAAAGCCTTAAAATCAGAGGCTGCAGAGCGTCCAACTCGCACATAAAGAACAATATTTACACTGCGGTTATCTTTCTTCACAGCCCACAGGGACACAAAACCCCTCCGTGCCGATTCTCGCCTCCCAGTGGAGGAAACATCCACCAGGGAGGGGACCCCAGGCCTGTTCTGGGAGGGGTTATATACCCCATCTGGCCTGGGAGCACATTGGGCTGCACCAGGAGGAGTTTTAGTGCATTGGAACTGCATTTAAAACGGGAATATTGAGTATAAAATGTGACTTAGGAGCGCCAACCTCGGATTCTGGACGCCACCTGTTTATGCTAATGTGCAACGTGGCCAAATGGGCCGCAGCCAATGACAAGAACACAGACCAGAGGACGACAGGGATCAATTGAATCCACTGCCTGCAGTAAATGGCCCCCTGTGGCCCGCCGTGCTGCGTACGAGTGCAGGGAACGTATGCGATCAATATGTTCCTGTTTCTATACATACAGCAGCTGCTTAGCCAGAGGCTGAATGTGCAGCAGGCGTGAGCTCAGTCCGAATAACAGACGATGCGTCCCGGTTTTGTGGGGACGAGAGCAATACTTTATACCGCTGAGCTCACGATGGTTTGTTTCCACTTCCATTCAAACTGAATTCAGTTCTGGATCCGATCGTTAATTTAATAAAGGGGCAGGGTTTTATATACAATGATTGACAGAGGAGGGTGATTTTAAAAGTCTAGTTTTGCTGCTGATTGGAAGATCGATCCAGTTCTGTCAGGACAGATAGAATAACGGACACTGACGGCTGCCTTTTAATAGTTACTGTTGCTGCTCTCAATGTACACAGCCCGGCAGATTTAGGAACTAAAGCGTTCATCACAAAGTTATCACACAGCGCTCATTGTCCTCATATCTGGCAGCTGAAATAAAACAGTGACTGAAAGGATCTGCATGGTGGACCTGAGCGAGAGAATAAAGAGGCCTTTGAGGGGAAACAGCTGCTTCCACTTCACTTCAACAGAAGGAAGGAGCAGTCTGTGACCTTGTTTCTCTCACATCTTTATCAGCGTTACTGTGGGTGAACGTCTGTCAGCGGGGGGGCCGTTCCGCTGGTTTTAATCAACTTTATTCAATCTCTCACCTTTTTAAGTTGCAATGCTGTTTATTTGCTTTCGCTATCTATAAACTCCAGAAGGAAATATCTGGCGACTGCCTCTCTGCTCTCTTGAATGCACCAAAACATGATAAAGTGCCCTCATTCCCAACCTTTTCCCTTAATGGGTCCCTTTTCTATCCCTCAGCAAACTGATTCAGTGACATATTTTATGGATATTTCATATTATATTCAACCCAAACAGTGAGCTCAGTAACTGCAGGAAGTTTGTGTGAAACCAGTGATTTGCATGAATTTTAAGAAGATTTTTAGGGAACTTTTTCGGTTCTTTTTACAGATTCAGTGTTTTCTTCTCCCTGATGCTCGACCGTTGTTCTATTAGACAGTTTACGTTTCCTCACAGTGAACCATATGTTGAGATATCAAGAAGGCCTTGCGACCCCCCTGTGAAGCTTTGGCGACCCCTAGTGGAGGCTCCCGACCCTCAGGTTCTCTCATAGGTTTTGTGTAACACGGACAAGCTCAATGTTTAAGGGCTGTTATGGCACAAACATGATTGATTTATGTAATTGTATTAAATTTGTTGTATAAAAGGAATCGATACCAAACGAGTAGCTTGTATCGAAGAATCCGAGAGAATTTCTGAGAGTGAACCAAAACAGTAAAGTTGTAGCCGACAAATAAATAATGAGTTTGTTTACTGACTGTAAAGCTCCGTGAGAGGAGCTGCAGATGTTCGTCTCATAAAAACATCTGTTACAGACGCTTTAGGTTCACTATCAGCACATAGAGAGCGGATCACCTGCAAAATACGACGACAGAGAACCACAGCTGCTGCTCACACAGCTGTGGACATCCAACATGGCCGCCGGAGGATGTGACACCTCCTCCTCCTCTCAATGAATGAATGAATGAATGAATGAATGAATGTAACATCACTGCAGCGCTGCAGGCTGTACAGCTTCAGACAGATGGTGGTGTCACCAGATATCTGCTTAAAGATGTCGCCCTAAATCCTCTGCCTTCACACACACACACACACACACACACACACACACACACACACACACACACACACACACACACACACACACACAGGCAGCCAGAGGTGTTTGTGTATTATGCATGGATTTGTGGAGCCATAAACTACTCAAGATTAAAAGGTAGGGCTGCTGCTGCAGAGTGAGTGAGTGTGTGTGTGTGTGTGTGTGTGTGTGTGTGTGTGTGTTTTAATCTGGCCTGGCGGACTGAGAGTGAGCTCGGTGGTTATGTATGTGTCAGCAGCAGTAAAGCTCTGAATCAAACCGCAGCGGCTGATTGGTCGGCTGCAGTGTGACATTTATTCCAGCTGCTCAATGTCTCCGTTTGTGGCAGAAAAAGATCAATTATGAGCCAACAAGAACTGAAAGAGAGACCAGCCTAAAACATTTAGATTCTCTGGACCCTCGTGAACAAATATTAAAAAAGTAGAATATATGTATAATATATTTATATACACAGGCTTTACAGGTAGATTAACGGCTGGCTGAGTACATCTGACGCCACATTTAAGGTACGTTAGGAGAAAAAAGGAGCAGCACTTAATGAAAATAACAGTGACAGAGGAAACACTGCACAGGTACAGCGGACAGAGGAAAGCTTCTACAACAGGATAATGACCCTAAACGTACCTCAAAATCCACCACAGACCAACTCAGGAGACCCAGCTGAAGGGCCCTCACAGACTTAAATATCCTTAAACGTCTGTGTGTGGATCTTAAAAGAGCTGCAGGACGTGCCTGCGATTATATGTTGAAGTGTTTTGGGAGGAAGAATGGGAATAAAACAGTGTATGGTGCCCAATCTATTTATGTTTGTTCAATTTATGAAATAAAAATAATGTAATATATTGTGTTTTATGTTCCAAACCCTTCGAGAGGCCGAGTTCCTCTCTCTCATCAATGAAACAACAAAGTTATTTGTCAACAAGTGACCAAACCTTCCACATACATCTGTATTCAAATATCATATATTTATAAGGGCTGCACGATATGGTAAAAACATAATGCAAATGTTAGACAGCAGTGTTGTAAAGGAACAACTCTGCAGCTCTACAGTTCTTCATTAGAAAGTTGTTTGTCACATTTTACTGTCATTTGGATCTTGCATTTGGCCGTATTGTGATTCCGATAATATAATCTTTCCACACGTACGCTTTACTCGGGTGAGCTGCCTATATATATATATATATATATATATATATACATATACATATATATATATATATATGATCTCCCCTTCCCCCAACAGAGTGAGAATGATGTGCTTTCTAATCAGAAGAGGAGAGCGACAGTCGATACTCAGATCCAATGATCTGACACTGAGCTGTATCAGTGTGTCAACATCTATTTATTCAATTTGTGGTTAAAATTTCCTCCTCAAATTCAATTAGTGTATAAATCCATAAAGCTGTTTACACAGTGCATCACATTATGTGAGATATCATCGGTGCTGTTAGTAAAACGTCTGTATTACAGGACAAACTGCAGCTTTATATGGAGGAACCACTACAGTTGGACCAGTTCCTCTACCGGCCACTAGAGGCTGGCTCCAGCAGTGAGTCTCCACGAGGCTCCGTAATAAACTGTCCCAACATGTTTACAGCCTTCTGGTCTCCAGAGCTACTTTCTCTGTTCATGACGATTTTACAACTCACCTGTTTAAATTATATTAAGGTTAAAAATACCAGAAATACTAACCGGTTAAACTAATTATGATATTTTATTAACGTACGATGCTGGTTAATGTCGTCTCTCTGCAGCCACCCGCCGCTAACCGGGGATACAGGCTGGTTTTAAGAGTCCTAATTTGGGGCAGATTTGTGACTCTAGCAGCTGGTTTCACTCTCTAACCTCACACTGCTAATCTGTCAGAGAGGGAGGATGGTGGAGCCGAGCAGAAATACCCAGATTATGGTGAGTCAGGACGACATTAAGCACTGAGAAACCAGCGATCGCATTATAAAACAGCTGTCAGCCTCGCTCTACGCGCTGACTGACAGTTAGATAATGTAGCGTTAGTTTACCTGCTCCCCTAAAGCTGTAACATTATCCTCTGTTAACTTCACATCATCACAAAGTGAAACCAGCCAGCGGCATCGTGTATCAGCTTTCCCGACGACCATCAATCAGCCATGAGATCCATCTCCGGCTATCTGTCCGGTTATCCGGCTCGTGTCCGTGTGACTTCAGTCGCGTCCCAACACGTTCACCGACGTTTAAACGCAGATGATGTAACATTAAATATAATGCTGGACTATCTGACTGAGTTCAGTGTTTAAATTAAGAGACAGTTTTCTGACTGTTGGTCTAGTCGACTAATCCAGATTTAACTTTCTGTTCAACCCGGATACTGAATTTAACTTTCCAGCTATTTATTTCACACAGTAGTGAGTTAACATGAAGACTCCTCACCACCGAGAGCTGCTTCTCGTCTCGGTCAGTTAGCATGAGGCGGACAGAACCCGACCCCCGCACTGATTTGGACCAGGAGAGTCCAACCCGACTGACTCCCGGCTGACTGAAGCCTGCTGCAGGTGAACGAATCCTGACGCCTCCACTGACTGTTACTACGGCTGGGTCATCTCTGATTTTACACTCTGGACGCTGTGAGGAGGGTTTGTTTGTTTGTTTGTTTGTTTGTTTGTTGTGCTGACGTTACCTTGTAGCCCATGCTGTGTGGTTCCGCTCGCTGTTGTTGTTGCTGTTGTCGTTGTCGTTGTTGTTGTTGTTGCTCAGAAACAAGCTGCTGCCTTCAGGTTTCCCCTCATGGTCTCTGTGGACGGAGAGGTGTTCACACTGTCAGCTGAGTGATGCTCACACTAATAAAAATAATATCTCGTTATTTTTTGGGATTTTGGCGATAACGATAATCAGTCGATATCCTTTAACTTCATGTGATCTCGTAGGTCCACTAGTCATGTGACTGAATCCTGCCATGCTGTAGAGAGCGCTGCTGCACCGTGTATTAATGGATGTGAGGAGTTTCCGCTTGTTTTTCAATATTTTTGGCGAAGTAATTTAAATACTCGATAATGGAAATTTGCACATCGTCAAAACAACGTTGATATTATCGCAAACGGTATATATCGCCCACCTCTAGCTCACACACACACACACACACACACACACACACACACACACTCACACACACACACACACTCGAGCTCTCTAACGAACTCCTGCAGAATCTGACTTCGGGTTCGGTGCAATCTAAAGATCGTCATGATGAAAAGTTATCATAACTTCTTTGTAAAAACTGGGGCAGGGAAGGAGACGATCTAGTAAAAGCAGGGTCCAAAAAAGGCAGGTCTCATTTAGGGCCTGGTTATTTACAGAAATTCTTTGTTAAAACCTCTTAAAGCTCACCGGGGTTGCCTGATTAAAGCTGTTAGTTTGCCCGATAAAGGCCTGTCCCCCGATAAAGGCCTGTCCCCGATAAAGGCAGGGTGAGTTCAGTGAACACCCGGGCTTTTATTAGAGTTTTCAGTGTGCTGGTTTTGAATTATCCTTACATGCACTCATATTATTTATCATTCAGACTCAAGATCGACTCTCCGAGATACTTCAGAAATATTTATATGTAAATATAAATAATAATAATAATATAATATAATAAATGTTTCTTCCAGTATGTTTTTGATGATTATCGTAATAAATCGCGATTCTCTTTGGCGGGATGATCGCGACATGTCTTGCGAGGTCCAATAACAGCCGATCTGCATTGATGATCAATAATCTGTCACACATTTACGTCAGCAGGTGGCGGTGTTCGCCAAGAGCAACGGAGAGAAAAAACAACGAGTATTCAGCGGGACGGTAAACGCCATCAAAACACGAAGGAAGTGGTGCACGCCAGGAGCGCCATACCACAGGAAATCAACGGTTTCTGATCTGTGTGATCGGTGTTTTTATTGATTGTTAAACTAGTCTCTGAATTCCCATCTGACCCCGAGTGAACAGCAAGTTCTCATTTATCCCACGTTCAGTAAACGCTCTAAAGTGTGCGGCAGTTATCAGTTTTATTATTGATTATTATGTACGTTGTTATCATCAATATTATATTATTGTTGTGTTTGTTAAAGATCTGAACTGGAGAGAAGAAACAGATAAAAATGTTAGAAAATAAATAAAATATTTCTGTATTTTATAATCTATAATTGTGTTAGAAGTTTATACAGAACATATAATGATTACAGCAGATAATTAATGTAGTTCAAATTAAAAATTAAATTATATATTTATTTAAATATAGGCCATCATCAGAGAGCACGCGAGTGACACAGGATCAGCACAGGAGCATGATGGGAATAAATGCATTGATCAATATATCGATCAATAGACAGACAGACAGACAGACAGACAGACGTGTTTTTACGGTGTTGCGCTGATATTCGTTGACCTGTGTAAAGTGATGCTCCTCCGCTACCAGCCCGCCAACCGCGTCGTTCCTCTCTGATTTATCGTCGCTACGGTACCGAGCAGGTTGTTGTTCCCGCCGCCATGTTTCCCGGTGAGTCCCGCGGGTCGCCGTCCCGTCGCTGTCCGTCCGTCCGGTCCGAGGCCGCTGTCGGTGTCCGGTGGCATTTGTAGGAGCACGAACCGGAGCGGTGAGTTCTCTGCTGACGACCGCGGAGGCTGCAGCGGCACCGAGCGCGGCAAGCTAGCGGCGCGGGAAACAAACGCGTTTCCGTCCAGATTGTCAAAATAAAAGCTTGGGTTTCTTCTTCAACTGTAATGTTAAAAATGAAAAAACAAAGAACATATAAAACACTATTTACTTGGTATATATTAGATTGTTCTATACTGTAATATATATTATATATTGTATATATTATTATTACATTATTATTATATTATAATTACATAAATCAACTAAAACTAATTAGGCCTACAGTTAAAGGTTTGATACCAGTGGTCCCCAACCTTTTCCCTTAAGGGTCCCCTTATTATTAAGATGTCTTATATTATATTAAAAACTGTACAGTGAACTGTAAAACGAAAGTTTGTATAAAACGAGAGATTTGGATGAATTCTGAGCAGATTATTTCCTGTTTAGGGAATTTTATATATAATTCTACAATATTTATAAATTTTAATAATCATACAGACTTAATAGGTTTAATAGGACAGATATATTATCGGCCAATAATGGGACATTTACATTATTATAATTTTGTCCTTATAATTCAATTACAGCCAATAAATTATCTGTCGATATTAATAATAATTTATTTATGCAAAATGAGTGATAGTCTTTATGTTCTATCAAGTTTTTATTGAACTTTACTATAAAAAGTAATTTCATATTTGTAGAATCAGCATTGCTGTTTGTTGTTGTCAACAATAGTAATAGATTACCTCAGAGCTATTGAATATTAAATAATCTATATTTGTTACCTGTCTTTCCCTCAGGTGTGTAAAAACTACAGGTTATGAACTTCTTTTTAAAATACAATAATGTGAAATTATTTGTTACCGTATCCCTACTAACTAACTAAACCACACTGCAGCTGTTGAATCTGTTTACATTTAACTTCATATTTAAAACAAATGCTCAGTGCCTTCGTCGTCCTACTGGGAGCTTCCACATGCAGGTTGTTGGTGTGACTTTAGTTTTATTTTGAAGGGAAGGGACAGTGTTCCGGTGGAATCAGTGTAAGCTGACGGATTTCTCTGCAGCAGCACGGACACGCAATCTCTCTGCAGAGGAGGGAAGATGAAGATCCACAGAGCGGAGAGCATCTGTACTGTACCAGCAGCCTGCCCTCCGTCCTGCGTTAATGATCGATCTGTGATTGATCTGTGACTGTATCAGCAGTATTACCAATACTGTCACTGTAATATCGATCATATTCTGATGATGCGACATCTTTCGGGTTTCCTTTTTTTTTTTTGTGTCACCTCACTTTTATTTTGAGTTTGCTTTATTGCTGTACTGAATATTACGGAGACCCTGAAGGGACATAGGGGAGGAAAAAAATAAATATATACTTTAGTTTTACCCTGAGAAACTTGAGGGAGAAAATCAATACAAGGGTGTGGAAATAAATATATGGGGGAGAAAAAAATGTTACTGATGAATTGTGTTAAATGTATTTATTTATGTTCGTGTGTATATTTATTTATACAACATCAAAAGGAGTAGTTCCCTGACCGGGAATCGAACCCGGGCCGCGGCGGTGAGAGCGCCGAATCCTAACCACTAGACCACCATGTGTGTATTCATAGATACATAGACAGTCAGTGAAAAGCACGAACTCATATGTGTGTGTGTGTGTGTGTGTGTGTGTGTGTGTGTGTGTGTGAACTTTTACCGCAGAATAACGTAATGATCAGCGCGAGCTCTTCCCTCGTTTCATTAAATGTTTGATCGATAGATACTTAATATAGAAGCAGGTCACTGTGAGTCTTCTACCTTTATTTACTCATTGATCTCCAGTACGGAAATAAGACCTCGTGGCGCAACGGTAGCGCGTCTGACTCCAGATCAGAAGGTTGCGTGTTCAAATCACGTCGGGGTCAATACTTTTATCTTTTCTCATCCACAGCAGATATTTAAACAATTACTGATGTTTGTAAAAGAACACAGTCGAAATTAGTAAATTTAATTAAAAAAAATAACTATATGGAAGAATACAATGAAATCAATATATATATCTATCTATACCATATATTATAAATATCTATCTATACCATATACTATAAATATCTATATAACTGAGAATATAAATAATTGGGCATCTTGATAAGAGATGGATACAAAAGACAATAATATATACTTTAAGATAAACTCCCTGGACAAGGTCTATTATCTCTTCATTTGATTTATTGTTGTATATTTACTATTTATATTTGGTAATGCTTTAATTATTTATTTATTTATTTATTATACAGTCAGTGCTGTAAGGGGTCACAACTAAAAATATATATAATAATAATAATAATAATTTTATGCATAAATAAAGTAAACAAATTGGTTGATTTAGAAGGATATAAACAACTAAATGTCTTCAAATAAAGTTTACCATTGTTATTCAGCTTCGTATGGTCGACAGCCTCACTTATAAATGTGCTGCTGCTTTTTGAGGCTTTTTAAAGACAGACCTACATTCTCTGTGACCTACTTCTGTCCGACTGTCCCACAAAACCCAGAAACCTTCGACCACGTTGCTTCCTGTTCATGAAGAATATTAGTGAAACATTTAGTCTGAGGTATATTTTAATGGGTAAAAGTTCCAGTGAATGTGTTATTAGCTGACATCTTTAATATTTGAGGAAACAGTCATGGCTGCCGCAGAAATAAAAGCTTAAATGCAAAATTGTATTATTGTGTAAATGCTGTACATTAAGCAAATAAATAAAAACAAAAAAAGCTCTACAGATTGCATGCTGGGAAATCGATCGAAATGCTTCCACACATAAATTACAAACAGAGATATTACTGTTCTTCCCCCGCAAACCTCCAAACACACTGCAATGAAATGCATTCAGCTTTTACTTTTACTTTAGCTTTTATTTTATTTAGCTTGTACTGCTGTATGACTCTGTGTTATTCTCCAAACGACCACCAGATGGCACCAAAGTAAAGCTTTTCCAAACATACAGGCGGTGATATTCTTCAGTTTCTTGTCAATAAATCCCATAAAAAGACCAAATCCACAGTTATTGTGTTTTTTGGATTAATCCACCCTGTTTGATAAAAACTACGGTGAGCTGCGGGTTTAAAATATGAAGCTACGGCTGCAACTGACAATAATGTTCTTGATTAATTGATTAAAAGAAAATTTCCCAAAACCTAAAGCCGCCCCTCTGGGATTTCACAGGGGCTTGTGCAGCGTAAATGGCTGATTTCACAGAAGGTTTTCTGAAAAATGTCAATGTTTTTAGGATCTTTCTTGCAATGACAGTTAAAATTGCAAATAAATATATTCATTTTACTAGAAACCTGAAAATATTCACATTTGAGAAAATGAAATCAGAGAATTTTTTGTCATTTTCTCTTAAAAAATGCCTCAAAACAATTTATTTATAATTAAAATATTTTGGTGATTAATTTAATAGTCGACAACTAATCGATTAACCAACTGATGGTTGCAGCTCTGAGTTCAACTGTATATCTGTGAGGTGTTTTTTAAAAGAAGCTAACATGTTGATTTTGGTCTTTACGTGGGATTTTTTGACAAGAAGAAAAACACAAACATCTTTAAAGTCACAATTAATTAAAAAATAGCTTCCACACTTTTTACTGAAATGACCAGAACTACCCGCAACAAATTAAGGAAGAAGAAAAAGCTCTCAGAGACGACTTCATGGCGATTGTTAACCCACACGGTGAATCTGCAGGCTAGCTGGTGCTGGACCGGGTCTTGTGGACGCTGACTCTCTTGCGGGTGTTGTCGCTGCAGCGCTCCAGGATGAGCTCCGGACTCGGCCGGGGAGGGATCACCGGAGCCTCCTTCTTCAGCTCGCTCTCCGAACTGGAGCTCGACTGCTCGGGGATGTTGTCTGTCGGACACAAATAAGAAGGTCACGTGTGTTCGGAGTGCTTTTATGCATAGATTGTTGCTCCAGTCGAAGTATTGATTTAGTTTGTCTGATTAAATGGTCGACAGAAATAAAGCGCAGATGGATAAAGTACACTGAAGTTACGACAACTTCCTGTTCCATGGCGAAATGACTATTTTCGACGCCACACCGCACACACGCCGTTTGATGAAACCTCAACATTTTGATACTTAAAATGGGAGGCCTGGAAATGGCGCCAAAATGGCTGACTTCCTGTTGGATTTAGGAAATAGCTCCAAGAGGCTTTTTTGTACATCTGGACATGATACATATGACTACCCATTTTCATACATGCCGGGGATTTGTTGTGCCAAATTTCACAGGTTTTCTAGCATGTTTACTCCCCAAAAATGTGATCAACTGAAAGGATGAAAGATGCTTTTTCGCCGCGTTGCTACGGCAACACGATTAAATATAAATTCATTAAACTCATAACACATCATTATCAACATCTTAAGGGTCTTCTGACTAAACTTCAGCTGGATCTGATCAACCGGCTCGTTACCCTGGTTCTTCCTCTCCCTCAGCGGTGACTTGGCGGCGCTCCTGGAGTTCCTCTGCGCCTCGGCCCGGCCCCCCTTCTGCTCCAGGTACCGGCGGCTGTTCCTGCGGTAGACATCCTGGCTCATCCTCCGGCGTGACTTGTTGTGGATGCTCTTTGCATTTCGGATGGTGGACCTGAGACCGACAAAGGACACAGAGAGTTGGAGCGGTGAGTGGAGGCTCCTCCAGCGATTGAGTTTCACAATCTTTCACAGTACTTACTTACTTTGTTTCTCCACCCAGCTCGATAGGACTCACATATAATGCAGATGTTTTATATGATGTTTTTAAAGAGAAGTGTTGGTTGCAGAAATGGATGCATTCATGAAATCACAAACTGGTGCAACAGAGTGTGAAAGTGTGACAAGCTTCCTCTTTTGTCTGAAGTGACTCAATATGGCTGCAGAGGAACTTTGTGCCAAGCTGCACGTCTGAGTTTCATTTAAATGTTCTTTTCTAATCACTTTAAACCGGACTGTTCAGATGTCTCTCTGCAGGAGAGTGCAGGAGTTCCTTACAAAATAAATCTTTTTTACGTGGTATTTTCTTTTGATGGTAAAAACATAAAATATGGAATAAAACTCCAGCTTTAACTGTAAAGTACTAATATCCATTTTACTGTGATAGTAGAAAAGTTCTTCTGTATTTTTTACCATAAAAATAACAATTGTTTTTACAGTACTGTGCTGTAAATTTACAAGAATACAGAAATGAACTGCAGCTTTATTTCTAGTATTTCACTGTAATTCTAAAATAAGAAGAAACTGTAAAAATACATCCACTTTGCTGACGAAGCTCTGCGGTCTGGAGTTTTTACAAATAGAAACTTGGAAGTGAGTTTGCTGACGTACGGCTGCAACAAATCTGCTGTATTATTCTACATTTTCTCCTTCTGTCTGATGGAGTTGTTTTTACAGTGTAATCTCTGACATACCTGCGAGGTGGCGGTTTCTGTCCCTGCACCGCCGTCCTCTCCGCCTCGTACTTCTCTCTCTTACCGGCCTTGTGCAGGAACATGGAGGGAAAGTGACCGGTCTCGTCTCCTTTCCTGCACAACACGACATTAAACATCCAGATGAGCTAATAAGCACAGCAGTATGAGGAGATATTACTTCATTAATTATTAATAATAACAATAATAAAAGCTGAAGTTACACAGTGCAAGGTTTAAAAACATTTCAGGAGGCAAAAATAAAGTAAGAGAATTAAAATCATATAGACGTGAGGTAGAATTACAGAGAATAAAACACATACAAACAATCTTAAAGATACAAAATTAAGAGAATAAAATGATCAGCATGAGTATAATCAGATATATGGACAGTATATTTCAGCTGCTGTTTGGCTGATTTGGACGATATAGGAGAAGTTTTGGGGGTTATTGAAGATGCTGAATCCATTTGTCAGATTTTCAAAGTGACAAATGAACATTTAAACAGGACGTGGCCACATTTGAACTCTTGTTGGGCAGATTTTTATTAATTTCAGCGACACACAGTGACGAAAAGCTGCAAAACGCCAACAGAACTGAAGCAATGTGAAGAAATATTATGAAAGAAATATATAAGAAATAAACCAGTGACACTGAGCTTTCCAATGTTCTGTATTCAGCATATAAATAAACCCAAATTAAATCCAAATCAAACAAAAGTCAGCCCACTGGGAGTTGTAACGAGCCCACTTCTTCTTTAAACGGCTATTTCGTATTTTGAAAATCTCAGAAATGGATTCAGCTTCCTCAGAAATCCCCAAAGATCTCCTATAATGTCTAAAATATCTGATTATACTAACAGATCGATTATAGCCATGAACGTGTGCTCGGTGTGGAGATCGTACCTGACGACCCACCAGCCGTCCAGCAGCTTGTGAATGACCTCGATGGTTTCTCCGACCTCCAGAGAGATCTCGTCCTCCTGCTCCGCCTTGTAGGCTCTGACGGTGACGTGCAGCTCTCCTTCGTAGTCTGGTTCGGCGTCCTCGGACTCATCCGGACTGTCCAGAGGCTCCAGGTAGGACGCGGGAACCCAGCCTCGTTTGGACTCGCACTGGCAGAACCACCAACCTGAACACAACACAGCAGCTCAAGAACCTGCTCCCATCTATTAAAGATAACTTAATACGTTTGAGTTCCTTTAGCTCTTCTCACCGTTCTGGTTCTTCTCCACGATTTCCACCAGGTCTCCGGTGTGCAGATTGATCTCGTGTTTGGACGTCTTGGCGAAGTCTGCGATCACTCTGTAGGTGTCCAGTATGATCGGGCCCGAAATCTCTGAGGAGCAAAACCCAATCATCACTTTCAAACAGTTTCTCAAATCAGGCTAGTTATTCTCTTACTGGAGAAATGTTCTTGTCTTATAACACATTAAACACATTCATATATTATCTGCTTTAACATTAAAAAAGAGGTTCTAAAGTGACTCTTACCGGACGCGTTGCCTCTGGCTGCCTCCCTGGACACCACGAACGTCTCGTTTCTTTTCAGCCTGAAGACAAAAGGATCATTTCTCATTTATTCTACATGTCAAACTGCAGTTTTAGGTGATAAATATTCTTTCTCTTTCAGACGGGATGTACTGACGTGTTTGCGGCAGGCGGGTTTTCGTCCTCTGGTCGGACCTTGAAGAAGTTGGTGAGGTGTTTGCAGCGGGAGATGTGAGCCGGCAGGTTGATGAGGGACTGGCAGTACTCCACCAACGTGCTCTGTCGGGTTTCCGTCGACTTCTGGCTGTCCAACCACCGCGGCGCTGAGATTAAAATACATTTCTATGATTCAAATACAGTTTCTAGCTTTAATTCTGGTGGAATTGTTTTTGGCTTTTTAATGTTTAATTAAAGATATTTACACTGTAAAAACAATGCAATGATCTATAAATACAGGTGAACTCAGGCTTAAATTTACAGCAGAGTGCTGTTATTATTAGATTTTTATTATTTTAATCTGAATGTTAAAAGTTATAGAACTGTAATAAAAGTCATTATCTGTTAAATTACAGTCATTATTGCTGTTTTCACTGATAACAACTGTATTCTGACAGTTTATTCAACCTTTTTGTTGTGAAAATTTTTGTTTTTTAAATCACTAATTTTACATAATTTTAGAAGTTTAACAGTTTAATCTATTAAATAAACATTAAATATCACCAAAAAAAGAGAGATTTGGATAAATTTGATGATTATTTACAGATATTTCACATTATTTTGAATTAAATTAATGTAAATTCACAGGCTTTTTCTGTAATTGTATTAATATTTCTGCATGATTTAAAAAACAAATGCAGAAACAGTTGAATCCCACAACATGTGCTGGTTTGTGGAGGGTTAATAGAGTTCTGCTGCAGGTGGAAATTTCCAGCCCTTTGTAGGTAAACTGCTGTTGCATCAGGACGGAGGTTGTTTTGAAATGACGGTTTCACAAGTGGAATGTGTTCAGTTCTGTTTTCATGAAAAGTGAACAGGAACAGAGAATTATCACAGACCTGTTCAGCATTCATGAAAATGAAAAGGTGAAGGAAAGACTCACTTTTAGGAGGGAAACAGGAAGTGCATCACTAATGAGCGCCTCCCGGAGGGCTCGGTTCCTCTCTCTCTTCCTGGGTGTTTGGGTTTCTGTCTTTTCTTTGTTCCTTACATTCACTGTACTGACTGACATACTTTATATGATCATTGTTTCACTTTTATCTTGTGAGCCGGGCTGCGACAGGACGGATGAAACCAACAACACACGACATGTTGATCAGTTTTAAAGTTGTTTATCAGGTTTATTTAATTAAACGAGCTATATGCTAAGCTAATGGCTGACGTTAGAGAGATTCTGTCAGAGATAAGTGAAAATATGTTTAAATATAACATTAAACTTCTCTTTTAATGACTTTTGTACAGTAATGCTCGACCCACGAGTTGTTAACATGAATATATATGCTAACTGTTGCCATAGGAACATGCTCACATTAACCCTCCAGCTGTTTCCTGTAATGGAACCGCCAGCTGCTCAACCTTTTGAGATTTCAGCCTCATTGCTTCAACAAATTTTAAAAAAGAGAAGTGGGATTGACCCACATGTGTCTGATAACCACAGGTGCTTCCTGAAATAACATTACACCATCCAGAGGGGGGGGAACGGACTCAGTGAATTTATACTTATATGATCTTTTAACACAAGTCTGTGACTCTGCAGCTCACAAATAAATAAATAAATAACCAAAACCAAAATGCAGGAACGAGAGTAAAGCAGGAAAACAAACTGTGACTCTTTTACAAACTGTTTAAACATAATGAAACTTGTGACTGTGTTTTACCCGGTAACGACGGGATGATTCTGTCCTTCTTCTCTATTTGACCGGACTCGATGGGAAACATCTCCTTCAGCGATTTCTGTCACAGAAACACAAAACCTTAGATTTGAATTGATTTGTGGAAGGTTGATTATTTTGAATCAGGGTCAGACATGATGTTACAGCAGAGCTTTTATTTTGTAGTGCAGCAGGAACTCACGTGGAAGGTGTGGATCTCAGGATACGTCCTGTAGATGAGCTTCTCGGTGAGGTCGCTCCATTTCACCATCAGCATGTACACCTGCACAGACAGTAGACACATTCCTCTCAAACACAGCAGTTATCTCAACTCACTCCAACAAGACTGTCTCTGGAATGAAAGATTTGGTTTTCAGGATTTGGGTTTGTAGAGTAAAAGCTTTGGAGCCTTACGTAATGCTGACTCGGGTACAGTCGTTTCTCGAAGCCCAACAGCTCCACATGTCTGACGTAGGTCTCCTCCATCCTGAGATACAGCAGAGTCCAACTGACAGCAGAGTGACAGACATGAGCCTTATATACTCTGTGTGTGTGTGTGTGTGTGTGTGTGTGTGTGTGTGTGTGTGTGTGTGTGTGTGTGTCTGTGTGTGTGTGTGTGTGTGTGTGTGTGTCATCAACACACCACAGGAGTCAGTTCCTCTTTAACTTCATCACATAGAAAAAGAAACAAAAGATATTGTTGCTTTCACTTGTATTTTAATAATAATAATAATAATAATAATAATAATAATAATAATAATAATGCAGTAGTTGTAAAACACTTACAGTATTTCCCTGATGAAGTATAAATATAAAGTTATTTTCTTGATAAATCAGTTAATTGATCTCAGTCGAAAATAATCTATGTTTAAAAGACAACCACATTTTAAAGATGATTAAATGACAGAAAAAGATATATATATATATATATAATATATATATATATATAATATATAATATATATATATATATATATATATATATATATATATATATATATATATATATAATATATATATATATATAAGACGGGTCAATTGTTTGTCTGAGAATAAGGGAGGAACAAGGAAAGGTGCTTTCACAGACTCGTCAGTAATATAAAGTCAATATTCTCTTTTATTCAGTTGCTCGAATGACGATTAAAGAGCTTCCTGTTTCAGTTCAACCTCCAGTGGAAGTCATTATTTTATCAGTTCAATATCAAACTACAAGAACATTACTTCCATACACTGTTACAGTTTGTTAATCAGCTAATGTTTAATACAGGAAACAACATTGAAACAAAACAATAATAAATAAACACAAACACAATTAGACAAACGGGCAGGAGAACATAAAAAATAGAAATAAATCAAAATTAAAGAACAAAACACAAAGTTAATAAGATCCATTCAATGATTTAAGTAATCAGACAATCCTGATACAACAGGTTATTTAATTTAATTTAATTTAATTTAATAATGTCTCATAACTGGAGACATTTCACTGCAGAACAAATACTACAGTCACTATATAGCAGTTTTATTTTATTGTTAATACTTCAGGAGGATTTTGGATGCAGAACTTTTACTTTGTAGTATGTAAGTAGTGTTTATACATTGACTTTCACCACTCCACTGGGAAACCTCTGGGACCAGAACCAGCAGGGACCAGAACCAGCAGGGACCAGCAGGGGCCAGCAGGGGCCAGAACCAGCAGGGGCCAGCAGGGGCCAGAACCAGCAGGGACCAGCAGGGACCAGAACCAGCAGGGACCAGCAGGGACCAGAACCAGCAGGGACCAGCAGGGGCCAGAACCAGCAGGGGCCAGAACCAGCAGGGACCAGAACCAGCAGGGGCCAGCAGAAGTATATTAACTCAGAGCAGTAAAGGGTGAATTTAATGAAATCTTGAAGTGAAGAATTCCCCTCAGAAGCGTTTCTCAACCGTCCACACGGGGAATCACCATCCTCCATCCTTCCTCCTCCTTCCTTCCACACACACAAACACATCTTTGTATTTCTGTGGCAACCGTCCTCGTGTGTCTCTCCGCGGGCTTTCAGAGGGGCTTTCAGCTTTAACCGGTGATTCTTTCCAAAACTTTTGCAACAGGCGAAGAGGAACAAAAACAATCACAATCAAATCCACACGGTTAAACTTCCTCCACGGCCGCCACCGAGGACAAACTTTAGTTTCTTCATTTCAAATCTTAAGTGGTCACCAGTGCTGATGGAGATGATGTAAACGAACAGATGAAGACGTGTTATTTACAGTGAAGGAGTTTATATTTGGAGAAAGCAGATGATTTTCCTCCTGAGAGACATCCAGAGTCACATTACTGTCAGTGAGGGAGCAGCTGATCAACCTCAATACGGCTTTATTTTACAGGAATCCTTTCTAATGTGATGAATCTGGTTCATTATGTGACTGTTTGTGTTGTCCTGAACTGTCGGAAGTAATTCTTATGAGAAAGTTTCTGATTATAACGACTTAGTATCTCAAAATAATGAGAAAGCTTCTAAAAAATAATCAGAAACTTTCTCAATATTTTGACTTACAACATCCAAATAATTACTAAATATCACAAAGTAGAAATAATTACATAAGTATTAACAACATGTAATTAAAGTATCAGCAGTAGAATCTGATTCAACGTGACATTCCCAACCTGCGGGTCGAGGCCCTCCAAAGGGTCACCAGATAAATCTGAGGGGTCGTCAGGTGACTAATGAGATTTAATGTGAAACATCTTTTATCCACCTGATGAATGTGGGCGGGGTTTAATGAATGAAGACTGTCACTCATAATACTGTATTTCTTTATTATTCTGCTTTAGATATTATATGTTACATCTTTCCCATCACTGTAAGACCACATAGACATTACGATAACGTATTTCTGATCATGTATTATTTGGAAAACGTCACAGAAGTTGTATATAGCCGTTTCCGTAGTGTAGTGGTTATCACGTTCGCCTCACACGCGAAAGGTCCCCGGTTCGAAACCGGGCGGAAACATTATTTTTCCTGCTCAGGATAAAATTTATCAACAGGTCAAATCTCCTTTCTAACGTTCAGAGAGATTTATGAGTATTTATAGAAACGCTTTTTTATTTTAACCGTTATAAAAAGTATAGTATAAACATTTACTATTTTTCAACCCCGCTAAAAAATAAATAAATCGATTTTAATGATCATAACTGTAGTTTTTTTTATATATAAAACAGTCCAACTCATGTTTATGGAAGGTGAGTTCCTTTCAAGTAGCTCTGTCAATCAATAACTCAAACATGGAGCCATTTTAAGCTCCATGTTGTATTCATGTGTTCATACAGTAAACATGAACCCAGAGTGGACTGTAACAATCAGCGTACAGCGCATCAATACGACAGTTTTCTGTATGTTCCTGAACGCCACATCCTCACGGAGTTTCCGTAGTGTAGTGGTTATCACGTTCGCCTAACACGCGAAAGGTCCCCGGTTCGAGACCGGGCGGAAACATTATTTATTTTCCAGAACGAATTAAAACCCTTTAATAAACGTGGTATTGTAATGTAGACGTTGCTCCGCGGTGCTTTCTGGGCAGATCGATCCGTTATTGATAATAATATGGGATAGCAACATTTCCGATGCGTCCGCGAACGCAACCTTCAGGGGGCGTTTACGTGCATGCTGCTGCCGTTTGGAGGCGTGTTGCACCGGTAATGAGGAGCTGCAGTGTTTAACGCTTCATTAACAGACACTTTACCAACCTGTCAACCCACCGGAGCCACCGGTCTGTGCCCCGGTCTCCGGTAAGTGTTCGTATCCAGCCCCTTTGTGTTCACTGCGCCGGTAACGGGAGCTTTCCTTTGAGGGGCTAACGTTAGCATGAACGCTGATTGTGTTGTTTATTGGAGCTTCGTAAACAGACTGGGGTGTTAGCTGTTAGCATACAACACTAACACCGAGGCTGGTTCACGCACAAACCCGCAAATAATCCCGTTAACGAGTATTTATTTATTTTAGACTTTGGGAGAGAAGTTGCATGTAGCGCCATACTGGTGCGTTCAGGTACAACTGGTAAAAAGGAAGTGTAAACGCTACTCGGAAATAAAGTACTTAAAAAAAAAAACTTAATTTACACATTCAGGACTTTAATCAGAGCGGGAAGAAGAATTCTAACTCTTTACTTTTTGTTTAGATGTTTTATTGAGGTGTTTAATAAATGAGTTGCCAGATATAATCAATCAATCAATCAATCAATCAGCATTGGTGTTTTCTTGCAAGAATTAATAACAGAAGAGAGAAAAAAGCAGTGTAAGGTTAATAAATAGAAAATGAGCTCCAGTTTCTCCAGACACGTGACACCGGCCTCAAATAGTCACCGATTGTTGGGTCACGAGCCCCAAACACTGGTTTATCATATGATTTAAAAGTCTTATTCTGAAAGGTCACTACAGCCCTCAGATAAAAGCAGTGGAGTCAAATAAAGTAACGAGGAATGGAAAGTACTTGAGTAAATGTACTTTTCTGTCCACTCTGTTGGCTGTTCTCTCTCTTCTCTCAGTTGATGCCACTGATTACATCTGACTGACCTCTAGTGGTGAAGGTTGTGTACTACATCACCTCTCAACTCAGCAGATTACATTTCTACAGTTAATGATGCAAAGTGTCCCACTGACCTCTGATGTTCCCAGTTATTTAAAGTAACACAGAGATTATGTGGTAGCTTGTTAATGGAGCCACAATGCTGTGCTCTTTATGGCTGTGCACTAAATATTAAATATGGATTTTTAGAAGTGTTTTGTCATTTATTCTAGATTACATTTATCGTACGGTTAGTAATTTTACAAGCGGCGTAAAAGCACTGAATGTTAGTATCTAGTGTCTGTCTGATTTATAGTCTTGTTTACCTTTTCTCTCATCTAAACAAATAAAAATAATTATTCATTTAAATCATAATTAAACATATAATTGTTGAAAATGATATAAAACGGCAGAAGAATCAGGTTTAGGGTTGTACTGAATTAGGGTAGTGACACCTTTGTTGGTCCGAACAAACAATTTTTTCATTCTCATTTAATGTCCCAATTATATTTTTATTATCATTATCAGTTTAGTGTACTGTAACAATCAGCTGTACAGCGCATCAACTGACATTTCTCTCCTACGGAGTTTCCGTAGTGTAGTGGTTATCACGTTCGCCTAACACGCGAAAGGTCCCCGGTTCGAGACCGGGCGGAAACATTATTATTATTATATATATAGTCCAGAACGTAATTAAACCCTTTACTTAACTTAGTATTGTAATTTAGACGTTGCTTCCCGGTGCTTTCTGGGCAGATTGGTTTGTTATTGATAATGATATGTCATAGCATAATTTCCGATGCATCCACAAACGCAACCTTCAGGGGGCGTTTACATGCGTGTTGCTGCCGTTTGGTGGCGCGTTGCACCAGTAATGACGAGCTGCAGTGTTTAAAACTTCATTAACAGACCCTTTACCACTTTTTGTCTAGAAAATTCACCTTGCTGTGACCCCACAGCTCCAATATTTAAAAGGTTTTAGAGTTAATATACTGCTCTGTTTACTGACTCAGACTCTATGTTCTGTCTTTACTCTCAGACTGAGAAGATGTCGCAGTGAAGCAGTAACAGCAGCTGACACAGCTGATAGTGTTTCCTATGCAAAGGATTCGGCTGGGAGTGTTTCTGGATGCAACAGTTGGATATCAACATGGACAGCATTGATGAATACATCTGGGAGCGGCGCATCCACCATGGGGTCAGACGCCAGAAAAGCTCAGTCCCGTTCCCAGAGTCGGTTAAAATCGGGTTGGAGTTCAACGCGGCGGTGGCGAGGAAGGAAAAGTTAGATTGGTGTTTTCTGACGAACGCTGTGATGCTGGAGCTTTGGGATTTCGCCAAAACGGTGACGAAGTCGGAGATGTATTTCTTGTTCGAAATGCTGGAGTTCAACTTTGAACTCGGCTTGGACATGGACAGCGACAGACAGTGCTACGAATACACAGCACGTGTTCACAACAAAATAAAGCTGCTGAAGGAACAAATCAAGATGAAACCTCACAGGTGGAAAGAAACATTTCCACTACCAGACCTAAACGTTATAATGACCGGGTCAGGGAAGGCAGAACGCTACTACCCGAAAAGGAACAAAACCGTGGATATTTCCGTCCTCACTGACGGCAGCAAGAACAGCAAGTCTTCAGAAGATAAGAAGACGGAGAGTAACGGAGCCGCGAGCAGTGAGCTCGATGTAAAGAAACAAAGAGGAGTTCGACCAACAACTGATGCCTACCCTTTCTGTAAAGAACTTGGTGTGAGTCTGACCGTTCGACCAGATGACGCACCCAGACAGAAACTAGACCCAAACCTGGTGACCAATGGTGTGATGATGGAGCTGTTTCACTTTTCCAAAGGGCTTTGTGGAACACAGACTGGGATCATTCACGACTTGGTCACGGCGAACTTCGGTCAGGAGTTGGATAAAACAATATTCCGTACGCAATTAACCAGGCTGATGGAGCGAAAATATTCCTGCCCGACAGCGGAGGACAGGGAGGCTTTCCGAAAGGAGGCTTTCAAAGTCGAGACCAAGAAACGGCAATACAATGCTAAAAAGAGAAAAAGACTTGAAGTAGATCTCCAAGAACTGGAAAGCCTCACAGTGTCCGGTAAGAGAAGTAGATCGCAGAGGATCAGGTACGATGAGGCAGAAGAAACTTGGCAGGATGGGGACCTGTCGTACATGTGTCCGGTTGATTTTGAGACAGAAATGAAGACCGGGACGGAGGCTGGACCAGAACAAATGAAGCTCGAAAGTTGTTTGACAAAGTCGTCAGTTTCTGTGGATGTAAAGCAGGAAGAGGAGGAAGTTTTTGTCTCTCCGGTGCAGCCGCAGACTAATGTCCACCTTCGTCCAAAGACTGTAAATGTGGTCTCAAATCTGTTCTCTGAAGATAAAAATGAGGACACGAATGTAAAAACACTGAAACAGAAGTTGTGGACGAGACGTGCCGCTCGCTCAAAACAAATCCTGAAGTCTATCAGAGTTCGCGACATGTTTGCCCGCTGCAGAGAGATCGGTGTAGACTTTAATGTCGGTTCAGGCCACAAACAGAACCTAGACGTACGACTTATCACCAACTCCGTGTTGTTGGAGGTTTATAAGTTTGCGATGGCGATGTCAAGGAGTTTACACAGTTTCTTATATGACGTTCTGAACAGCAACTTCAACCTCGTCCTCCAGGATGATTTGCATCGGCGCAATTTTATATATTACATCATAACGAAAGAAAAGGTTCTTCAGAACCACCCTAGGCGGAACAAGGAGTTTCTGAGCAGTCCCTTTCAGTTCCCTGAAGTTTACAACATGGTTGACGTGACCAGCGACTTCCAAACCGGCCAAGAAGTCGAGACGGAGCAGCTCTGTGATTCACAAGCTACAAGCAAGCAGGTGGATACAGAGCCACACCCGTTCTGTAAAAAGTTGGGTGTCAACCTTTGGTCGACAGAACAACGTCCGACGAGCCAGAAGCTTGATCTGACCGAACTGACATCAGGCGCCATGCTAGAAATATTCTGCTTCGTCAGGGAGCTGTGCGGAGCGGCTTGCGAGACAGTTAACGACATCCTTGAGCACAATTTCAATCTTGATCTTCAGAGCGGTGAGACCGAGGCCGCCCGGGTGATCCAGAGATGGTTGGTGACGCAGAAGAACTGGAGAAAGCAAACCACATTATCAAAGGTAAATCGGTGGTTAAACAAGGTCGTCTCACTGAACGGTCACCAACAGCTCAGTCCGCAACCACCAACTGGCAACGGACCTCTGAAGCATCTGGATCCAGAAGACTTGAAGCTGGAAAGAGAAATGGGGGATTTTAGTAAATATTCTCAAGAGGTGAACAGCTATCACATCTGCAAAGAAATAGGATTGGACCTCGACGTCGGCTCCAAATCAGAATCCAAAAAAAAACTGGATTTGCGAGTGCTGACGAGGGGAGTCCTCTTTGAGTTGCACCGGTACATAGGACAAAACTGTAAGCGATACGTTCCCGCTCTGTACGAGATTCTGGATTACAACTTCGACCTGAGCTCTCAGAGCCATCGGAAGGTGGAGTTCGCCTGGTCCATCGCATCTCAGGTGATAGCCATGGTGGGAAAAAACGTCAGGAAGGGCGATTATCTAAACAAAGTGTTTGAGTTGCCCTTCGAGCTCTGCGAGTCCTCACAGATCATCTGCAAAGAGGAGCCCCAGGAAGGCTTCGGCGAGCTGGACATTAACGATAACTCGGACATCACATTTGTCCGAGAACTGAAGCCCGTGGACATAGAAGTGGAGGTTGAATAGAGTCGTAGCTCCTGTTTTCACTGTAGAAAATCAGTGTTCAGATTAAGTTTCATTTTGTGATGACCCCTGTGGACTAAAGTTTTGTTTAGTTGATTTCAAGGGGAATCTGACTGAAGGCATCGAGAATAACTACATACATATATCTTCTCTCTGATGATCTTTTGTTTTGTTTTGGTAAACTGTTACTTATGGGATGTTGCCATAATGTTATGTTGAGAGAAAACTATAGTTATTTGCTAGAGAACAAAGTGAACCACGAAAGCTTGCCAAAGCTAATGTGGAGTGTCCCGTATAAAAAGCTGACAACCTACCTGTAATGAGCCTCATTGAAAGGGAAGCCAATACGAGCCCTACCGGTAGAGGATGTGTCAATAGAAACTCCTGGAATATGTCCTGGAAAACGGTTTCTTAAGGAGAGATCTGCTTGTTGTGTTGTGGTCCATGTATGTTTCACACATAGATGCACTTATAAGTCACCATATCATATACCTCATTAGACTCCATCCAGAAGACATAAAAGGTGTTACTAAACCCCTAAATTCTACTAACCATTGTTAGCAGGAGTATAGCTGTCGGTAGTCAGAGCTAACAGAGCTAACGTAGCTAACCAGCCACGAGCAGCTGCTGTCTGACTCTGTGTGTCCGTACTGGAAACAGTCTGCTGGAGCTTTTTACAGCTTCTAGAAGTCAATTTACAACCATATCATTATCTTCTTCTAACATTAGGTAAGTTCAGGGTCAGACAGTCGGATGGAGTTTCGTGTGCTGCCTGTGTGCAGATCAGCCAATAGCACAGTTTGTACAATTTGATTATTTGGACCTGAATCAATCAGCACTAGTTAATACCCACACACACAGGTCTTCATCTTTATCTTATTAACCTGTAGTGAGGGAGGTTTGTTTGTACCACCACCTTCAGACGTGGACCAAAAGCAGCTCAGCAGAAGTTTATGTGACGAGGTTAAAGGTCAGCGTGTCCTCGTTTTGTTGATGTTCATATTATGTAAAGAGATGGAAGCTCCTGTCACAATAGGCAGATGAATGTATATTTTCAGTGCAAACATTCATGTGGATGAAAACACTGTTCTTCTTGTTTATATTCTGTTCTGTTGTCAGAACTTTTCTTTCTACTGGAAATGAAAACTGTCTTTAATGTTGTTTCAGGTGTTTTTTCCTTATTTCAGCTATATTTACGTTATTTAACACTTATAAAACATGATGAATGGAGTCCTTAATGTTTCAGGACTGATCTACAATCAGCAAATTATTAATTAAAGCTACTCTGAGTAGTCACTCCCTAACTGCCTGCTTTTACAGGAAACACATCTGGTTTCTGATTCTTGGGAACGTCCAGACGTCCAGTTACTGAGGAGGACTAATGGGATGGAGACATTATTAAGTGAGGAACCTGGAAGCTCCATAAACTGCAGCTTTAACTTTAATGAACAGAGGCTGCAGGGAGCATTCATAATAACAATTACACACTTTTTCCCTGTTCAGTATAATTGATTACATAACTAATGCTGTACATTTAAAGTAAGTTAATGAAGTCAATTTGCATTTAAATGATTCAATTCAAATAGTGAAAATAATTAAATGAGACTAATTAACTCGATTTAATTAGCAGTGGATAGATTATTTCATTCTTTCTGTCATTTCCTTCCCATCATGCTCTCTGTCGTGACTCATTCGTCTCCTGCCGCGGAGACGCTTTCTGTCAGTTTGTAAATTAAACAGGTGTCACTAATTATCTGAACAGAAAACAGGATTCTGTGATCAAATAAACCGAGTTTCCATCAGCGTCCACTAGATGGAGCCACAGACGTCTTATTGATCCATTGATCAGTGAACTTGTTAAAGTTGTTTACTGGTCAATATTTATTTGGTGTCACTGAACAGAAACAACCAGCAGACAGTTTCTCAACAGCAGCAACAGTGTAGAAAGTAAAAAGCACAAAAGGATTAATATTTAAAGTAAAATATAATTCATGTACCAAAAGTACATTTTACCACTGAGTTTTAATTAGAGCTGATAAAATGTGGACTTAACATAGATAGGAATTTGATTGTTATGATAATGACTATTGTTATCCTTATTCCTTCTTATTCATATTTGTATTATTATTATTATTATTGGCAATTTAGGTATTTTGGCTTATTATTATTACTCTCTCTGTCTCTCTGTCTGTCTCTCTGCCTGTCTCTCTCTAGATTTTACTCTCTAAACTTTATTTTATCAACATTTTAAATGTTAACATTTAAAAACCTGAATTTGGGGAGAGAAGAGAAGAGAAAAGATTTACTGATGCACTTTTATTACAGGTACATTTTGACACCTGCTGCACTTGTTTTATTTCCCGCCTCCACCAGAAAGACCTAAAAATACAGAATAAAAATAGGAGCTGGCAGGAGTCTGACATCAGTGTCACATTACTGCAGGTGGGGAGCAGCAACTTCTTGCAGCTCTTTCTTTACACTGAAACAGGCTTTAAACAGATGTTCCTGTTCCCCAGAGGACGAATCCGGCAGACGCTGACGGTCCTCTGATTGTTCCTCTGGCGCCACCAGCAGGTCAAAGTTGTAACTTGTTAAATATCTCAGCATCCATAATGGAGGAAGAAGTTTTCACTGATGTTACGGAAAATTCCTATTTCAGGAATATCGCTCCGAACATGAAACTTGTGAAAAGTGTAAAAGTGTTTGGTTTGATTCTTATATTCAGGTGATTAAACACTAAACATACCTGTAAATATTAGATTCCTGACAATAGATCCTCCTCAATGTTACACTTGACTTCATGTTCAAAGTTTTTAACTTAACAAGTTGAATTTGTGTAACTTAAAATTGTCGATGTGAACAGTTTAAAAAAAAATTAGTTAAAATAACTGAACACATTACAGTGTATTATTTAATATCTACATCTTGATGTCCATTGTTCTAATACAGCTTGAGTTCAGCTCCAGAATCAGTGAGCAGAAAACACTGAAGGGGTCAGGGGTCATTCATTTCCTCAGTGATTGATAAGGGGCTCCTTAAGAGTCTTTACTGGAACAGAAAACAATAAATCATGGAGAAGTTATGGTTATAATGACCTCACCTCATCTGTCTGACCTCACCTGATGGGTTCATTGTGTGTGCGTGTGTGTGTGTGTGTGTGTGTGTGTGTGTGTGTGTGTGTGTGCGTGTGTGTGTGTGTGTGTGTGATATCTGTGTACAGTCTAAACTGAAACAAAAAAACTCACCTCCCCAGGCACCGGCGTTCTCCGTCCCCAGAGTGCCTCATCTGCACTGACATATGGACACACACACACACACACACACACACACACACACACACACACACACATCATCACCTCTCCAGATGCTCTCCCACACACTCCCCACTCATTCTCACCCTGATTCATAATCTGCTCAGAGACTCTCCACGCTGACATAATCCGGTGGGACCAATGTCTGTCTCTCTGCAGCTCGTCCAAATATTTAAAAAAAGAAAACCTTTCTTCGCACAGCGACAGAGGCTCAGTCTGCCTCGCTGCTACCTGCGTACAGAGCTCGTGGGATTTAGGGATTCACTCCACGACGTCTGTGTTTCACTCACATTTACAGACGTACATACTGACAGTTTACAGCAGGAGCCAATCAGCAGCTGTCAAAGCTTTCATCGTTTTCACTTCATCCTCTAAAACTTAAGGAATGTGAGGTCAGATGTTTGCTTCCTCCTACAATGTTAAACATTATAAGGAACATTTATTTTAACAAATTAACCTCCATAATCCCAGATTTCAACCATCTCAATGACCACTCAAATTTAATATAATTTATTTTTATTTTAAGTAATTTTCCAGTATTTCATAGTAAATGTGTGTATAAGTGTGTGTATGCAGTGTATATATTCTCAAAATGTATTTATTATTTCTTCATCTGTTTCTTTTGGGTGTTACTTATATATTTATTTTATTTTATTTTGGAGGGACAGTTGATGGATGCTTGTATATTTATGTTAAAATGACTGAAGTTATATAATGGCAGAAATTAACAAAAAAGAAACATATTGAGTCCGTATGATTGTTTAAAAAATAAAATAAAGTAATAGAGAATAAAAGAGAATTCTATAAAATGTTTCTACAATTATCAGTAAAAATATTCACAGACAATGAATCAGCTGTTCTCTACTGTTATTGTTATTATTGAATATAATATGAAATATCTATCTATATAACATATAGTCAGTTACTCTGATAGAAACGAGGTTCCTTAAGGAAAAAGGATCCACTGCTTTAATCGACACTGATGCATCATAATCTATAACCTGATCACATGGTATGAATTATAACCCCAAACTCTTAATCTGAAAGTACCCACAGCTGTAAGATGAACAGGGGGAGCATAAAGTGCAATATTTATATTATTTATATTTATATATATTATAGATATATAAGGAAGCACAAAATGGAAACATTCAAGTAAAGTAGTTCAGATTAAACCCACAGACGACCTCTGGAGTGAGATCATACCGGCTCGCGGAGAGACAGACTTTCTAATATCTGCACTGACATGAAAGGAGCGTACGAGTGGAGACGGCTTCATTTCCTCCTCCTCCTCCTCCTCCTCCTCCTCCAGCGTGGCGAGCAGCCTGTAAGGAGGTCAGGAGTCAGCGTCTGTCACAGCTTCCCCACAATATCCCCATAAATGATCAGCGGATCATTTCAGGGAGAGGAACCGCGGAGAGAAAGAAACAGACAGCTGAGTCCAATGTTTTTCATCTGACGTTCCAACTCATTAAATCTGTATGTTAGTGTCCTCGGGCTGCTAGTTACTGTGGTTACGGCGAGTTGGCTGATGTTTTTTTTTCGTTGCGGATGTAAGTTCATCGGCTTTGTTGTCGGCACCGAAGCTGGACTGCGGGCGAAAGAACAAGAAGATCTTTCATGTGAAATGTGCTCGTTAGCCGTCTGCCTCGGAGCCACACGAGAGGATCAGTTTCAGCTCTGCGTGTGGGACAGAGACGGGATTAGCCTAGCTTAGCACAAAGACTGGAGGCAGAGGGAAACTGCTAGCTTAGCTCCATCAAAAGATTACGGAAGAGAGTTTATTTTTGGGAGATTACAGTCTTACCGTCAGTAAACGTCACTTTAACCCAGAGATCAGAAAAAAAGAATTTTATTCGTCCCTCTCAGTCTGCACAGCGATTGGTCATTATTCGTAGCTCCACCCCCTCCCCCCGTAACTTACCACCAGTTTAACTGAGTCTAAACCAGTTTAACTGAGTGTGGACCAGTTTAACTGAGTCTAAACCAGTTTAACTGAGTGTGGACCAGTTTAACTGAGTGTGACCAGTCTAACTAAACCAGTTTAACTGAGTGTGAACCAGTCTAACTGAATGTGGACCAGTTTAACTGAGTGTGGACCAGTTTAACTGAGTCTAAACCAGTTTAACTGAGTGTGGACCAGTTTAACTGAGTCTGAACCAGTTTAACTGAGTGTGGACCAGTTTAACTGAGTGTGGACCAGTTTAACTGAGTGTGGACCAGTCTAACTGAGTGTGGACCAGTTTAACTTACCGTGAACCAGTTTAACTGAGTCTAAACCAGTTTAACTGAGTGTGGACCAGTTTAACTTACCGTGAACCAGTTTAACTGAGTCTAAACCAGTCTAACTGAATGTGGACCAGTCTAACTGAGTGTGGACCAGTTTTTAAAAGTAGTGAATGTGACGTGTCTGTGAGCCAATCAACAGGAGGGAGGGAATGGGAAGCTGTTGTCATGGAGACAGAGTTTCAGTGTGTGTGTGTGTGTGAACAGGAAGCTGCAGTCAGTTGCATTTTTTCATTTACGTTGATGAAGCTCTTCTCTCCTGTCTCCTCAAGTTTCCTCTCCTCTACTTTCCTTTACTCTCCTCCTCCTCTCCTCCTCCTCCTCCTTCCTATGTCCTCATTTCAATTTTCCTTTCCTCTCTTCATCTCTCATCCTCTGTCCTTTCCTTCAGTCCCCTCTCCTCCACCCTCTATAGCTTCCTCTCTCCTCCTCTCTCGTTTCCTCTCCTCCTCTCCTCCTGTTATATAACTCCTCCTGTCTTGTGGAGGCGTCTTATATAAGCACTGAGGCTTAATTCCTTTCTATTGAGACAGTGGACAAACTGTGTGTGTGTCTGTGTGTGTTACATTCACCTGTTTCCTGTTCCTAACTTCCCTTCAGTCTCTCCGTTGTCACCTCCTCTCTCTCTCCGCCTGGACTCTTCCTCCTGCTCCTCCTCCTGTCCTCGGCTCCTCTTTCCTTTCTTTTTCCTCTCTCCAGGTTTAAACAGAAACTGGACTCAGGGCGAACCGATGTGGGTCCTACACCTTCAACAGTTTATATAACAGACAGAGCTTCTGTCTGTGAAGTGTCTTAAACCTGCATTCTATGTAACGATCAGCAGGGGGCGGCTCCACTGGTTGCAATAACACACTGATACCATTCAGTCTTATGGAGAAATGAGTCGACTTCTCAGTTGATTTATGAGCTCAGTAAACAGTTTCCTGATGAGTTTCTGGTCTCAGTCTCTAGTTTCAGTCTTCTTCCATACAGCATGATGTTCATTTAGTAACTGATGGTCCCATTTAGAGTAAAACAGACT